TTTACAATTTTATCGAATACCGTTCGCGGATCGAGTCTGTCGATCATTGTGATAGAAAAAAAAAATTATTTTTTTCATACAAAACATATTTTTCGTTCGATACCAATGCAGATTCCTCGTAAGATTGGCAATGAATAAAATTCGAGATAATAAATATTCCATGCTCTGCCGTAAATCATAATGCACTTCAACAGGTTGTCCAGGAATAAAAATGTACTAGTAAGATTTAATTTTGGATTCTAAATTTACAGAGAACCGTCGCGGAAGAATCCTTCACAATTTTCCGTATCTGACACGAGCGACGAATCTCGTAGACATTTTCTCCAAGAGACATTGTCCAGCAGTTCGGAAATAATTTCCCCGCGGTCGGTAGCCACCTAGCGTAAATGGAACAAATTAAACATCCGATACGGCGTGTAGCATGCTATAATGAGATTCTATTATAAAGGATTCTAGTGCTATAAATAGATCGCAGCCTGAAATCCTCATAATTTTCAAAGCATTTATCGCTCGTGTGTTAATTATACGGGATGACGTTTAATTTACGGCAATATTCGACGTCGTACAGAACATCGTCCTAGATGGTTAAATTGGCGTATTGTTCACTTTGAAGAATTTAAGTCCGGAAACAACCAGTTTATATTTCGTCAATTGACATTCCGAGTAAACTGACACATCGCGCACAATCATTTTGGCAATAAATTGACTGCATTATTATCAAGCATCGCGTGTCCGTGAAATCACGTTATCCATAGTCAATGTGTTAGTTCAAAATGGCGCCAGACGTTTGGCCGAATCTCACCTTATACGTACGCATGTAGAATGTATATACAGCAAAAAAAAAAAGATACTAACGTACCGATAAAAATTAAGCAAGAACCAATAATACGCGAAATCGACTACATTCCAATAGTTCTATTAGATAATAATATACGTCAGAACCTAACGACAGACTTGTAGTACACAAAAATAACACGTGTCACGTTCTCGTAGCAATATATATATATATATATATATATATATATATATATATACGCACGTCACTCCTAAGTTTGAATAGCGCCGCACTGCTATGGTCAAAAGAACAACAAAAAAGTGAAATAATATCAGGTCACGCGTAAAAGGTATAAATAGAGCAATGGACAAGATATAGTAACGCGCTTCGAGATACAAAAAAATTTTTTTTTACGTCTAACCATTAAATGTCTATGGTCCAGAACGCGGCGCTTAGAACGTATGTAAACGTCTGTCCTGTATTATTATCGGTGATGAATCGCAAAGCGTGAATCATTTTTATCAGACCTCACTCTGCGCATTTATTATTTATACCGTAACTCCAAGCATCGATTTTAATTAAAATTCTTCAAGTACAGAAGCGTATCATTGCGCGTGTTCACACGTACTATATGGAAATTGCGTAAAGAATGTATGCGTGGCTGTAGTTATACGTGTTCTTCGCAACATCAGGATACGTGCTTCATCCCTACGGTGCTTGTCAAAGGATAATATTTTTTTTGAATCTTATTAATTTTACAAAAATAACGTCCAATTTTTTTTACGACGAAAAATTCGCGGTGAGTCGCCTCTTTGACCTTCTTTCGTGTCTAGCCGCTGTGCTGCTTTCACTTATTCATATTGATAGATTAGTTTTGTCTCTTTTTTTTGCAGGGGGATGGGGGGCACTGCACAACCAATACAATCTTGTTACTGGCGAGAAACGTTTGAATCGTAAATTATAACGGGTCAGATTTGTATACCGGGTGACTCATAATATTCCGAATATGTCAGTGCAGGCATAGCTTTGATCGGATGAGAGAGAAACTTTGGAAAAAAACCGAAGGACAGTCTGTGCGACGGTTCCTGTCAATAGCCGGAGTAGCACCGGTTGCACGTTCTATGTTTGGTCTATGGTTATTATTGTCTGTATGCAGGGTTTGCGCAGCTGCAGGTAGTAGAGAGAGATAGAATGTTTCTTCTGCGAAGAAGCCGAAAAGGGATTTGGGACGAAATATCCTTAGGAATTTTCCATGGACGTTCGAAGGACTCTTTCTCTGTAGGGAGTTACATCGTGAAAGGAACCGGACAAGTTTCGAGATTTAATCTGAAACCAGCAGGTCGGTGAATGAGACTACTTTTTAAGGTGGTCTACTCGTTGCATAATAGTCATATGAAAAACTGTAAAACTAATTATTAGTCAAAAAATCATACTGTGAAAAAAATAGATTGTGCGTAAAACGAAGAGAAATAAATATTCGAAAGGAAAAAAAATATTAATTTAATGTAATCTCATTTGACTAGATTCGAAAAGCTAACCATTACTGCGATTTGCTTTGCCGTATTTTTGCAGGTTACTTGACCTTTATTTTATACGAACATGGCACGCACTCGTAGAAATGGATCAACACCACGGTACCTATCCGAGCCAGTCGCGGTACAGACGCGGAGAAATTTATTTCTAAAAGACAAAAGCAGTGATGAAATAGTCTGTTTAGCGTATCGCGCATGCGCATTGTTAACTCTGCTCGACAACTTCAATCTCATGTCCGTAGATATCGGTTTTACATAATTTTTTATTCATTCCTGTCCCAATTTATCGGTGTCTCATATTTTATTCAATCGAGTTAACCCTGAAACTCTTAAAAATTTAAGAGATGTCTATCGCGACAATCTGTAATATACGAACATGAATATTATTGAAAATAACTGTTGAACGTCACTCGACAACAGACCCTACAATATTATGCAGCTATAAAATGAAGAGCTTGTACACCTCGTTAAATAAACTATTTATAATACGTTAATCAATATTGTGATATCTTAAGCAAAATATTTAATTAATTCGGTACTACTACTTTATACGTATTACTAATATGTTATATACAGTGTTTAGTTAATGTTATCATTAGTCAATTGAATTTTTCAAAAATCACAAATTATCCAACATTTTTTTCGGATCCAAACCGATCTCCTTAATCATCCGTGTAACGTATGAAATTCTTTATACGTGCTTTTATTTTCAATTTTTAAATGTCTCTCGTGTGTAACCTGGAACACGTGCTGGTCTCGTCCATCGAACCGTGTCGTCACTCACCGTGGACAGAGAGATGCGTATTATTTGATCAGTTCAAACGTTTGCGCAAATAATTATCAACGACATCAAATTCTACGACCAGACTCATCGCCCTTTGACGACGTCCAAGCGACCGAACTCGTCGACGGGAACAGACGCACTAGCCAACGACTCCTTCTCTGTTGGTTTTACTCTATTCCGGTCTTCTGACTATTCAAAATCCTCATATTGTATAATTGCTAGTGCCAAGCCAAGGTCTTCCTGTGAATCCATCATTTGGATGTACCTATGTGTTCCTGGGTCTGGGTCGTGGCCCGGACTTGGCATTCTCTTGACGCCCACGTCGCTTGGAATTATTACAGCCTGACTTTTCGGACCATCGTATCCCTGCATATTCATTTCCTTAATATATCTTTTTTTCAATATCAATTGTTACGAATTTCCTTTTTTAATATTGCTTTCCTTTAATCTATTTACCCGCAGTTTCTCATATTACACTGCTATAGTTAGTTATACTAGCCAGATAAGCCACTAATGATACTATGCCATATCGACCCGGCCAATTCCTGAGATATATGTATATATTGTGTCAAGTTGCACATTGCAAATCACGTGTATGCATACGTGACTATTCGTTGGGTGAGTGCATTGTTTGATTATAAATAAATAATTAAGTGAAGAGATTTTTCTTATAATTTTGGCTCTTCCAAAGAGTGTTTATGCAATTGTTAAAAGACAAAATACTCTCCCACGAACAACCGGCTGGGGGAGCGTCTAGGCGTCGAGACGCCTTTAAGATAGTGATTCTGAGAGGAGTTTAAAAATACCTTCCTTTATTTTTGCCTCTGTGGAATAATCGCGTGACTTCAAGAACCATTTTTTGGCACGTTTTAGCGCTTTATTAAAGCCCAAGGAAACGTATCAGTTTTGTAATAAGATTTTTTGTTATTTATTCTTTAGCAAAATTTTCAAGACAAAACTGTGATCATTTGATTAATTGGCATACTGTGGATAATTTGTATATTTTGATTAATTATAGTATCTGATGAGACAGACTGATGTCCGGTATACATATATTTGTAGATAACGATATTGTTAACTGACATGTAAAGAATATCAGCTGGTCGCGATTGATATTCTTATCTTTATTTATATGGGTTTTCTTTACTTATCCAACGTACCCCAAGGTCGCTGTTCACGATATTACATCAAGTATCCTCGTTCTATCGAAATATAAGCGTTAATTCCAAGTTTTCATTGTGGGGCGTGGTATATACAGAAAAATCTATATTTACGTAGATAGTCGACAAAAAAAAAGCTGAATGGTTCCTAAAAAAACATAAATAACTATATAATACGTGTCTTGAGGTACATTAAATGACACATTATACAATATAAGTTACGAAGAACCTTGAAGATATAAATATAATGGATAATCAATGAATTATTATTACCCTACGAATAAACATTCCAGTGCTAAACAAAAGTAATAGTATATTACTATGCAGGTCCAAATTGACGTGTATCCTGCATCTGCAGATGTCTCCCTCGAGAGCAACAAGTTCGAGCTTGTTAGCATGGGTCAGAAATTCAACAAAGAAAAACCAAATTTGTCTTTGATTTCCACGTTCATTTTTCACAGCATCAACGTAAATTGTCGTCATAATAAGATCGATTCCCCCCTGTGTATCACGTAAAGATTACGTGTCAAGTTACAAATCGCAAAATTCTTTAACTAAAATTTGAATATTTCTCTGTCGAGCATGGCTAAAGAAATCCATCATGCGCAGGTTCACAAGGAAATGGCGCCACGCGTTGCTGTAAAACACGACAGTGAGGCATAAAATCATAACCTTCCCCTATAGCTACAACATCGGAACGTACAACAAACGCAGGACAAGAGTAACGCAATAGATTGCTGCGTACTTACCAACTCGTATGCTGAAGCTCACGATAAAGTTGACACGCGTTATCGGCGTCTTCGTCCAGTACAGCAAACAAAGAGTTTATCCACCACGCGTATCCTCACTCAGATTATCACGACACGTTGTCCCGTGGGAAACATTTTCGAGTGTATATTTGAGAGAGCAACAGTTTAAGTAATAATGGTGCAAAACTGGTTGAAATTTTTTAAACGTGTAACCAAGTTCTGAAACGGATAAAAGTATACGAAACAGGACGATGCTAATACAAAAATCTACGGTATATCCTGCAGCTGCTTCGGATACAGACTGGTGACCGCTTGCGGTTGCGGCCTCCCGACGGACTTCCCTTGGGATTTTACAGTGGCATGTTGTGGCGCGTTTACAAAGGAGCAGGAATCGTATTTCCAGTCAGACTCAGATATCTCCAGTCTAGCTATAACCGATTCTACGCCTATGCATCGTATGGACGGTAGAACCGGCCCACTCGGTCGGAACATTAACGGTCCGCTCCGAATTTGTCTTTGACTTCTTCTAGATTTCTCCCATTATATAGTAAATGATTTGCATATATATAATCTAGTTAAAAAATTCTTTAAACGATGCGAGCCAGCCCGTGAGAAAGTACAGTCATTATTTCTAGATACCGGCGTTGTAATATAGCTGTTAGTTCTGAATGACTTATTATTGACAAGGTGTTAACATAGCTACTGTGTAGATTCCGTTGTGACAGCCATTTAAAATTCGAAAGGCGCTATTTCATTGAAGCAATTTATTTCTTGAAAACAAACCTATATATCTGAGTAAACAGCGCAAAGAAGACAAGTGGGAAATTGAAAGGAGGGTAAATTCGACTTGTCATAAAAATGTACATTACGTTTATTGACGATGTCTCGCTCTATGCAATGTTTCTTGTATAATTTACTGGATTACAAACGCGCATGTATTTATGCATATTAACGGATAGGTATGAGATTGTGGATGGATGGTTTTTTTCATAATATCGAGGAGTCGTTAGAAAAGGACCAATAAACGAATGGATTAAACAGACGTGTTTTCTATGCTTGCCATGATACATGAAGTGGATGGGACTTTATAATGGTGGATTGGTGAGGGTTCGTATGCGACTATTAACCCCCTTTCAGCCCCAACGAAATAGAAGCCGCCAACAACGCGCAATATAATTAAATGTAAGGAAAGTGTTAAAAATTCTTAATACACGTTAAAAATAAATAAGACAATTATTGAGATTTTCAAAAAAAAAATTTATTCACCAGCCTGAGAAACCACTGTGACAATATACTAGCAGTAATGCAATAAAATGGTGGTTTCTCATCTAAATCACTGAGGCTGAAAGAGTTAATACTAATTCGACATGTTATCGCTACGCGGTAGACAGTAATAATTATAGTGTACGCAACGTATAAACTATATTATAGTTTTACCTCTAACACGGTTTCTTTTTTTTTTTTTTTCAAGGAAGTGGGAGTCAGTTTCTCTTTATATACAAAAACAGTATCCCTGACGATGGAGGCCAAGAAGAATATCGGCAGCGCGCAGGGACGACTGATCATTCGGATGGGGTATCAGCTTGGCGATATATAATATGACAAGTATTCCACATTCCTACTAGCTAGTATCAACATTTATACATAATACAACCAAATTCCTCATACACTCTCCCCAGCGTATTGTAGGGTTGTGCAAGAGAGTTGGGGTTACGTTACGTACGTTTACGTCCTCTAAGTGTCCTCGGCTTCGAGGTAGCACAAGGATATTATTTCTCTTGACGATTGGAGAAGCCGCATCCTTATCAGAGGATATTGCAAAGTCTTCCTCCGTCGATTAGGCAGTTTTAAGAATACGAACTTTAATATCCTATGACTCAATTCGGTGTGACAATAATTCCTTTTTCGTTGTTACCAAGCGGCGAGACCGGTCTAAGGAACACGTGAATTCAAGAGAACTATAAATTGGGCAAGATTTGAAAATTGTTTAGATTGGCGCGTTAAAAGATTCGAGGTTAGATTGGTCCGGCATTTATACTGACATTGCACAAACCTACATGACCATGGAGACGCACCTAATGATTCTTCTCTATTATTACCTAGTAGAGAAAACGTGGGGCCTACGAATGATGGGCGTACGAGATGGCACGTTGATCGAAGTGAAATAAATGATGGAGAAAATTAAAAATGGAAGGAAGGAAGATGAGAAGAAAATTAAAGGTAATAATGATAATAACAATAATAATAAAAGGCCGGAGAATCGCAGGGGAAAACGCGCCGTATAATCCGTCACTGTGTGGACTACCGATCCGCTGCCTTCGAATTATTTACAAAGATCAATGTACGTCGTGTCGATCCCGGGGATTCTCCCGCGACAGACGCGCGTGTATACATATTATATTGCACTAATGTATAATATAATAATAATTATAGCTATTGTAAAAATGAGAAATTGGCCGCCGCTGTCGAACCTTATCGTTCGCTCGATCACGAGAGCTCTGCCGAACAGCAGCCGATAAATGATTATTGATAATGCGCTTGAGACACGTGTATATCGTGCGATAACGACAATAAAATAAAAATATAAAATTATAAAACTATTAACAAATGTACACCTTAGGTAGAAAAAGAGTCACAATTATTCTTTAAAATTTCATCCTTCGCTACCAGGGCTGGCGATCGTCATTAGTTTTTTAAAATTCATTCGAATCGTCTTTTTTCCCCCTTTGTCTGCCTAGGCCTCGCGCTAAGCTCATCCATAGTGACAAAGTTGCGTAAAAAGCCAATATGGAACGCAGGTCTGCGTTGAATGCACAAGACTGAAGACCACGTACGCTTAACGGCACGTATAAGGACATAACACAAAGTGAAAAGAAACGCAGACCACGCACAAGTGTTGGCATTAAAATAGAAAAAGAGAAGGGGGCTACTCGTAAATACATCAATTATCGAACTTAGCACGAACTTTGTAATTAAGAGCGTTATGCAAAATTTCATATCTGTCGCGCTCCATTATCGTGGCTACGTTAATAATATCACCAGTGCTTAAGCGCTCTTAAGAATATTCAAGACCCGTCACACGGTAGATACCAAACCGTGGAGTTACATTTTGGCAGGCGTATTAAAAATAAAAACCGTGTACCATATATATATGTCAATCAATCAATTTTTCAAAGTACGCGTGCACTGTGTATCGCAGCTTATTTTTCGAGGGTGATCTGGCACCCACGTGCCATTTCTTTTTCTCTTTTTAAAAGATCACGTGTTTTTGGCACTCGGATCTAGTTTAACGTTATACAACGGGTTTACAAGGAAAGAGAAAAACGCCACACCAGCCCTAGCGCCGACTGATACTACGTCTACTCGTACCTATTACATCATTCTACTCCGCTAAGGTAGAATTGAGCTTAGAGTCAAGGGGACAACGGTATGATATAATCAATTTTAATATTTCTTTTTAAAATCCCCTTATTCACTGTATCGGTGCGTGTCGCACTGTATTGGTGCGTTTTTTTTGCAAATGGTCTTAACGAATCTTCTGTATGTAACGTCAAGAAATAAAAGTACCGTACGTTGGATAATGCCTGATTTCTCGACTTAATGTCCACCTGTCCAGCCACGGTGAACAGTTTTCACTTTTTGTCCTTGCACGGTTACGTAACAAGGGCGCGACATAATGGGAAGTTCACAGTGGCTGGTATCGAGCATTCCTACGTCAGTTGATTATAATATCGACTGCTCGAGAGAAACTAATAATACTGGCGCCTACGGCGACGAGGTATCCGAACAGAAGGTAGCATCCTTATACGCTGTACGAGCACAATCTCTGATACTTATATCTTATTTGATTTAAAATAATCGTTTCTTCTTTTCGCATCGACTGTGCACATACTCAGGTGAAAATCTAACGCATTTCTTGTTCTCGGTAAGTTATCCTAGAAGGAGTAGCAATAATAATAGTAGTCGTAGAAATAGTGAGTAGTGCTAGGTAGTAGTAATGATAATGATAATAATAGCGCAGCAGTAAATAATAATAATAATAGTCTTTTTGTATTCTCTGAAGGAGTCCCAGGTTCTTTTGTGTTCTTCTCGGTTACGTACGTAACGTGTTACATGGGTCTGTTGCAGTCTTTTCTAAGCAGGCATCCAACAATAGAAGTTCCATCGCTTGCCTGCTCGTGTTTGTTAATATTTTCATTGTTAAAGATAATACTGCAAGTGTCAACGAAAATTTGCTGCAGTCAATTCTGTGAAGAATTACTGTGTTCATTCATAGTCGCTTTGTCGTTATAACTAATTACGTGGCGCTTCTCTTGTGACTACGTGTTAATGAAAATTTAATTTTTTTTTTTTTCATTATTGTCTCACTATTTATACAAGAACCGGTCGAACGTGTATACACAACTTTTGAATAATTACTTGACCATACGCTACCGGATAGGCTGTTCATTGTATACGATTTACAATGTATATTTCTATATAGGAAAAACTGAGTCTTCTTCGCAATTTGAATATACGCATGCTCGGTAATTTGTATACACTATGCTATACTATCCTATTAAAAGATAGTATATGCCAAGTCGCGAATCTTGAGTTAATAATTATCTAGGTTAATCGTCAGAATTTTTCGTCGGTTCCTGCGAACTCCTCAGAGAAGAAAATAAAAGGTAAAACGACTGTCCGATACTCGGTACTACATTTTACGGTAAACCGAACGGCATTTCGTACGTGTAGAAATTGACAAAATTGTACAATAAAACGTGTACCAATGCTTTTAAGAATATCGTGCGTGTTCAATGTTGAGCGGCTGTTTGTCGATTTAAAAAATTTCGACAACGAATCCCTCGGCTGATCTAATTACGACGGATCTCATGTACGATACGTAACTTACGTAAGAGATACGCGCAAGTCAAATGTATCCAGGGAGGCATAACAGGCGTCTACGAGACGTTGGAATTATCAGCCAGAGGACAAGACAATCGGACAAAAGTATTATCTTAGTAGACGAGTCTGTCTCCTTTCAGATGATATACGGATCAAGACAAATGAGCCTTGTCCGTAAATGTTGGTGATTTATAACAGCGACGATAATCCCATGACTATATATCAGGGAGTTTGGAAGTTTGAGCTTTCCCAGACGTTCACATGTTATACGCCACGTAGATGGGATCCAATTGATCCGCCAGGAAACCATCGCGAAGGTGCATACGTTGCTTCTCACCACGTGAGTTGATCGGCACCACTCCTGGATCCACGACGACTACTACGCCTACTACCAGATGATGCTCCTCCAGGACGGCGCTTGTAACCAGAGCCACCAGGTCCAGGGCCTCGCTCTCGCTGCCATCTAGTTCCACGACAACCACCAGAAGATTCGTCCACGTGAAAACGGCACTGTAATGTATAATCGTACATGTTATTATTACTCGATTTTCAGTGTGCTGCGGCAATGGCTCACGACTCGACAAACGTCAGGATTCGCAGACTAGAAAGGTTATGTAACGGAGGATAATCGTATAATTATGACGGATACAAGCGACAATGACTAGTGGCAGTCGTCAAATAAGAATCTAGACGGAGTCACAATTAGATTAATCAGTTTTAGCATATAGGCGATAATGGCTGATAATGTGAGAAATGTACGCTGATTAATGTCAGGATACACGGCACGCATGGCAGCTATTGATTTTTACTTGGATTTTACAATTATGGGACACATTTGTCAAATACTCGGTCTTTGAAGTGTCAGACGTTTGATTGACTATTTAACGACCATCTGGCGGATAGCCGTAGAAGCTTCCTACTCATTGTTACCATAGGTAAACGTGGATGGAAAACGTAATTGCCATGAGATAAAATAAATAGTGATCCGGAGGCGTGACGTGTTGCTTTATACTATGCAGATTGTATATGGGAGAGCACATTGAAGAAGATGATGAATAGTGGAAAGGTTTACGCATCATGGAACAGCGGTTTATCATATATTTGACTTTCATGCAGAGCGTAAGTCAAAAATATTTACCCGATAAAGATTATACATCAATTTCACTTGAGTAATCTCTAAATAATTCATTGCACTTCAAGAGTGATGTATGGACAAGGTGGAAATGAATTGTAGTCCGCGATTGTCGAAGATATTTGTGTAGTAATCCGAGTACAGTGCAGAATTCGGCGTCCCTTAGAGACTCGATGCGTATAGATTCTTTAGAAATTCGCTCAGTAACTGACGTCACGTATATTTATAAATATTTGGAAAAAATCAATCTGTCAAAAGTTTATCTCACACTGGTAGGCGCGTCCGATACTTTGAAATAGCGTAATCGTTGATTCTTGCCAGGCTTACGAAAAGAAACCACGAATTGTACGTGAGAACAGAAGGTTGCGTAACGTGCTTTTTAATAAGCCTGATGACGTCATACCGCCATATTTATATATAAATCGTTAAAAAATGACTGCCAATAGGCGGAGTCTTTCGAAGGGGCTCGTGCGTAAGTTGTTCAAGGGAAGTACGAGATAAATTTTTATTTACGATGTCAGAATTCCGTGTCAAGAGTGTACAGGAAGGAGAGAGAGAGAGAGAGAGAGAGAGAGAGAGAGAAAAAGAAAGAAATATATATATTGACTAAACGTTAGAAGATTTTCTTGCGACGTAACTGCCGATTGAAATTTTTTAAATAGCTCCTGAGCTGTACTCACCATTCGGCTATTTTTTTGTGGCACCTCATTACGCTATTCTCGATATCAATAGGATGATATCGCATTCCCCTGAGTAGAATAGCCTCATCCAGAGCCCCGACGACAAAAACGGCATCGTGGAGTTCAGCATCGGCCGGAGGAACGTCTGGGTCAATGGTAACACTTTCACTAGGAACATCGCCGACAGCCGACTGCTGCACACTCTCGGTGCGTCTCAAGAAGCCTAGGTAGCCTGTCCTGGCATAGACTTCTCCAGTATTTCCAGTAACGAGACGTGCATTAAAGTGGTCCGCGTAGTCGCTCTCGTCGCCATAAATGGTGAAGTAGCCACTTGCGTTGTGCGAGGACTGTACCCATATTTCACCAAGATGGGAGTCACCACACTGACCCTTAGTTTCCGGATTGGCAATTATCACTTTAACACCCGGAAGTAGCTTTCCGGATTCCATTAAGCATAGAGAGTGAGGACTTCCTCTTTCCACCAAAGAAACTCGGTCGTTCCGGAGTGCTCGTAAATCTACGTAGACTGTCGACGGTTCCGGACTCGATGCACCCTGGATAAAAAAGAAATAGAGACCACATGAAAAATACTTGTAAGTAAATTTATGATTTTAAAGTGGAAACACGTCACTGAACTGTTTACACGTGCAAATACGATGTTTGAATAAGATACGGCTGTCTTACTGTTAGAACATGGAGAGTCTGATTGTCATACGAAGATCATTAATCTTTATGTGTAACTAACGGCTATTTATTTCAAATACGATGACATCTTTATTGCGAGCATCTTGAGTTTACGATAATCGTATTTGATTTGCCAAATCATTTTTAAATATCAAGGCACTCGAAGCGATAACGCAAAGACTTATTCGCTGCTTGAACTCACGGTGCACAGTAACGTGAGTAAGTCGTAAATAAAGCGACGGTAAACTCATCAGCGACCTACGCGAAGGCAAATACACGTGAGGTTCGGTGCGAGAATTCTTTCGTGCTGACCTGCAAGCAAATTGCTGTGTTCACTCTGCACCCGAAGGACGTAGACACTGCTCGAGGACTTAGACCAAGGGCTGAGAACAATTTGCTGAAACTGGTTGTCAGAGCGATTCGTGGCCTCTCTTCAGCAACCACTACACAGGTTCTGACGCATGCCAGACTGACTCCGCGAGCTTTCAAAGCGTGAACCGAAGAACCCAGACCCTTTGTGCACAGCTCCATCACGCCATAAGAGCAAAAGGTGTCTCTGACCATGGACTGACTCACAGCTGATAACCAGAGTGCTGGATTGGCTTCCACCTGTAAAAAAAAATTGTAAGTTATATTTGTTACTGACAGACGGAAATAATAAAATATTTTAGAAATAATAAAATAACTGACGTACCTCAGACGGCGGTATGAGTATAGAATGATGACCACTGTATATACTGCTAAGACACCACAGTGCAAAACCTAATCCAGAGTAAGGATCAAGGCACAGTGCAATGTGTCGGGATGGGTAGAGTTCGCATGCTAATTTCATAGCACGGCATAAGGAAGTCACTGCTGCATGAGACATCTTGATGCCGGCCAGCATCCCAGTTGTGGACACGCTGAAGTCTAGATAGGCGAGCATCTCTGCAGTAGGCGCTCTGTACATTACTGGAAGCTTCTTCTTTGGCATGTCGTCCATGTCCAAGGTGGTTGGCCAGCTTTTTATGTCCACGACGTTGTTAGCTTCCTGCAGGGAACACGTTAAGTCATTAAGAGATCTGGACAAGGGTCAATGGCACGCTATGGAATAAGCTCATGAGACGATTACGTACTTTTGTCTTGAGGAGCTTTAAGATGTTTTGATTGGACAATACCAAGACAGATTTACTGACATCCACAATCATGCGAACAGTCGGCAAGGTAGTCTGAAGATTTTGAGGATGCGGCGGCCTGATCGTAACCGGAACAGCACCGACATAAAGACACCCATAGAAGGCGCAAATAAGATCCGTACCCGGTGGGAATATAAGGGCAACGTGATCGCCAGTATTGATACGACCACGATCGAGAAGTAGATTCCCAATGCGTTCAGCCTTTTTATGAAGCTGCGAGCAAGTCAGTGAAGTTGCGATTGCGCCCTTGGCATTGAGAGACGTGAAGATCAGATGGTCGGACGTGCTGATAGCTCGCCATCGAAGAATCTCAGAAATAAACTGGTACTGAAATAAACGTTAAACAGGTTCAATTAAGACACAGAATTTCTTTCGGACGACCCAAGATTCGCATCTAAACTTAACGTCCGTTACAAACCTTTTTAGCGTTATCGCTATCCTCATCCAGGACACCCATATCGCGACCCTGGGCCGAAGCCAGTCTGTTACCCTGGACGATGTTCCCCACCATGACACTGGCTGGTCCCACGTCTGCAACAGAATCCCCCGCTACACGCCCCCGCACCATTCCGTTAGTAAACCAACGCAAACACTCAACCCAGTAATGAGTAGCTCACACACTCTCCCCTGACTGAGGCCGGAAAATCAAAGTTAGCGAGCGAGCGGATGGATGACGGAGTGATGGGCTCGTGCTTGAAAGAGTTAACAGCTAGAGAAGCGACGAAGCCCGTCCTTTTATTATGAACAAACATTCAAGTTTGATCGATACTCCGAAGGTGTCGTCCTAATGACACGCGAACACGCGCGAACGTTTCCAAAGTCTCCGGGTGAGCAGCGCAGAGTGAACTTCCTTGTGAATCGGTTTGCTGCTGCTTCAACGATAGAAATAGGGAAAGCAAGAAGATGCTACAAGCTCGGGGCACTACGGGACATTCGGAGCTCAGCCAAAAGAAAGAAGGTCAACATAAATATTGTAAAGGTACATGCCAAGCATGGGAGAAAATCTTTTAAACAAGTACGAAGGTAGACACGATATTATCAAGATCTTAGCACAGAGTTACAACGCAGGGCTTGTGTCAATTAGCCAAGAGGCGTGCGAGTAATTATCTTAACGAACCTACCATAAGTGATAACAGTCATCAATTACGTGACAGACGTAGTAAAGTAATTACAAGTATTCTAGATATGGCGTTACAAATGTGTATCCAAGCATGTAGCCTCATACCGGCACGCCACTAATACGGTACACATTCTCGTCTAAGCTTACGTTGTATTATGCGTAAAGACGATTACAGTGGCAGAGAAAGTAAACGAAACTAAGTAATCTTAATAAACCTATGATCGCTATCCGGGACGTTCACAGTCCGTAGCTATTGGTATCACGTTAACGACTACGAAATCATAACCCCAGTTAGTTATGAACGCTGGGTCCAAACCAGAGAGAATGCTCACGAACAATTATCATACACGTGACTGTACGTCGTCGACGATTAATCAAATACGTCGACGCGACAGAAGTCGTCCTTGTTATTTACTTACAGACAAGTACCCTCTCGATCCTCGTAACACGTAGCTACGTTCGCTTCGTGCTCTTTCTAGCGTGTACACCTCTCCACGTGAACTTTCGCGACATACGCCCGGAGCTTCCTAACTGTATCACTTACCCGAATGCACTTCGCGAGGTTTCGGTAAGTTGGTGACGCAAGTGTGCGGGCAAAGGAGCACGTTCGCAGGGTGCAAAGCACCCTCCAGGAAGCGTCTTTTAGTTTCCGATAGATGTATACCGCCAAGAGGCGTCTTGGGTAGATAGTTCGGTGGGACAAGTGCCAAGCAATAAATCCCAACCGCGTGGATGGAGTCCACGGCCTGGAGGACCCTGGACATCCATTGAAAACTCTGCAATAGAAGAGAGCATGATTATTCGTTATGCTTTCACCCGTTTGTATTTCCATTTTAAATCTACGTTTAGCTTTCTTTCTCTTTCAGCTCTTTGGGCCAGGGCCTTTCCTTTATTTTCTATATCCCGAAGGGAATCACTGTACTCACTTCCTCTTCGCTACAGTCCGGTCGCTGCTCGGCGACTACACATATCCTCTCGTCACGAAGCACCCGGACGCTGAACACTGCGATTCTTCCGCGATAAATGAACTTCATGGGTTCCACTGCGAGGACCGTGGCGATTATGTCGTCCGCGTTGTGTTTTCTACCAGTGACAGTCATGAGGCCGTCGCGCGAGCCGCAGACGAAGACCAGACCACCGGGTCCTAGGAAACCCAGAAGGCCTGAACGGGCGTACTCTACGTCACCGATAGGAGTACCGTCAGCTTGCGAGGGTGAAACCTTGAAGGTATTATTTGTAAGACCCTGTAGACCCCAGTACTGGCTTCCTGTCGCTGAACTGTGCACGCATATCTCGCCAACCTCGTCGGTCTTGCAGATCAATGGCTGCCCTTCCATTTTCACCACGACGACGACACCTGCATGAAAATTAAACGTAAGACTTTCATGTTGGACGATCACGTACAGCCTGAGAGTTGATTTTTCGAATTTTACAGATAATTACGTAAAGTGGGATGGGCTCGTAAGAAACGTTCAAACGATAAGGAAATAATCCTTTTACAGGTTATGGACGATTTTTCGTCTGCACGCGAGACTTGCAGGCCTCTAACCTTTTAATAGCTCGCTGCAGCTCGCTGCTACTTTCACTGCCGCTCGAGTTATCGTTATTTCATGTTGGAATACCAGAGACGCGATACGTGGGAGAAACTTGAAATTTATCAATGTTTTCGGCGATACTTAAAAAAATTTATCGATACGATCGTGCTGCTTATTAAATACAAGCTCAAAGTTTCTCGTTACAAATAGCTCTTGGAAATCTTGCAAAAGCAAACCACCGTCCTACCAAGATATAATTAACTCGAATAAATAATTAACCAGAACATAAAACGCTCGATACTCACTTCCAGGCATGACCTGGCCACAATCCTGTAGAGTTAACGACGTAAGTGAATTCTCCTGGTCGACTCGAACGACGCCGTAGCTCAGTCCGGACATGGATAAAACTCCACGTCCCGTGGCGTTGACACCCGCGCGTCCAGGACGTCTTATAGACACGGTAAGGGCTTCGCTGGAGGATGCACAGGGACAAACGGCATCGGGACGAAGTCCCTTGGCTTGAAATACGGAAAGAAACTGGTCGCAGGAGGAGAGTGACCAAGGATTAGCGCCATCGGCGACAAGGAGCAGTCTCAAGGAAGACAGCGAGATATCCTTATGATCCTTGGTAGCCAAAAGTCCCCAGTGAAGATCCCGAGACTTGACAACGGCAACGCTGGCTCGATGCTTCGTAATCATTTGCATCCAGCTGGCCGGATGAACTTTCATGAGAGCGTAGGGAATGAAGATGACGTGCATCCCGTTGAGGATACTAGTCAGGGTGCTGTGCCACAGGCCCACTTCGCGTTTAAAATCCAAAACACACACGGCATTCTCGCCCTCTGTGTAACCACAGGCCATCGTCAGTGCGCGGCAATGGGCGAGCATAGCCGCCCTGGTCACCGTCACACCCATCACAGAGCCGTCCTTATCGGTGGTGTACTCGATGTAAGCCGGAGTGTCGTCGGTCAGTCTCGGAGGCGGCAGCCAGTCCTTAGGAGTCTTGCCAAGGTGTTCGGTAACGAACCACTGTAGCTTGGGCCATCCTTTGAAAGCCACCACCTCCCCAGCGGCCGTCTTGGGCAATCCCTTGAGACAAGCCTCGCTCGTCAAGGCTACCTGGATACCGCAGCTCCCAAGGAGGAAGCCGATCTGCTGCGACCCCGCATCCCGACGAGTGAGAGGAACCTCAATGGGCACGGGGACAATGCCGGCTTGTAAGCAGCCGTAGAACGCGCACATGAAACTTATAGGATCGTTGTTTGGATATACGAGAGCTATGCGATCTCCCGGCTTGAGGCAGCAGTCCCCGCTACGACTCAACGCTTTGTTCAGCAGGGTATAAGCTATCTTGTGCGAGCGACTCAGCAGCTTCCCATAGGTGAGAGTAACGCAGAGCTTCCCATTAGGATCGAGGACCGTAGCTGCGGGTGCTTTGTACGAAGCAGAGCCATACCTCTGTATGGCCGCTTCGAGAGATCTCGGCAAGCCCGAAGGCACCGACAGCTGTTCGCCAATTGCGGACGTCATGGAGCCACCCTCGGGCTTCGGTGCGTTCGGATCCTTCGGATTGGCCGCGATCTCCAGCTCTATATCGTCGTCCTCGTAGAATTCAGGCAGTGGCCTCCTCTTGGGTCTCTTGAGAGTATTCAAAAGCTGCTGTATCTTCGCCGAGACCTTCCACCTGCCGGTGGTCCCGGTGTTATCCTCCACAACGTGATAACGATTCACACGGTCCGCGCCGGGTCTCCTGGACTGGGCCGTGTGCGTGACGTCAGGCGGCTGAATATTGCAATAGGCATGTGGAGTGTACTCGGCGATGTCCGTAATATCGGCTGGTGGTCTTCTGGCTGGCGGCCTGGGTGGCGGCGGGGTGTCCCTGGCCGATCCCGTACTGCTGGTGTCGGACAGTCCCGTGCCAGTTGGTCCACCGGCCCCAGGACTGTCCTCCGTGACCACGCTGTCCTCGTCGCTGCTCGACTCCCCGCTGTCACGGCGCTCGCGATCGGGACTCCTGGCCATCACCGAAGTCCTCTTCGACGGCATCGGCAAAGACGGCTTGGGCCTTCCTTGCATGGCCGCCAGCGCCTGCTGCACGGCTTCCTGACGCACCTCTGCAGAAATAGCACGTGGTATTACAAAGACGGAAAAGAAACAACAACAACTTGGCGAACTCTACCTGAATCGCAAAGATTAATGGCGATTACGCTATATCACGGGCATGCAACAACGAGACACATCCTCCGTCTGGCAAACGTAGCGGAATGCAGCGCATCGAGATACAAAGGTGACTAATCTGCATGCGGACGTTCCTGAGGTCTCGAAGTATTACAGGATGTCACGGTCTAGGATCTTTATTCCTCAAATGGAAAACGGTTGCTTGCCTGATAACCCTATCGCTTTGTCGTCCACCGTTTCTGTACGTCCGTAAAGTGCAGCTCGGCTGACGTCGTTTTAGGAGCAGGTGAATTACACCCCTCGATATCTAATCTCGACCTAATCACGGTCACCGTTTAAATAATACCGTTTAGCTGTCCTGAATCCGTGCTCGATGACACGACGAACGGTAACCTAATCTTATCGGACCGAATGTGGATATTGTGGAGAACCGAGCACTGCCGGTTGGATACTGGACGGCCGATCCTTGAATACTCTTTGTGCATCCTGAGCCAATGCTGATTGTGCGTCATTAACGCGGAATCGGGAGGCTCTTCTGTCGCGGTCCCTTGCACAGCGGAATACGCGTACAAGTGAATTATTTCGAGCTTGGTCCGTAACCCATAGAGTCTGGTACAGTAACACGATATTACGGTAATACATACCGTAGTACGTGGCTAAGAATAATTGCTATAGCATTGCTATGCTATGGATGTGAATATATATATATATATACGCACACGTATTTGATACGTGTGGTCGATCGTGTAAGCCACGAAGGATAATTGGGAGGTAAAGAGAGCGAGAGACGCCATCGGGCACAGTTAGGTTAAGTACGCGTTTAATTTTCCGGAGGGCATCCATACCGTAGTATAACCTGTCGAGGATGGAAATGCTCTATCTCTGATAAGATAAGCCTTAACGGATACTCACCGGAGTGGTAGCGGCTCTCGTTCCGCGTTAGTCTGCGATTTCCGCGTCTTGCGGCCGACGAATTTGAGTTCGCGGTGTTTCCGGTCGAGCCGCCAGAACCCGGAGGACTGGCGATCCCCCCAGGAACTAGCCGGCCTCCTGCATGCAACAACACAACGACACATAGACAACTCCGTCAGGAAATAGAGAAAGAAAGCGGGTGGGGTGGGGGGGGGGCAAATGAGATTAAGGGAGGGGCGACCAGAAAGATATTCGTGACAATAGAGACAAAGGTATGGGGGCGAAAGGAAGAAGAGAGAAAGACAGAAAGATGAGACAGTGTGTAAACAAGTGAATAGCAGAGTGCGAGAGAGAGAAGAATTATTGGACAGAGATAGAAGCCTATTCCCGAGCCCAGCCTGTTCCTGTTTTTCTAGTAAATTAATCCCGCGTCTGATCTGTGATAGCGATTGCGAAAACGCAACAGTCGATAAAGAGTGGGTCAGTCAATTTTTCAATAACAGATAAATAACTTTCGCTTGACTCCAAACGTAATTCAGTGTAAAAAGGACAAGATCGAGAGGTAAGACTCTTGGACGATGCATAAGAGGAAGAGTGACGCGTTATACGGGGAGTAACGATAAAATCATAGCGAGACGACAGGTGACTGTGTCTGTAATAATTAAGGGGAATTCGATGATTTGAATTGCGAGCTTTGACAAAGCACAGCCAGCCAAAAGCCATTGCTCGTAGGACCCATCGCCAGACAAATAAGCGAAGCTGACGTGAGACCGTTTAATTAACGCGAAGCCTCCTTTCCAATTACACGCCCTGATACCAGGCCCTCCTGCCACAAGTCGCGCTGCCACGTGTGCGGAAGCATACGAATTTTCCCTTGTCGCTTCACAAGAATACCCGTGCCAGTCTCGGTACCCCGTTTCGTCGGTATTTCTTTCTCGGAGACACGCGCTTGCAGACCCGTCGGGTAGGACAAGTACGTATGTACGCGGGGTACCTAGGTACCCATATGCCGGCAAACGTGAATCCACATTGGGGTGGAAGTGTAGTAACCGGAATAGGGGCTTTCGAGCTTACGAGTTTCCTCGGAACGCCCCGGAACAATGGGCCCGACGACGAGCGTCTATCGCGCTGGTGGCGTCTAGCGCATTTGGCATCGGACGACCGGATGAGAATGGATTTCTCTTTTTTTCCATCAACCCCGAGCACCGGCACAGGTAGGTATTATTACCAGGTGCTGAGTGGAGCTTGTTGAAGTTACGGGCAAAAGCCTCGGCGGGTGTTGACGGGTGAAGAATTTCAAGGATCATCTGTTGGAGTGTTACCGACTTCCCGTGACTGGTCATCTTTATGCATTATGCTGGCTACGTACGTAAGGCACAGAGAGATTGCACGAGAATTCGCAAGACCAGCTAAACAACGGGCTCTCGCTGATTCTGCTGATTCTCCTGGTCGTGCAGATGACGCGTGAAGAGATACGAGTGGCTAAGGAGTGAGAGAGGACGAGAAGGAACAGGAGAGCAATGACACGGGAACTCGTAGCGACTGAGGAGCAATGCTGACTGCTCTTTTGCAAACAGGAAACCGCAATGGCAGGCACGGATCAGGACAGACTGACGTGTTTTTCGAGGTAGCGCCGCCAGAAAATGAAATAAAAGTAAACGTACAAAGTTTCGTCGTAGACTGACTCAATGCTGCATTATGAAATTTAATACTTTTCGACTCCTGGGCTGGCACCGTAAAAAACGTCTTTTTCAATCGATAGCACCGAATTAAGTCAAGTCCTCAATTACGACGTACGTCTTCTTTCGGATTTTCTTTTCCGGCGCTGTTAGCACGAACGAGGTCTAAAGAGCTAAAGATTAAAGTGCGCGTGTCGCGCTTGACGCTAACGTTAAAGATTAACGTGCTGTAGTAGCAGTCCATGCAGCGCACAACAGACAGAGAACAGACAGAAAACAGACAGATTGGACAAGGCAGATACACATTGAGAGGAAGACGATCGAGCCGACAAAGGGATCGATGCGCGACGGCATAAAGAACACAGCGACAGCATTGTTAGTAAGAGGCGTTCGTTTTGAGTCGAACAATTGGATAACTAATTAAAAATCACCAGGACCGTCAATCAAGTCGACCGGTTTACCTGACGAATTTACGTAAGTCGATCTTCTCGGTGACGTCACGGTAGGACCATCGAGCGAGGCCCTGCTGATTTTTATGACTAAAGGCATTTCTCGGCGCACACGAGTCACGTTTAATCTACAGACTGATAGCTCGATATTGTTCCAGCTACAACTTCCTCTTCGTACGAGATAAAGACATGGCGAGAGTGACAGGACGGGTGTGCCGAGATAAGATCCTTGGAGAACACAAGAAAAAAAGAGGATAAACACGCAACAGCCAAAAAGGCTACCTGAGTGATAACGTTTTTCGGGGTGCGTGACACGGCGCTGTGTGCGTCTCGCACGTGGCTGAGGACGTCCACCGACGCTGACGCCTCCTGAACCGCTTCCCACAACCCCAACGCCACCACCGCCACCACCACCGCCACCACCACCGCTCCCATAACCTGTTCCACTTACTACGCTACTTCCAAGGACGCTTCCACCATTGCCACCCCCTGTTGACCACACGTTATACAATGACCAGGGTGTCACAGGATTGAATGATGCGTACGGAGGTACCTTCCGAAGTATTTACCTCGTGATCCGTACTCGAGTGAAATTCCATAGACTCAAAGTGCCGTAAAATCATCCAGGCGCTTTCGAAATTCTTGGCAAGCTACAAACAATGGCAGATAAAACCGCAACGAGATCTCCCTCGTCTTTGCACGGAAGGCATCTGCATATCCGCTAGGTATTCCTCGTTTTTAATGGTCCATTTGCATGACCACGGGCACCCGATTCCACGACGTTAAACACGTGTCGCGGTTTGCCGTTGCACAAGCGACCGCTCATTTTTCTAAGGGTACCCCGCGTGGCGCAAACGCTATACTCCGTACGCAACGTGTACATGTACAGTACGGCCACGCAAGAGAGCAGCCGAGCGTAACGGGATTTTCTGCATTAGAGACTAGTAAGCGCGACTCTCGCGTGCTCACATTTCCTACGTACTTCCCCGCCTTCCTTCCCCTCGTATCTCCACGGTAGTGACAGCGAATCGAAATTCCCTGTTGACGAAAGGAGGCGATCAATTTCGAATTTTAATTTTCTTTTCATCGATACGTTCCACATAAACGTTTTACCTGAACAGAATGCAAAGGTACGTGAGCTAACTTGCGTAATTGAACGAGACGTGCCCGAATACGTGGTTGGATTGAATCTCTTGGAAAATGTCCTTGGAAGACCGACTGACTGGCTTTCCCATTGCGATCAAATCTGCCATTGTGTCGCTTTGTGAGAATCGGCACGCGACCCAACGTTAGTTCACCTAGACACTTTCGCCTGGATGATCCTGCTACTCCGGCCGCTTCGATGGACTTCCATAGGAGATGGAAAACTCACTGGACTCACCCTGCTGCTTGGAAGCATACTGTTGAAGTAGACGGGTCCTCTTCTTCTCGTATCCCTTTTGCGTTATGTCCCCTGGAACACAGATAGGAAACGTATGAGCAAATTCGTTTATAATTTATATAGTTTGCAATTTTTCCATTCCCATAATTCATACAATGACTTTGGATGCACGAACGTTCCGTGGGTCTCCGAGGTAAGAGTGAATCGTTCTATGGTTCTTTGTCGAGGAAGAAAGGCATCTAGAGCAGATTCCCTCTAGTACATGAGCGTCTGTTAAGCGACGAAATTACCGGTAATTTAAGAGTTCATTAGAACCGCATAAATAGACAGTGTCTCGGTCGTACGAGGCCAGTAAGAAGGGACTGAAGAACGTGAAACGAATGATCCCCAGAAATGATATTACGTTGCAAATTAAAATTCCTATCATAAAGATATTGAAATTGGCAGATAGGACAAGTAGTACGGCTATATTATAAAGATAGTACCGTCACGCGAGCTGCCCTGTGAAAATGCCTTAAATCATTGGCAATTCGCGAGGCAGTTTATCCAAGAAATAAGAAAGGAGGTAAGGGAGTCACTCGTGCGTGACGCGCTCGAAGATCTTACTGGGTCGTCTCCTTAAGGAAGAGCACTTGCGCACGAGGTAAACCGGCTGACCGGCGCCGCGACGCAATTGCGATTTCCGGCGCAGAGGACGGCGTCTTGGTCCGTGCTGCTGATTTCGACGCAGCTGCTCCTGTTGTTTCTGTTGTTTCCTCGGCGGCTTTCCCACTTTTTCTTCTTGCTCCAAACAGCCGTTGACCTCCGGTTCACTTTCACTGGTCGACAGGCAGATGTAGTAGCCGCTGTCGCCCGGGAGCAATTCGCGTTCGGTCGAGCCCTTGGAGAGGAAGTTTAAAAACAGTCGGCTGGCGAAGTAATTGCTGGCCGAAGGTACGGGTTGCCAGGTGCGTCTGTGCGCCAAGACGCCGGATACGCGAAGCTCCTCGGAGAAGAGTTTGTCCTCGTTGAAGTCACTGATTTTCGGAACCGTCGCTGCCGGACAAGTTGAACGGGACGAGGATGAGTCCAGCGAGGACGACGTTGCCTCGTGAGAATTCGAAATAGCGTTTTTCGGATTTTCGTTGAAGTCCCCGGACAGCAGGAGCTTCTGATCGTCAAACTCGTCGGAGAGATTTGAGGTGGCGTCGTCTATCCTATCTTCCGCAGAATCCTCGTCCACGGGAAAGTAACGAATCTCGCGCCACACTCTCCTCTGACGTCGGGAACGACGTCGTTCCGGTGGGACGAACCAGACGGGACTCAAGGAACGATCTTCGGCCCTGCTTGTTTCACTTTTTAAAGATTTCCTCCGAGAGGATCGTCTACCGCGTCTACGCGAACTGGATTGTCTGGGCACACTGGTCCTCTTGAAATATCCGTCGGAACTGACGCTCGGCGAAGGCTTCGGCGTTTTTCGGCGAAAGAATCCATTCCTGGTAGTTTTGAATTCAGCCAGTCTCGATATGGACAAAGAGAAGCTAAAGCCGGGAGTGCTTGCGCAAGGTTTCTTGGTAACGCTCTTCTCGGGAGCAGAGATAGTCCTGGCAACCGTGGGCTGAGGCTTGCGTTCCTTAAGGGCACTGTCCAGGGAATGATGGGCCGAGGGCCCAGGTGGCGCGGGGTACGGCACTGGAACAGCGTCGCGCCAAACCCGCCCGAGACTCACGCTAACGCTCAGAGGACCCTCTGGCGCGTTGGTGGTCGAAGACGGGGAGACCTCGAGCTCCTCCTCGACCTCGTGAACCCTTTCGTTAGCCGTGAGCGGAGGTACTTTGCTGCAGCGCAGAAAGACCGGCGAGTCGTCGAGCTTTAAAACGGCCAGCTCGGCCGTAACCACGTCGGACTTGCTCTGGTTGAGCTTGGCCTGCTGCTGCTTTGTCGAGGGCTGCTGAGCAGAGAGGGCAAACTCATCCTTGCTGCTTTCCTGCGCCGCGTTTACGCCGTTCAGCCATTCGTCGTAAGCGATAGTTCCCGCATCGTGCTTCTTAACATCCGGTTCCGGTAGCACAGTGGTGATACCGACCGCTTGCGAATTTCTCTCCCCCGCCGCGCTGCTGCTCAGCTCGTTAGTACTTTTTTGAAGCTTGCTCCTACGTTTCCCACGATCCAAGTAACTCTTGCGTATCGAAATTCTCTTGAACGACTCGCTACGCTTAAAGGAGGGCTCGTTGCGATCCTTCCTGCGACCTACGAGCCTTCGTAGGTTCTCAAAGGATAGGGGCCTCATGGACCAGGCCGCTTTCAGCACACCGTTGCTCGGTGATGCCACTTTTCTCTTATATTAGACTCATCGGACCCACCCGCGAGGCCTTCCAGTCTGGCCGCGTCTTCTTCCTTTTGCCAGGAGACTCGTGCGCCGAGCGACGATCCTTCTCGGAGCGTTGGACACGAGGAATACCAAAGATAATTCCCATGTGGATCGAGGATCAGTATCCGCGGCCAATACACTATCCAGCAGGCTCCTCTCCCATCCTGACCAACTATTCGATCCTCTTTGACCCGCTGCTTCTCGTTCTCTGTGCCGCTCCACCACGTTCTGGTCTATCCTCCTCGTAGAAGGTACCGTCCGTCAAAGAACTCGTTCATGGACAAAACTTTCTCCCCAGAACGCCCTCTCCGAAAGTTACGACATCGATTTCACCCTTTTTTCTTACCTCTCCCGGTAACTCCTTACGACCTTTCTCACCATGAGAGTAGCATCAGCTTCTCCCTGCGTTCATTCCGCTGTCTCCTGATCCCTCGGTATGGATTGTCTCCAGGAAGATCCTCGTACACATATTTTACGGCACGCATTTCACGTATACAGAGCCTCCTTCCTATCCGATACGGTCACTGGATCCACACGGGAAGATAAGCTACGTTAAAATCCTCCGTGAAATAGTGTCCTGGTCACATCCGAGTCCAGCGTTCGTTCACCGGTCACAAACCTCTTGGCGGTCGGTCGAGTCCCTCGTGGATTAAAAGAGCGCTGCTTTCGGACGCCAAGATTATTATTCGCTATCCCTTCGAGTTCCTGTTTCACTTGCCCACGCACAATAATCTCCGCAGCAGGCTCACGCGAGCCTTTTACCAGATTATCGATTCCACCAGACGTTAAGCACTAGACACCGTGAAGAGTCACTCTCCGGGTATCCTCGGGACGATAACGACCACCTGGATCTGCTCTCCTTGGAGCTCAACCCTTGAGTAGGGATCCTCCCAGACACTGCATTCCACCGTAATACACTCGGTAACCATCTCAACTATCTCCAAGAGGGGACCCACGGGGCAGACGTAACAAGCCCGCAGCCCGATGCGTATCCTGGCGTCCTCTTGTGGTGCTGATCACTTGGTCGCGTTACTACGAAACCGCGTTCAATCACTGGCATTACGATCGGGAACGTAGACCAGCCGGGACACGGCAGGCCTGTAAATAAAGCTTACGGGAGTAAAGGAGTAAAGGAGCAAAGGAGTGGTGGCATGCCGTCCGTCCACTCTCGCCTGCAACTCTCAGCTTCGCAGCATCCCACTCCTATACCTCCTCGAGAGAGGAGGCACGCTCTACTCCTTGGCGTTCTCCGTTCGCTGCCTCCGCCCATGCGGACTCTCCTTCTGGTATTATGCCGGGTTCACAAAGTCCAAAGGGATCTTTAGCAGATCTAGCGATCTCTGCGTACTGGGAGAGGAAGGTAGAAAAGGAGACTGGAAAAAAGAAAGATAAGACTCTCAGCCACATCGGTAAAGAATAATAGAGGGAAAAAATAGATCACAGGAAGGAGCAGATAAGTCAAAATAACGAAAAATCCCAATCGCATGTGATACAACCTTTATGCATGGGCGTACTTATGGGCTATATCTTTCTATACGCGTATACGTATATATATCCAAGAGCACATACGGGACCGGATTATCCCATTTGATGATTGTAGAGACGCCTTGAATTTTCGTGGGTCGATCACAGCCTCGTACGATTCTCCTACGGTGGGCCTAGGGCTCCATTCTCTTGGCTCTAGACAAGGCTTTCTACTTTTCTCCGTACTCCCACGTGAGACGATCGTAGGATCGCCGATGCTTTCGTCAAGGGATTGGACTGTGGACTATGCATTCTCCTTCGTTCCTTCCCGTTGACTCTCTCTCTCTCTCTCTCTCTCCACCTCATCCAGAGCCCATACACACTGCCTACCGTAATGGCCGAAGCCAATGAACCGAGCACGGTGTCTCGCGGAAAATGACTAAGTTATGCTTTCACCGAAGAAACATCTTCTTACGCTGTCCGGTGATGCCGCGACGATTCTCAAAGTACGTTACCGCCGTGTTATGCGTCTCTGACGTAACATTGAAAAATGTCACTCGTTAGCCACCGTAGGCAGACAGCGAGTTAGGTAAATAAGTTCCAGGCACTTTTACAAGGTTACGCGCGGACGACGAATTTATCATGGGAATACTCAAAGGATACTGAAGGAGCCTTGCCGAGGACATTGCTGGTTGCAGTCAAGGCAACTCGAGGACATTTACCCAACGAAACACGACCTTGATCTTAAACGGACCACGCGCCATGTATCTACAGCATACATATGTAGGCAGACTATATCCCTCGCTATAGTCTTCGGTCCCAAGCAATATTCTAGTCAGTACGCGGCTGGCCAACATCATCGTCGAGACGCGTAACGTATTCCATCTGTCCAGTGACGTATCTGGTGTCTCGGTGAAGTTAACCAGTCAAGATGTCTCCAATGAGACTCGTAATAACCAGACTGCAATTGAGAACTAGTCTGACGTCCTTGCGTGTGCCATCTTCGAGACCGTCCCTTTTACACGCACTTGACCACGCCAATGGTTCTTGGACAGTGACGATCCTCCTGACCACCCCTCTGGATATGCGTGCCAGCCCATGTAAATTATAGATCACAGTGAGGCCCGTAGAAATATGTTTATCGTCTTGACGTGGCCTCTTTTTTTTTTTTTTCTTTTTTTTTTCAGGACCAGGAAGAGGATTGGCGGTGTATATTTGAGGATCGATAGGTGCGCCCTGGACTCGCTTAAGGTAATTTCCTCGTTATCAGCGTGTTCGATAACCACGTGGCAAATAGGACGTTCGTCGGCCTGGGTTTGACTGTAAACAGTGCTTAAGGTATGTAGAATATTTTTTTTAACAGTCACTTTCGTTGATAATCCCATTCGGTGTATACATAATTATCGACAAGCTCAAAACTTATTGCAACGTATCATGAGTTATTCGTATTTTCTACCAGAGAAAACAATTATCCGGCTGGCACTCGCAATTCATTCGATTTCGTACGGCTCTACCTGTCGCGTGTGCCTGTGTACCTGTAAACGGACAAAGGGGAGTATACTTGTATGTATATCGCAGAAGGCGAGGCTCGGTAGCGAGGATAAAAAATCCCTCGACTAATCCGTTGGTGTTGTCTAAATAGAATTAGCACGCCACCGGATAAAAATGGATGAGTCCCCTGTCGCACGGGTCGCTCGTGCAGTTTAAATATCCCTTCGGGTAGCATCAACGGGTTATTAGCCGGCGTTCCGAAGAGAGGAAGAAAAGCAATGAGAACAATGACCGGCGATGGCTCACTGAAAAGGTATCACGACTGTTTTGTGATTCGGCGTAGACGTTCTTCGTTTTGATATCTTGCAGCTGCATTACCGACGCCACTGGCGTCCTAACCAAACGAGGGAAATTAGAACGCGGAGTCGGACACCTGCACGGAGAGCTTACTATAGGGCTGGTGATAAATTAAAGAAAAAAAAAACCGGGCGCCCTGATGGCTCCGACGCTAGCTATGTATGTACGTGGGTCATGGTAATATTTGAGCACGACCAAGAAAAACTTTTCTTTCTTTTTTCTTGTATTTTCATTATTTACACTTGGGTAAACAAAAAATGCGGACGGTACTCGAGTCCGGGTATAGATATACCCTGTAACTGGAGTCTCGAGATGAACCCGTTGCTACAATAAAGGGGGACCGAGTAGAGGACGTTTTATGTGACTTAAAAGCGGATGCCAATGAAAACTGAAGCGATAATACCAGCTGGCAAGTATGCACTGTACGTATTATAATGATTAAGGACTGGTTGAAATTTGCCAAGAGGTACCCATACTAGATGTGAATTGCCGTACGATTAAATAACCAGATGTAATCGATATTTTATTGAAATATACGACCCTCTGAGATTGCAGTACCGGGGCGTATAATAATTTCAATTAATTTAAAGCCAATGAACAAGTGAAAACGTTCGGAGGCGAATTTAATGGTTTCACCCGGTACTTTTCTTCGGTATGGAATAAAGTAAATGGCTATGTGAAGGACAGCGTAGCTTTATCGATCGGGTCGATCGGTCTGCACCTTCCTTTCTTGACGTAGCACCCCCGCGTTGTGATTTCGCCTTTAGGTAATCGAGCGTGCGAACCTTTTCCACGGGTAGATTGTGCGGCGAACCTGACGTTTACGTTGCACGAAGAATTACACGCATGAGGAACGGCGACGAACGCGAGGCGATCTCGGGAGCGAGGATAGTCGTTTTATACTCTACGTGCTGATGGCTATTAGAGAGAAATTCACAACGTCATACGGTCATAGTTCGTTTCCATTGAAAGACGCACGAGCGACTAATAAACGCAATTACCTCACATGCAAATAAAACCGGTGAGTATGAGTGGTCGGCGTCACCGGTGAGAAGACTGACGTCATCAGTCATTTGCGAGAGAGTTTTTACATGAGAAAATGATGAGGATCAAACGAGCTGAGTCCGTTGTCCCTTAGGCTGTCGCTAAGAGACAAGACGGGAAGGGTTAACTCGAGGAGGAATATGAGGGACAAGAAAGGGATGGAATCGCATGGGAAAGGGCAGGGAAGGTACAAGGGACTCTTGCCGGTTCACTTGGGTTAGCTGATGAATAAAGAAAAGCTCGTTAAATCTTGGATGGGTACTGCTTGAGGCGAGGCGTGGTTCTGTAAACCGGTCTATTTCGCACTCTACGCCGTGGCTAACTACCACTGCAAATAAAAGTATTCTTAGGTGACGCCGGTGTAAGCAATCCTCGGCTTGATACTTCACACCTGTAACGTGTATAACGTTAAGCCCGACAAAGATCATGGATAGTAGAAACGGGACAGGAGGATATGAAAATTGCGAGAAGCCTGCCAAGAAAGGTATAGATTGCACAATGGACGAGAGCACATGGCCGGAATTGGCTTAATACACAGAAGACGTGAAACTTCGTTTTTTTTTTTAAGTAGCTACTTGGTGGATATGTTTTTTAATTCGTCATATTTTCATAAGAATCTAAAAACTTTGCTGGGTTGGAGCTCAGAGGCGCGGTCAAATGACTGGCTCGTCCCAGACGGGACAAGGGATATGACGTTAAACCTGAAAGTTCATCATGATAGTGTACTAGTGTTAAGTAAATTATCAGGAATTTTATGATTGCCTTGTAATTCGCAGGAATTAAAATGGCAACAGTACGTAGTTATCGATTATCAAAGGAGCCACGGATTTGTACGCGGTGAGTCAGAAGGGTTACGTACCGCCTTAGTGTATTGATTCTTACCTTCTGAAAGCTCGAGGTCCAGCTCAGCAAGCTTCTCCCGCACATCCTCCGGAAGCTTGCCGATGTCGATGTTGAATTCGGCCATCGCTAGGCCATCCGCGCTGCACCAAAATCACCAATTTTCCAGCCGGACATTCCACTACCCGTCACCACTCTACGGCCATCTTGCCTGTCACTGGTGTTCAACGGCGCCAACAGGAGGCGACACGGCTTACATGTCAACGAACAGGTGATTTGATAGCTTCACGCTTTTCTTGGCTCTCGCAAGACTTTTGCAATCGTTTGGGATTTGGCAGGGACAAGATAAAGGATTACTGAGTATAGCTAGAGAAACTCGAGTATACTAATGGATTCTATTTTAATTGTAACTTTATATCAGAGTTTCACCCTTCGCAGCTGCTTCTTAGTTTGAATTCTTACGACTTCGATTATTAGCAAAGAGACCAAAGATCGATCGTGTCTATGCACGATGTCTAGACATTGAAGAATAAAGTCAGGCAAGTCTGTCGTTCTGTTTGCACCTTTTCTTGCGCGTTTACCAGACAGACCAGTGCGCAAGTCCATTGGCGTCTGCATGAAAATACATATACAGTTAAGTCTACAGCTGGATCCTTGGCCGTTACTACCAGTTACCACATTGGTCGCCATAAATACTTCTGTCATTACGAAGGCCGAAACCTCTATTATTATTTGAGTTCGGTCATCGGCCCTGGAAAATGTTACTCCGCTTTCTACGCCATTGTTGAATATAGAAGCAGACCTGGAGGGGGTATTGAAAGTCCAATCAGTTGTTAGAAGAAGGCATGGACGCAGAGGCGCAGACAGGGGGCAAACTTTTTATGAGACTTATGCAAGAGTCCTCATCAGCATCATCATTGGCCGTTTCAGTTTCGGCGGGATGTATCCAGATTGTACCTATTCTTGTGGATGTACGTTTGTTAACCTCTATTTTGATAGGTTTTCGGGTTTTTGACATTATTTTACGTGGGCGTTATTCAAGATGGATCTGTTTGAAGATCCATTGTTTAAAACTAAATATCAGAAAAGCAAACTGAGAGTGAAACTATGGGAGAGTGATTTCATGGAAAAATATGGCAAGAGACCGAGCAAGGTGCGTGACAATTACTTCAAGGTTCTCTTGCGTTATCGTGGGTTTTTATTTGCGTAATATGGTCATTTATTGTTATGGCATTTATTGTATGAAGTAGTTTTGAGTATGTTTTAATTCATGAAGTATTAAATTTTTTTTTTAACTGAAGTCGATTCTTACAATATACCTAATATTGTTAATGTTAACGCTAATAAATATCTGAATAGTATGTTCATTTTTTTTTGGTACAAATACATGGTGATGAATGCATTACAGAATGATATAAAGGAAGCAGATGTAACGATACGAGAAGCATATAAAATGTATTGGAAATTAAAAACTAAAGCTCTAGAGGAAACCCTAATGGATATTACTTTTTCTGACGATGCACAAGCAAATGTTTCAGCCAATTCAATATCTACTTGGGATTTGGATTTAGAAGATAAAACAAAAAAGGATCTGAATCCTACAACTACAAATACAGAGAATATAGCTCCACAAAATGTTATGACGCTTAAAGAGTTAAATGTAGAGCCTCCATCCGTATCAGATTCTTTAAATGTAGATGGAGCTTGGGGAGATCATCTAAATAAGGATAAACTTGCTTCCTCTCAGAAAAAGCAAAATTTACTAGTTGGTAAATCATCCTCATTTCAACTATCACAAAAAAAGTTTTCTGGCACAACTTTTACTAAAAGAAATCCTAGAAAATCACTGTCATTGACTAAACTCAGAAGTAAATCAGATTTGAATGTGTCTGAAATTCAAACTCAATCGGTAGATCAAGTCACTAAACAAAATGAAGATGGCTTTGACGCAAGTAATGCAATCAAACCAATTTTTGGAGAAACATTTAAAGTGGTTCATAAAGAAACTAAAATTACTAGTCAGCCGATCAGTACTATCCAACAGTTGATCGAAGGACGAGTCACTGCTCCAGATAGAAAATTAAATAATGGATGGTTAGACAGATGCTTAAAAGAAAATAATTTGGAGCCTATTCCAATAAATCCTCAGAGGTTGTCTGGAACAAGTGATTCTGGTGTTGAGTCTATGGAATCTAGCATACACTCACCTAATCAAGGTGTGCGGCTTTCTTGCATCGGCAAAGCAGCAGTTTCGGATGAAGAAGATTTTATCTGCAACAGTGATTCTGAGGAGGAACGTAAAAACAAACGCATTAGAAATCTTCGAAAAAGATTAAGCGATGAAGAAATGTGTGCTGCAAAACGAATATGTATTGAAAGAGAGGTTCCTCTTTCATACAGTGGACCATTACCTAACAGAACAACACTAGAAGTGTCTCCTGCGATTATTACCAACCTCACGTCTGAAATTGATTCCATAAAAGTCCATAAATTGATCGACAATATTAATAAACCAACAGAAGGAACTACAGTTGAAACTCATTTAGATATAACTGTTGTTTCTGATTCGCATTATACGAAATTAGATAAGAAGAATACTGAAGTGGAGAAATGCATAGACACATATGAGAATGAAAATAATGTGAATTTAGAACCGACTAAACCCGCGCCTCGCCGCAAAGCACGTGTTAAAAATAAACAACAAGATGAATCCGACGATTCTGATCCTGATTACAGTGACGAGGATTACAAAGAGAAGAAAACAAAGTCAAGAAAATCTAAACAGTCTATTCGTAAAGAAAAAAAAAATGTGGATAATGATGAGAAAAAACCAAACACACGTAAAAAGGCTGTTACTGCAAGAAAGAAACTTGTTAGGAAAACGAAAATCACCAAAGAGGAAGAGGAGAATGGTAATGAAACCGATTCAAAGGATCCAGACATACCAATTTATGGAGTGGAAACTTTGGAAGTTGTGCCACGCTTTGCTCTTCCTAAAAGTGGTACTGGCGACCTTGTATCAGACTTTACTCAAATAATATCAAAACCAAATGATGAAACTAAAGTCATTGCAGGACCAAGCAATTCTAAATTAAAATTAACAGATAGAGAAAAGTTAGAGCAGAAGGTAGCTGCTGGAAAAGTAAATGAGAATTTTGTTAGAATAAATTTGAAGAAAAAAGTCTTTGTCAGGGGTAAGAAGACTATGAATTTCTCAAAATACAAAAAGAATCAATGGAAGCAACGAAAAAAGGAATTGGCCTCCAGTGAGGGTAGTTTAGATTTAGCTGACTTGGCTGAGAAGAATGGCGCGTTGACTTGTTTCAAATGTGGAAGTATTGGCCATTTCTCTAGGCAGTGTACAGCCATGAAAAGTGATGATCTTTTGCCTCTTAATGAAGTCGAAGACGTATCTGATTATCCAACTTTGGAAGAAGCAGAAAAGATGGCGAGCCAGACAGCCATACCAGCACACAGTTCTAAGATAGATAGACTTCCGGAAAAACCATCCTTTGCCCATAGAGCCACAGAAGAAACACAACAATCTCTTCGAGAAGAGGAAAATATAGAATCATTATTAGAAGGCATTGAGTTTACAGAGTCTGATAATGAGGAACAGGTAAATATTAATCATTACATAAAGCATAATACCCATAAAAGTTGTTTACGAAATTTTACTAACCATACAACATTTTAGCAAATTTCTGTTGGGCACAAGATACCTGAAGATATCATAGCAAAATTATTACCTCCCACGCCTAATGCAGTAGAAGCATTGTATTCTGTTGGACCAGACAATTCTTTAATCGGTATTACATTAAATACTAACAATTTAGGAAACTTAAAATTATCAACACTTAAGTATAATATCTTTCTCTTTTATAGAAACTCCTGAGGAAGTTTTTGCAGTTTTAGAAAGGTTTGGTCATAAGAATTTCAGACCAGGACAAGAAAAGGCAATAATGCGAATTCTCTCAGGTCAATCTACATTAGTGACACTCTCAACTGGTTCAGGAAAATCATTATGCTATCAATTACCTGCATATATCTATGCTCAACGTACACGATGCATTACACTTGTCATATCGCCACTGGTGTCCTTGATGGACGATCAAGTCACAGGAGTGCCAGCATTTCTCTTGGCAGCCTGTCTGCATACCAATCAAACGCCAAAGCAGCGTGAAAAGGTCATGGATATGGTCAGAAGTGGTCAATTAAATATATTACTGGTATCCCCAGAAGCAGTGGTTGCTGGTGAAAAGTCTACTGGCTTTGGTGCTTTATTAAGGCAACTTCCTCCAATCGCATTCGCCTGTATCGATGAAGCTCATTGCATATCCCAATGGTCCCACAATTTCCGACCATCTTATCTTATGATTTGTCGAGTTCTTAAAGAAAAATTGCGAGTTCGAACAATATTGGGTCTCACCGCAACAGCTACCAAGGGTACTGCAGAAAGCATCGTGAGCCATCTGAATATCCATGATGGCTTAGCTGGAATTATTTCTGACACACCAATGCCCAGGAACTTGGCGTTATCGGTATCCAAGGACGAACACAGGGATCGCGCTTTGATAGACCTTTTGCAAAGTCCAAGGTTTCAGGAATGTGATTCTGTTATCATATATTGTACTCGGCGTGAAGAGTGCGTGCGACTTGCTGGGTTCCTTAGAGTCGTTTTAAAGGTAAACTTGGATAGAGGTTTTATTCATAATTTATTTACTAATTGAATTTTTACTGTCCTTAGGATCAGGCAAATAGTGATAAAGCGGATGCAAAAATTTCATGCATTGCTGAAGCTTATCATGCTGGTTTGCCATCGTATCGCCGTAAAGCTGTGCAAAAAGCGTTCATGAATGGTGATATAAGAATAGTGGCTGCAACTGTTGCTTTTGGTATGGGAATTAATAAACAAAATTTAAGGGCGGTTATTCATTACAATATGCCGTCCAGTTTTGAGGGATATGTTCAGGAAGTTGGACGAGCTGGTAGAGATGGGTTGCCAGCGCACTGTCATCTCTTCCTGGATTCCAAGGTACATTGTCTTCTCAATGAGGAAGAAGAGTAATCAAACATTTTCGCAGAACCTTATAAGTAGAACTATGACCTTCTTTTCTTTCTAGGATGGCAAAGATACCTATGAATTGAGAAGACACATTTATGCGAATGGATTAGACAGGCACATGATTAGACGCCTGCTTCAAAAAGTCTTTGTGCCTTGTTCCTGTAATAAAACAGCCAATACAAATAAAACCCGTTGTCCAGGACATGAAGTGGCGATCCCTGTTGATGAGACTGTTCGTGCTCTGGATATCCCTGAAGAGATGATCTTAACTCTGCTTTGTTACCTCGAACTTCATCCCAGACGTTTTATAAGTGTCTTATCCTCAGTCTATGTAATGGCGAAGATTTCAAGTTACAATGGTCCTAAGGCTCTCAAACTTGCGGCACAGTCTGTGAGTAACGCTAGAGTATTCCACTGTAATATATAATTAAATTCTATGATGATTACATATACATTACAATTTGTTTATATTACAGTCACCACCACTTGCAATGGCAATTGCTTTAGATCTGCAAAAGGGTATTTCTCATGAAAATAGTTCTATGATTGAATTCCCAGTAGTAGATATAGCAGCATGTATAGGCTGGGACAGTGGCGTAGCAAAAAATCATTTAAAGCAGTTAGAATGGACTACAGGTAAATTGAACATCTAAGAAATACCATAAATATAACTTTATCTGAATGCCTTTGTCCTTACTAAACTTGTGTTATGTTTCACAGGCGATGGCAGATCAAAACGTTCTGCGATATCAGTGAAGTTTGACACGTTAGGCTTCCGAATAAAAGCACCAGGTGACCTGACTGATGCGGAACTCGACGAAGCACTGGAAGCACTAGCTACTCGAGCTCGTTCCCAGGAACTATCACGTCTTCAGCAACTTGAAATTATACAGTCGACAATGAATAAATTTAGTAACCCATCAATAAAATATTGTCTGGAAATGGCAGAGGAAGTTACCCGGAAATCGGATGACATCAAAGGAATAATTAGAGACTATTTTAAATCCGATAATCCATTGTGTGATGTCGATCTGAAACTCGAGGTAGTACGCAAATGAATTTGCATATCTAATAGTATTTTTAACGGAACAAATTTGGCAACGTTTTATTTTTTTTTTGTTTGTTACAGGATAAACTTGCCAATGAGTCACAAATAATTAGTGACATTCGCAGCCTGATTTCCAGTTATAGAGATAACAATTTCACTGGACGTGCTGTTGCTCGAATTTTTCATGGTATCCAGAGTCCGAATTATACTGCTCTAGTTTGGAGCAGATGTCGATTTTGGAGAGCACATCTTGGTGCGAATTTCAATTTAATTTGCCAAATCGCTACCCGAGAGATTTTAGCTATGCGATGATGATATTTATTAGAATTTCGCCTGCTCTGATCTTATAAGCTTCGCAGATATAATTTCAGAAAGTGATAAGTTAGCGTATTCAAAACGTTGCGCTTATGAAACAAGCGTACGACTGACAGGGCTGATTGTTGGTCCTGAATTTTTAGTGTAGTAACTTATTTTTATGCATTATAATTGATGACTCGTTTTATTACTAATAGATGGACATTAAATTCAAAGATACGTACAATACTTGTTGTAAAAAGTCTTGTCTTTCTTACTTTTATTAATAAAAAACCGTCAATGAGGGAAATTCGTTTATTATTGGTGGAAAATCAATGTTATATACTAATTACACTGCATTAAATTAATTAATATTGTTAAAGGAGAACATTGGAATTAGTAGTGCTAAGAGTAGAGAGGTCCAACGTTTAATGTGAACTGGATCCAACGTTCGAATTGACAATAACTAAGTTACGGTACGGTTGCATACGTTTCATACATTATCTTCATTATTTTCTTACTGTTAAACGATTTGAAAAACATACAATGCATATATCAAGAAGCAACATTTAAAAATCAAAGAAGCTGATTCCAGTGAGGGCTTTATATAGCATAATTTTAAAAACATGAACTCTTTCTACTTTTAATACCATCAGAGATATTTAATATAATTGCATTTCAATAAATCCACCATGTTTCTATCAAAACAAATTATGTACACAGTCAATTATGATTTTCTTTGCCTTATTATACCTTGATCGCCGTTCAAAATTCTATACACTTTTCTTATCCCACAAAAACAATTCCACATTAAACTATCATTCTGCGATTATCATAACGATCATAAAAACGAATCGTCTCTCAAGTCAAGGAGAGATCAGCTCATCAGCTTCAATCAAATGAATCAGATGCAAATAATCCGATCATGTAACGACTCTTTTCATGTAATTACATTGTTTAAGAAACTTGTTCATGCGCATTTCCTGCAGTATTCCCACGCGATTCATGCATTTTTCATTTTGGCACAAAGTACAAAATTCAGCAGACATATCGTGAAAAGGTGAACGAAAGTAAACGCTGGCGTGGTTGAGTGTCTTATTTTTATGATGAGCCCATACATGAAGTATAACTTCACAAATTATAAGAATACTTGTAAACCATTGAAAGTAAATAATGGCCGGCAGAAAAAGAAATATGGGATTGATCTGACCGAACGAAGCGCCAACAGGTACAGGTTCTATTTCCATAAAGCCATTACTCTTCTCAGCATTCTCTTTTAATGACAGTTCCTCCTTTACTTTACGTGGGATCTACAATTCCATTATATTCATTGTACACAAGAGAATCATCAATGACAGTTAATTTAGAATTAAACTGTTATTTACCTGAAAACGCGTCCTTCGTGGACCTTGTCCAATTTCTACCGTGACTTCCGGTTCTCCAGTCTCAGCGTCATTTACAGCAGAGACAACCGGAGCCTCCTGTTGGTAAGCAAGGATTTCTCCAGTTTCTTCATCGATAAAAACTCGGTCCATGATGATGTTTCTTCAGAGCAGCTATATATCCAGATTGCAATCGGTATATCCAAGTGTAGTATTCCGCCTTTAGGAACAACTACAGGTCGCTGAGGTCACTTCCCGGAAGCCGTCGGCGTCGCGTTATTCTAATGAACAGAAACTTGCGATGCTTTACGTGTCTTTTCGTGATTCCTTTGCTCTGTCCATAAGCTTAGAGTCACCAATGATGTTTCCATTACTCTAGAATTTCGCTCTTTTTGGTTATAATAATAATTGTAGAGGTCAGAAGATGGGCTATGTCTAACGTGAAGCGTAAGTGGAATCGTCGGAGTCCTCGTCGCGAGTATCTGAGCCGAACGTGCAACAGGCGCATCCACATCGTCTACAGGTACTCGCGATAAATACACATAACGTCTCGAGTATACAGCACATTCTTATAATTGTTTGACACTCGTATACATATGTTACTTTATGTACGTTGGCAGAGAGAATATAATTCTTAGGTCTGACGATTCTTATAGAACTGTCTAGTGCACGTTGAAAGATTTCTATGAATGCGTCTGTCTTATCCAATCGAGGTTTCATTGTTTTTTTTTTCTTTCTATACAGGCTTCCGGATAGATTTTCTCTCACAATTGGACTTATTTCCACAAGTTTAACTCTCCAAACCGATGCAAGGTCGCGACTTTGAGTTATATTTGATTAGGGAAAAGTAGGTCCCTACGCGTAGATTTCTTTTTTTACTTTTTAACGGACTTTGCTTTCAATTATGAAAAAACTACTTCGCAGATTTAAATTACATTTAAGTATCCAAAAGTTTAATTACCTTTCTACTATACTACATTATTTAGATTAATAAATTATTGATTCGAAAAAAAAATGCCTCATGTTTATGCACCCATACGACCTACAGTTAATTATAGGATAGCAATAATATGAAATATAATAATTATATCCATCGTAATACCTACCCAAAAGCTATGGTAACCTGAGATAGTATTGCGCAATCCAACACTCGAAATTCTGAGAACTGACAAAATAATGGCTCTTTCTATCCCATGAATTCTATTGTACCACCTGAAAACTATTCTGTTCATTTCAATTTTCCATTAATTCTCGTACTAGAACAATCTCGAAGTGGTGCAACATTCTTGAACATCTGTGTATAATCATGAAGTCTATCTAAAATTGCACAATAATTGATAGCATGGCGACTGTATATTAAGTCAATTTAGATTTCTTAGCGCATCGTTTAATCTAATCTATTTGAGTGATTCAGAAAATAAATATAATTTTTTAGTTCTTGTAATCGATATATATATTTTGTGATTTACGACTCAATTATTTACTTAACTCGCGAAATAATATTAGGCGTGTAACATAATAAAAGAGAAATACCAGATAAAACCCTCGGGACGTTTCAAATATTATTTTAGAAAGTCTTACCCAAGGCGCATTGTGATTGCTTAACAAGACTATTATTTTACACATTTAGCTATGGTTAAAACTTACTGGCAAGTGGATTCATATGGAGCACGAAATTCATTAATATTTCTCCGTATCACATGGTACACCTGGTATAATTTTACACTGCCTTTACAGCTTCTACACTGGCCACTTCACTTTGAATTGAATCTGTACGCGATTATTAATACGGAAAATAAACGCTCTAGAACCACAACGAAGTAACATATATGGTAATATCCTTCTTGCTTGAATTGCTATGTCGTACTGGCGCATCCACGACAGTCGCGCTACCTCACTCACGAGTTCTCAAGTAAACGACGGGCGATCATCACTGCGCAGATCCTATGTACCGTCCTTGATAACAATCGTCGTCATAGCGACATCGAAACACTGTGAAGTTATAACCGGCGATCATTATCACATGTATCGTGGAAAATATTCTATGAACGGTATAGTTTCTTATTTCCAGGAAACAAATGTAATTATGTATTGTACGTAAATATATATATATATGTATATATATGGACCTTCGTGGGATCGCGTGTAGAAGAGTACATATGTAATTTATACGTTTAGGTTTTTAGTCGATGACATCCATTTTTATCGATATATATGTGATATTATTGCTATACTTCGTGCACAGCGGCTGATTGTGTTTTAAATATTGTATGATATGTACGTTTTTCAATATGTCTAATATTTTTCTGACACATAATATCCAGTTCTGTATTTATGTATATACCTATACTTTCAGTCGTTTATGATATTTGGCGTCTACAGGCATTTATTTGTAATTCATTTGTTTAATCAATAACGCGATAGCTTGATGTCTTCGTACGTTTAAAGGTGCGTTTACTAACTTATATTTTTATATTTTTTAATAATGAAATCAAGGTGTCAAAATGTGTTATCGATAGACTAATTATTTGCAGAGTAATAAGATTATGAAAGATTTCTAGAAATGGAGTGATATTAAGGGAAAAAGAAATATGGACGAATTTTTAGAAGACGATAAGAATTCATACGAACATGAAGAGAATATGAGTCTTATTCACGATACGGACATATCACTGAATTTTGATTTATGTGCTCCAGAGTTTCGGCATCAAATTAATAATGCCAAATCTGATATTCTCATGCCTCGGCTTTGTCACAAAATTTCCATGTCTTATCAAAAGTAATAAAAAAAACACACAGGTTATTTTTAGAAAAATTTATTTTCAAATGATCTATTATTTGTTTGCATTATTTCCAATTTTAGGGGTAAAGAAGAGATACCATTTCATATTCCTCACAAGAAATTGCTCGAGAAAATCGAATATAAACGAGAAATCCCTGAACCGCTAGTAAGGAATGAATTTTATTTAATTTTTTTAATTTTCATCCAATATTTATTTAAAAAATTTCATTCACTTTAGACTGGCTTTACAGCTCAACAAGAAACAATCAAGGGGAAAGTATGCAAACCATATTTTTTAATACCAGAAATCAAAAATAGAGTTAGCTTCGAATCCGATGACAGTCATGACCTGAGACAAAAGCGAATAACCAGTAAAGATATAAAAGCGTGAGGGGATTTCGAATTTTCAAAAACTATATACATACGTGAACTCTAAATATTTTCAGTACGTGTACGACCCAAAGGAAGGATCTTAGAGGATGAATTAGAATTTGGTAATATGTGCAAGAACGTACCGCCAATTATGGCGGATCAGTTGGCACTAATTGAAAGATTAAGAACTGATCCAGAGATTGGTTTTTATTATATGGTCTATGCTGTTGATCGATCATCCGAATTTTTCACTCCATATGCGTTGAAGTAAGAAACATTGAATTAACTCAAAAACCTAAGTATAACTTCGTTATTTTTTTTAAGAGTTGTTTCGTATCAGAATGTGGATCAGACGTACATGACTATAAGTGCTAGTGGCGTGACGCAATACAGTCCTGATGAAATGACCTTTACACCTATAGAATCTTGGGAACGAGAATACAAATTTTATTTAAAACTCATGAAGGTAAATCGATCTTTTAGTGCACTTTTTATTCAGATTACAATGAGAAGTTTGTATACACTAAATAGATACGAATGTTCATACAATTTCGTATGTGGAAGGGCTTTTACGTATGGCGAAAGACAATTACCTGTTGTAAATTTTTAAACGCAAAAAAGCATATGGAAGAAAATCTATTTATATCCGATCTGATTGTTAGTAAAGCATTGTTGGAGGTTAAGGCCATGTGTGCTGTTTTTCTCGACTCGTCTTTCATCGATAAAACCGTCGCTGAGAAACTTCCGCTCTTTACTTTTGCGGAAATGCAGGTAAATAACAAACCACATCTACGATTCCAGGAACACTTTTATCTATGCTGACTGATAATTTGCAGATAACAAAAATCGAATTCGTGAAAGCCGAATTGGAGGAGTTTAGACAGTTGATTGTGGATATTGTGAATAATGCTTGTCATGGAGCATTACTCGCGTCCGGATATACGCCTGATGATTCAAACATTACCATAGAACAAACAGCTTATGGGAAACTCGGTAAGTTTCATATGTGAAAAAAAAAAAGATCGAATCAGTTCAATCATCATTTATTACAGGTCAATTTAGCGATGTTAAATTTCGAATGCCTAAGGATGGTATTTTGAAGATGAGTTACATAGAGCAAGCAAGAAAACGTGAAAAATGTTACAGACTTTCTTGGTAGGCAAAGAGTCAATTTAAGATTTCTTGAATTATATATAATTCACAGTCTCAATTATTATTTTAATACACAGTTTCATCCATCTGATTGATTATATGCAGACGAACATGATGCACGTTCTTATGAATAACACTTATAGTGAATTCTTGGATCTTTTGGAAAAACATACATCGTCTTTGCATGTCAAAGAGTTAGCCGGTCCTGATGACCTTGAATCTTTCTTTGAAACACCAGATTCATCCATGGGTCCACTTCCAATACCGTATTTCATAGGCGACTTGGCAATATCACAAAAAGATGGAATTGCAATAGAACCATCCGAGGAAATATTTTGGAATATTATTAGAATAATACAATCTATGTGGGATGAGAATGTAGATGGTATCAAGCCATTGTTGTCGGATCCATTTTTCAATCCGTTCACCAGGTAAACATATCAGTTATGGATTCTGAATAGAGTTATTACTGAATTCGTATTTACAGGCCAATGATAAATCATAAAGTGGAAGAGCGACTCTGTGGAAATCCACCGCACATGCTGACGGTAATAAACGAAGATCTAGTGATGGAAGATCTAAAAAGAAAACTTTCCCAGATGTTTGCTGAAAATTTTAATGCTGTTAAATCATTTTGTAAACGTCTGGAATTTATTGAGAATTTTTACAAGGAGGATTTGGCCTTCGACGAAAATATCATACGTAACAATGACAAGTGTGACCTCTTTCGAAAATTGTGCGTCAGATATAGCTGGGAGGAATCGATTATAAATAAAATAGTGGAGCATCAACTATTAGGAATGTTCGATTTACAATTTGACCGTCTTAAGCGTACAGCGATGATGGCGCCCAGTAAAAAGAAAAGTGTACTCGAAGTTACTATGCCTGCGTGAGTTTTAGAATTTTAGTGTTGAAAATTCAAAATCTAAAATGACGACATTATAAAGTGCTCTTATATTATAGAATTGGAAAAAGCAAGGTGGATGCTTTATTGACAGAAGCAATGGACGCTATAAATTATCTCGAAGCTGATCCTGTGTCGACTGACGATTACGTGTCTTATATAAAATTCGTTGATAAGGCACAACTTAAGGTGGATAGTATGGAATCACAACTTGATTATATCAAGGAGTTATATGACACGATGTCAGAGTATAATATTCCCGTTCCTGCCGAAGATATAGCAAATTACTTGGTAAAACTTAGATTTAATAACGAGGTTGAAGTTACTACAAAAAATGATCTGACTTCACACCTACCAAACAGGGAATCAGTGTTCAGTTTACTAGCTTACGATTAGCAGTGGGGAAGCGTCTTGAGGACAGACAGAAATTAGTATCAAAGTTCAATAATCAAATTCAAACGGACATTAATGCGCTAATTGATAAAATATCGACCATCAACGACGAGGCAATAGTAAGTACTGTGAGACTAAATAGTAAGTATATGAGATAAATAATTGATATCTTCCTTTGAGATATATACCTGTCATTATGACTCCATTAAGTTGAACTACTTATAAGTATCAAGCATTTAGTTGTCATTTTATAATTACTTTTAGCAACCCTGGCTTCTGGACATCGAAAGTAATGTTGATGTCTGTTTAGCTACCCTTAATGGCTTAATTGAAAGACTCGCTGACTGTGCCAATACGGCAAACGAATATCGCACTTATCAAAAGGGTTTCAAGGTAAAGAATTAGATTTGATCAGTGGAGCATTTAAATGACGTCGTATAAATCTTTTAACGAAGGTTGAAATAACGAGATTCGACATACTTGACCAAGTGACGAACGAGGTTAAGTTGCGAAATCTTTTGTGGGAAAGTGTCGTGTCCTGGGCTGACACCGTGGAAGAATGGCAAAGTATAGATTTCGATACGCTCGACGTAGACGAAATCACGGCATACACAATGCGCAATATGAAAAATATAGCTCAACTTGAAAAAGGCCTACCGTCAAATAACATATTGCCACAGTTCAAAGAAGCCGTGGAAGTGATAAAGGATAAATTGCCGATAATAAGTTGTCTGCGAAATCCAAATCTTAAGGCTCGTCACTGGGCTAAAATCGAGAATCTCTTGCATTACAAATTTAAACCGGACGAAGTTATAACTCTCAATCTTTTGGAAAGTCTTGGAGTCTTTAGTCATACAGTGGAATTGACAGAGATTTCGGCAGCTGCGAGTTCAGAGGCGGGACTCGAGATGCTTTTGAAGAAAGTTGAAGATTCGTGGAAGACATTGGAATTCCTTATCAGTCCTCATAAGGATTCTAAAGACGTCTTCGTCTTGGGAAGTTTGGAAGAAGTCCAGACTGTTCTGGACGAGAGTAATATTAATATACAAACTATTGCTGCTTCTCGACATGTTGGACCGATTAAGCCACGAGTTGACGACTGGGTGAAGCAGTTGGATCTTTTCTCGAAAACTCTGGTAATTGTGTTTGATTAATTTACGTAGACGATCAAATAATTTTCAATATTCATTTCAAATCAGGAAGCTTGGCAGTACTGTCAACAACAGTGGTTGTACCTGGAAGCCATATTCTCAGCACCGGACATACAACGGCAACTTCCAATTGAAGCAAAGCTGTTTGTGCTTGTTGATAAATCATGGAAAGAGATCATGAGAAGAACAGTCAAAGTAATATATTAAATAATATATTAAATCCTGTTAAATTCTATATAACGACTTCAATTTATCTGTATTTTAGATGCCGCTGGCTATGGAGTCCTGCACATATCCTGGATTGCTAGAACAATTTATAGAAAACAATAAGAATCTAGATCAAATCTTGAAATGCCTCGAAGCGTATCTTGAGACGAAGCGTATTGCCTTTCCGAGATTCTTTTTTTTATCGAACGACGAGTTACTGGAAATTTTAGCTCAGGTATAGGACGAACAAACAGCAGCCGATTTGATCATCTTTGATGTTTCGAATGTGATATATTTCTTGCTACACAATTAATTGATAATAATACAGACGAGGAATCCTCACGCAGTTCAAAGACATCTTCAGAAGTGTTTCGATGCTATTTATCGTTTGGAATTTGCGTCTGCTACACCGGAGGAAGAGGGCGAACAGAGCGAAGTGATTTTAACGACTGATATCATTGCAATGATTTCACCAGAAGGTGAAAGGGTTGCTTTAGGAAAGGGGCTGAAGGCCAGAGGTAACGTTGAGGACTGGCTTGGAAAAGTAGAGGAATCCATGTTTGTATCATTAAGAAGACGTATGAAGATCGCTATAGTCGACTTAGACACTAGAGGACGACAATCATTTTTATCCTCTCACCCGTCACAGGTTATGTACAATTATTATGATTATAATTACAATTTTTAATCAAATTCATAATTCGTAAATATCCACAACAGGTAGTACTTACTGTCTCGCAAATATTCTGGGCAAAAAATGTTCATCTTATCCTCGAGTCAAACGGGAATATAGAACACGCTATGCAAGCATTTGAACAAAAATGTTATGCGGTAATCTATAGGTCGATTCGTTAAATGCTTGAATAACTCAGTGCAACTATTAATTGATATAGGATTTAAATCAACTAGCAGCGATGGTCAGAGGAGAATTGCCAAAGCTCATAAGGGATGTTATAATTAATTTAATAACAGTAGATGTGCACGCAAGAGACATCATAACAATTCTCGTGGAAAATTATGTTACATCCAGGTGAGTAAGAATGTTCAATAGTAAATGATAGCATGTAAATTAACATTGTAAAATCTTCGAATTTTCAGCACGAATTTTGAATGGATGAAGGCCCTACGCTACTATTGGGATGAGGAAATCGATAACTGTCTAGCAAGAATGAGTAATGCTGAGTATTTATATGGATACGAATATCTCGGTGCTCAGAGGCGGCTTGTTATCACGCCACTGACCGATAAGTGTTATCTCTGTCTTATGGGAGCACTGCAGCTTGATCTTGGTAAATTAGCACATAGTAAGCCGTTACAACGTAAAATACAATTTAACCAAATGACAGGCGGAGCGCCAGCGGGTCCAGCTGGAACTGGAAAAACTGAAACTACTAAAGATTTGGCAAAAGCACTGGCTATACAGTGTGTCGTATTCAATTGTTCTGAAGGACTTGATTTCAAGGTTCACTTGCATTATAATAATTTATTCATCTTATACTAAATGTATGGACTTGACTGAATTATCTTTTTTCTTGGAGTAGATGATGGGTCGATTTTTTTCCGGTTTGGCTACTTCCGGTGCCTGGTGTTGCTTCGATGAATTCAATAGAATTGACATAGAAGTCTTGTCCGTGATTGCGCAGCAGCTAATTACAATAAGAAATGCTAAAGTCGCCAGGGCCAAAGAGTATGGAATCATCAAATATGATTATTGGCAGTTTCTTTTCTATTATGTCTACAAATTTTCTTTCACAGATTTATGTTCGAGGGTCGTAAGATTAAATTGGTTATGTCCTGCGCTGCTTTTATTACTATGAATCCTGGTTATGCCGGCCGAACGGAATTGCCAGATAATTTAAAATCCCTTTTTAGACCGATCTCTATGATGGTTCCTGATTACAGTAAGTCTGTGAACCTGTTGTTTATATCGAAATAACGTTTGTATATTATTTAAATTATTTTGTAGAACTCATTGCCGAAGTGACACTTTATTCTGAAGGCTTTGAATCTTCTAAACCATTATCCAAGAAGATGACTTTAATGTATACGCTCTGTAGCGAACAGCTTTCTCAACAAGATCATTACGATTTTGGAATGAGGTAAAGAATTGTTAGATTTTTTAAAATTATCTGTATTATTATAGAAGCTTCAATATTTTTAATTCAGGGCAGTGAAGAGTGTTTTGGTAATGGCTGGTACTCTAAAACGCGACAATCCCGACAAAAAAGAAGACGTTGTTTTAATCAGAGCGCTGCGTGATAGTAATCTTCCAAAATTTTTGGCTGATGATGCTGAACTGTTTCGTGGAATCGTCGGTGATCTTTTTCCAGGGATAAACATACCTGATGAAGATTATGGAACACTATACCAAACCGCAGTAAAGGTGCAGAATTAATTTTTGTCTTATATTTTTATGAAAATTATGTAAAAATGTACTAAAACAGATAATGACAGAGGATGGTCTCCAACCAGAAAATTGTTCAATTAACAAAGTCATCCAGCTTCACGAGACTATGCAAGTAAGACACGGAGTGATGTTAGTTGGACCAACTGGAGGTGGAAAAACAACAGTTCTTCATGTAAATTCATTAATTAACTTATCTCCCATTTTCATCCTCCCTGAGTTCATAGGTATTCAGAGTAAGCTTTGATTATTTAGACATTACGTAAAACCTACTCACGTCTTCATTATATTGGAGTAGTAGGGCAGTACTATCAAAATGTACGCATATATGTGATGAATCCTAAAGCAGTAACTATCGGTGAGTTATATGGAGAAGTTAATACTTTGTCAAACGAATGGCACGATGGGTTACTGGGAGCCATTATTCGTTTAGCATGTTCCGTAAGTGTGGAAGATTACCAATTTCAAAAAAAGAAATAAGTGCAAACTAGTAATAGAAATTTCACTATTAGTTTACTACAGAAGAGCATCAGTGGGTTGTTTGCGATGGTCCAGTGGATGCTGTATGGATAGAAAATATGAACACTGTATTGGATGACAACAAAATGCTCTGCTTGGCTAATTCTGAGAGAATAAAATTCACGCCATACGTTCACATGGTTTTTGAAGTTATGGATCTTGCACAAGCTTCGCCAGCTACCGTCAGTCGTTGCGGTAAATATTAATTAATTTTGCAATTAAATATATATTCAATAATTCTTCTAACGAAGGCATGGTCTACGTTGATCCTACCGAATTAAAGTGGATGCCATACGTTAAGACGTGGCTACAAAAGATTCCAGAAGGAATACTGAACGATGATTTTAAAGGTTTGACTTTGGAATTTTTTGAGAAATACGTTGACCAGGGTTTAGCGTTTTGCAAGAGAACATGCGACGAGGTTATGGCTCAGGTTACTTTTTTTTATTCCTGTTGCTTACTTAGAATATTCATTATGTACATTTATTTTGAAGATTGACGTAAGTGTTTAATGACAGGTTGATATTAGCAAAGTTAATTTACTTTGTGCTTTAATGGAAAGTATTCTTCTGGAACCAGGGTCAATAGATAAAAATGCCGAAAGGACTCGAGTAAAAACTTTTCTTTCGCAATCCTTTATATTCTCATACATGTGGTCTGTAGGTGGTAATGTCGTTGACAGTTCACGAGAATCATTCGAACTTTTAGTAAAAGAGCAGTTTGACGGGAATCCCGATGCACGGTACAGATTTTTCATTTATATCGGAAATTCAAAATGCCAATGAATCTTTAATCCGCTATGTTTTACATGTTTAGTCTACCAGCTGGTGGAGATTTATGGAATTTATTTGTTAACGTACCAAGTCGTCGTATGGATCTGTGGTACAAATTGATGCCATCTTTTATTTATGACGCAGAGCAACCATTTTTTGAGATTCTTGTCCCTACTGTTGATACAGTTAGATTTGGTTATATCATGCAAAAATTATTGACTGTTAACAAGCCTGTATTGTTCACCGGTGGAACTGGTCGGTGTTCTACATTAATCAATTAATTGATGATCTTACTATTCATTATCTATTATGCATGCAGGTGTTGGAAAATCAGTGATAACTAAACTCGTCCTTAATAATTTACAACAGTCAGGACAATGGGTACCGATCATATTGAACTTTTCGGCACAAACCAGCAGCGGTCGAACTCAAGAAATTTTGGAATTGAAATTAGAAAAACGAAAAAAGACACTTTTGGGTGCTCCTATTGGCAAGCGTGTTTGTGTTTTCGTAGATGACGTTAATATGCCTAAATTGGATACTTACGGATCCCAACCAGCAATCGAACTACTTAGGTACGTAAAATATATGGTTTAAATAATGTAATTAATTCAAATCACTGTTGCAGGCAATTGCTTGATTGTGGAGGATTTTATGATCGTGATAAACTCTTTTGGAAAGCTGTAGAAGACGTGACCCTCACTGCAGCTTGCGCACCTCCTGGTGGAGGTAGAAATCCATTAACACCCAGATTTTTGAGACATTTTGGAATGCTAACGATACCAGCGCCTACGGAAGGTTCATTAAAAGCGATATTCAAGTAAGTAAAGCATCTCATCACGAAAAAAAAAAAATGCTTTAAAATTTTTATAACAGGGCTATAGTAACAGGATTTTTACAAGATTTTCCGCAACCAGTAACTGAAATGGGTGATAAAATAGTCTCAGCGACAGTAGAAATTTACAACAGAATTGCTGTAGATCTTTTACCAACGCCTGAAAAGAGCCATTATGTTTTCAATTTACGTGATTTATCAAAATGCATTCAAGGAATGTTGCAGGCTGATCCCTCAGTAGTACGTGAGTCAAGACAAATAATAAGGTATATAAAATTTTATTTGAATCTTCAAATTTGATAACACGTTATGAAACATCCATTTTTGAAATTCATTATAGATTATTTTACCACGAGTGTTTACGTGTCTTTCACGATCGTCTGATCAATATCGAAGACAAGAGTTACTTCTATCATTTAATGACAGAAATGTGTTCACGTTCCTTTGGGGACGAAGTGATATCACTTCCACCAGGCGAGATCATCGAGCAGCCACCTATTTTACTTTATGGGGATTTTATGGTGTTTGGTGCTGTCAAAGAACAACGATACTACGAGGAGATTACTGATATTCCAAAAATGAAGTCCATTCTTCAAGTAGCTTTATTCAATATATACGCACTAGATATGTCTTCACTGCAGAATGAATAACCTACAGGATTACTTGGATGACTATTGCATGAACACTTCAAAAGAAATGGGTCTGATATTCTTTATGGATGCTGTCGAGCACCTGTGCAGATTGGCAAGAATTCTTCGTTCAGAACGAGGAAATGGTCTTCTTGTCGGTGTAGGAGGAATGGGAAAGCAAAGTTTAACCAAATTAGCCTCCCACTTGAATGGTTACCGGTAAGTGATGTTATCAAATGAAAAAGAAAATTTGATTTGAAGTTTGAATTTGTCACGCAGTTGTCATCAAATTGAAGTCAGTCGTGGGTATGATCTTAATGCCTGGCATGAAGATTTAAGACATTTTTATTTTAAACCAGGAGCTTTCGCCGTTCCTGCTACATTTTTATTTACCGACACGCAAATTGTCGTTGAGGAATTTTTGGAAGACATTAACAACACTCTTAATTCAGGTACGTTGTGGATAAATATGTATTTATCAGTTTGTGACGGTAAAAAAATTCTTCTAGGTGAAGTACCAAATCTCTTCGAGGCCGATGAACTTGAAAAAGCTATAATAGCTACTAGACCGGCAGCAAAATTAGCTGGTATCGATGAATCGAATAGAGATGGTATTTATCAATATTTTATTGGAAGAGTGCGCAACCATCTTCATCTCATGCTGTGCATGAGTCCTATCGGTGATGCGTTTAGGTATATAAATACACATATAAGTCTTGATAAATGAATTCGATTGTATAAAGAACAATTTTATTAATTATTTAAATTATTATAGACGTCGATGCCGAATGTTTCCTTCTCTAGTTAATTGCTGTACCATTGATTGGTTCACAAAGTGGCCAGATGAAGCTTTGTTTTCTGTTGCACAAAATGCCATCGCTCCTATCACACAGGAAGATATGGAGAAACTAAATGCCCTATCTTCAATTTGCGTTTTGATGCACAAGGTAAATACATTTTTTTAAAATTTATAATTAAAAAATTCGTTGATTTTTAAATGATTACTTTTCTTTACTACGTGCTATGAAGAGCGTTCAAGAGATGACAGTACGATTCTATGAAGAAATGCGTCGCAGGTATTATACGACACCTAAGAGTTATTTGGATTTGTTAAAGCTTTATCTGTCTACCTTGGATAATAACTTTAATCGAATTCTTACAACCAAGAGCAGAATAGCTAATGGATTAAATGTAAGAATTTTCTGCTTTATGCTATTCGTTTTACTGTATATTATTTTTTTTTTATTTTTCTGTAGAAATTACATGAAACAAATGAACTTGTAGTAGTCATGAAGGAACAGCTTATTGTCCTTGCTCCAAAGTTGAAGATAAGTTCTGATGAGGTGACAAACTTAATGAAGGTCGTTGCCAAACAGCAGTACGAAGCTGATAAAGTTAGAACCGTCGTAGCCGCCGATGAAGCTGTTGCAAAGGTTGGAGAATATAAATGAATATTATGAAGTCATTCGCTCAGACATCATATAATTTAAAATTGTTTAGAGTAAAGCTAACGAGACAGCAGCTCTGGAGGCTGAAGCGAGAAAGGATTTAGAAGCGGCAATTCCTGCCTTGGAAGAGGCACAGAAGGCTCTGGAGTCATTAAATAAGAATGACATTAATGAAATAAAGGTCTTCAATAAACCGCCACACCTCGTGAGATTCGTCATGGAAGCTGTGAATTTATTACTGGGAGAAAAGTATGTAGCCTCTTCTTACTGTGCTGTTGTCATTGTTTTAATTTACCATTAATATCAAAACAGAACGGATTGGCCAACTGCAAAGCTTGTATTGGGAGACATTCATTTTTTGGACAGACTTATTGCATTTCCAAAAGACGAGATAAGCGATAAACTTCTGAAAAAGCTTCAGGATTATGTAAACCATCCTGAGTTTCAACCGGATATTGTGGTTAAGCAAAGTAAAGTTTGCAAATCCATCTGCATCTGGGTCAGAGCAATTGATGGATACGCAAAGCTGTTCAGAATTGTTCAACCAAAAAGGATGAAGTAATTAGCGTAGTGCATAATTTAAAAAAATAATTAATATATTCTAAATGCTTCTTGCAATTCTTATCTGCACAGACTTCAACACGCGCAAAACGAGTTATGGGCTATTGAAGGTGTTCTGAAGTTAAAGCAAAAGCAATTAGCTGAAGTTGAGAAAAAAATTCAAAGGCTACAAAATCAATATGATGAAGCCGTGAGAAACCTTGCGGATTTAGAATACAATATGGCACTTTGCGAGGCTAGATTAAATAGATCTGGTCGTTTAACCATGGCTCTGTCAGACGAGCAAGTTCGCTGGGAGGAGCTTATGCTGGTAACAAAATAATGATTGTTTTTTTAAATTATTTCTTACATTCATTCTGATTCATTTGTATTCATCAGCAATTTCATGAGCAAATATCGAATTTGACTGGCGATATTCTAGTAGCTGCTGGCGCTTTAGCTTATTTAGGAGCGTTCACAAGTAGCTATCGCGAAGAATTATTGAATAGATGGTTGGCGAGCTGTAAGAAATACAATATACGAACGACGGCGAATTTTAGTTTAATTACAGTCTTAGCGAGTCCTTACGAGATTCGTTCTTGGAATACGTATGGTTTACCGAGAGATCAAGTCAGTACGGAAAATGCAATTCTTGTAACTCAGGCAGGACGTTGGCCGTTAATGATTGACCCACAAGAGCAGGTTATTCAACCATACTTTGAATAACAGTTCTTTTTAGAAATAGTAAACACATCATCCATTCATTTATCGTCCTCTTGCAGGCAAATAGATGGATACGTAACATGGAGCAAATAAATAAATTAAAAGTTTGCAAATTGACTGATTCAAATTTTATGAGAATTATGGAAATTTGCATAAGGCTCGGTACGCCTATGATGCTACAAGAAGTTGGAGAAACGTTAGATCCTAGTCTGGAGCCTGTACTATTGAAGCAAACTTTTAATCAGGTATTATCACTAATTGATAGTCAGCAAATCGTGAACAAATAGATTATTTATTGAATCAATTTATTTGTATTTTTTTTATTAAGGGTGGAAGAACGCTCATCCGCATAGGTGAAAATGATGTTGAGTACGATGAAAATTTTAAGCTTTATATCACCACAAAAATGGCCAACCCTCATTATCTTCCTGAGATATGTATAAAAGTTACAGTAGTTAATTTTACTGTAACCCCTTCTGGTCTCGAGGACCAACTTCTTGCGTGTGTATTTTTAAAGAAAATGTAGACATGTATATTATACAATATTTATTAATGTTTAATTGTTCTTTTAGTGATGTTGTACGGCTGGAAAGACCTGATTTGGAAAAAATGAGAAACGAACTGATCGCCAAGATCAATTCTGATAAAGAACAGTTGCAAGGTATAGAAGATAAAATTCTAACGTTGCTCTTTAGTTCCGGTGACAATATTTTGGATAATGAGGAGTTAATAGAGACACTAAACGATAGTAAAGAAACTTCCGCCATTATCGCAACGCGTCTGGTTGAGTCTGAAGCAACCGAGGAAAAGATTTCAGTTGCCAGAGAAAAATATCGTTCAGTAGCAACGCGTGGATCGGTTTTGTATTTTGTGGTAGCTAATTTGGCTAATATTGATCCAATGTATCAATTCTCCTTGAAGTATTTCAATCAGGTACGTCATTGCGCTTTAATGTAGAAAAATAAGAATTTAATTTAGAAATTGTTTATTTCAGATTTTTAATACTGTCATTGAAACCAGTGAAAAGATTGAAAATTTGTCGGGTAGATTATACATTCTTTATAGAGAAATTACTCTTTCAATCTATACTAACGTATCTAGGGGTTTATTCGAAAAACATAAATTAGTATTTAGTTTTATGCTAAACATGGCGATATTTCTCGAGGCAAGACTTGTCAACTACGTACAATGGAATTTCCTGCTTCGCGGACCTGAACAAATTAAATCTGTATGATCAAATTCATTAAACAGATCACTCGCGTTAATAATCGTGATTCAGCAATCAACTTTTTTTCTAGAGCAAAAAACCGGAATACCTAACATTGACGGAATCAATGTGGAATGCCGCTAATTATTTATCTACAGTATTTACAAAATTTAATGGTATATTGACAGATATGTTAAAAAAAATCACAATCACAATAGAATATTTTCATGAGGTACTAAAATTGAATTTCATAAATTTTTATAATCAAATTATAATTCTAATTACACAATTTTTATTCATAGGAAATTAATATTATACCAACAAATAATAATAATGCTACGAAGAATTGGAATGAAATCCTAGATGATATAGAGAAGCTGATGTTGCTGAAAGCCCTCAAAGAAGAGAAGCTCATTTTTGGAATTTCAGCCTACGTGAAGAAAAATCTTGGGCAAAAATTTATTGAGTCTCCAATGATATCTTTACACGATATGTACGCTTCTCGTATAAGATTGCGAACACAAAAATGTATTGGGATTGTAATTTATTTTCAGTTTTGTCGATACGTCCTCGACGACGCCTCTTGTTTTCGTTCTAAGCACAGGATCCGATCCTTTCGGTGCTTTTCAGAAATTTGCTGATGAAATGGGATACAAGAATAAATTCGAGTCGATTTCTCTAGGTCAAGGACAAGGTCCAATAGCTGAAGGTCTTTTAAAAAAGGGCGTAGTTGATGGTGAATGGATTTTCCTACAAAACTGTCACTTGGCTACATCCTGGATGATAGCCATGGAAAGACTTGTAATACAGATTTCAGAACAACCGGAAACGGTACACCGCGATTTTCGATTATTTTTAAGTTCAATGCCAAGTGCCGCATTTCCGGTATCGGTCCTTCAGAATTCTGTAAAAGTCACAAACGAACCGCCTAAGGGTCTCAAAGCTAATATCAAGCGAGCATTTTTTGAATTGAGCGAAGACTTCTTTGAGAATCATGGTAAGCCAGTAAAACGTATGTGAGTGTTCTATCCGTATTTTATTTTATAAAGATTATATTCTCTAGCACTTGATGATGAATGGAGAAGTATGATTTTTGGAGTCTGCTTCTTTCATGCCATTATTCAAGAAAGAAAAAAATTCGGTCCTTTAGGATGGAACATATTATACGAATTCAATGACAATGATCGTGAATGCTGTTTATTGAATTTAAAAATGTTTTGCGAATTTGGAGTAATCCCCTGGGACGCTCTAATATATATAACTGGTATGTATTGGCATGAAATTATCGACATTTGTCATACGTCAACGTATTGTTTTACAGGTGAAATAACTTATGGCGGTAGAATAACGGACAATTGGGATCTGCGCTGTTTAAAAACTATACTCGATGGATTCTTCTCTCCAAAAACATTGTATACGGGTAGAAAAAAAAATAGATTACTTTTTAGCCGACGAAAATCTTAGCATAATTAAAATTCCACAGATTACACATATTCACCATCAGGAACCTATTATTGTCCAAGATATAAGACACTGAAAGAATACAAAGATTTTATAGAAACTTTTCCGCTGATAGAAGATCCTGAGATTTTTGGAATGCACGAGAACGCGAGTATTGCTTATCAGGTCTGTTTACCTGAAACTGTTCAGTGGAGCAATTAAACACAGTTGTTTTTTTTTTTAGCTAAAAGAGACGCAATCATTGATAAATATAATAATGGAGGTACAACCCAAAGTAAGCATTGGAGGAGAAAGTAAATCTAGTTCTGAAATAGCGTATGAGATAGCAGATATGATAATGGATAGAATTGCGCTGAAAATAGATGCAGATATGTGTAACACTGATCACTTAAAAGTGAGTTTCTTATTATCATTTATTCGAATATAAAGCCTTATAATGTTTTTAATAAATCCATACAGAGGGATGTGGCTGACAGATTACCATCTCTTACAATTGTCTTACTACATGAAGTAGATCGTTTTAATAAACTTTTAACAAAATTGCATTCCACGATGGAAAATTTACAGAGAGCTATTAAAGGATTTGTTGTAATGTCTGATGAGTTGGAAAAAATTTTCAAAGCACTTATTAACAATCAGGTGAGTTAATCATGAGTGTTGCTATAAGATAAAAATCTAATGAAGACCTTGTGGACGTGTCTTGTTATTTTACTTATAAAAAGTAGTCCTTAGCTTTGAACTTATTCCGCATATCTTTTTCTCCTTTTATTTCAATCACATTTAATTATTCTATACAGGTACCACAGGTATGGCACAACGTGAATGTATATCCATCTTTGAAAAGCTTGGGTAGTTGGATAAGGGATTTAGAACTTCGCATTGATTTTATTGAAGTAATTAAAAATTACTGTACGTTTTTTATAATTAATATATTACTATTAATGTATATATTATATATGTATAGATATGGTTGATGGATACGATGCCAATTTCCTTCTGGATATCTGGGTTGTCCTTTCCTCAAGGATTTATAACTGGCATATTGCAAACTTATGCTAGGAAGTATAACACGCCTATTGATCATTTGAAGCTTGACTTTACTATGACTAAAGTCGTACTAGATCAGGAGGATATTGAAGCTGCTCACCGAGAAGTTGAAAAAGAAGTGAATTTCCGTTGTCGATTAATTATTACAGTTGATTCAAATTGTTCTTATTAATATTAGGTACCTGAAGTATACAACGACCTACATAAACCTTTAGATGGGGTTTTTGTTCATGGGCTTTTTATAGATGCCGGCAGATGGGATTTCCATTTTATGGTTCTTGTTGATGCTAATAAGGGTAAAATATTTGACTAGAATTTGAAACAAGTATTCGTTTTTTGCTAATGTATACGTTACAGGAGAAATGAGTCCATCATTACCAGTGATGCACATTATGCCTGTAATGGCTCCACTAGAAAATGATCCAAGATATGTTTGCCCATTGTACAAGACTGCCATACGAGCTGGTGTTTTATCAACTACAGGACACAGTACGAATTTCGTGGTGGCGATTTTATTGCCTTCTGCTCGGAAGCAATCATATTGGATTCTAAAAGGAACTGCATTGTTAATTCAAATAACAGACTAATTACTTTTATCCATAATAGAACAGTATTTGTTAGTTATAATATACTACAAGTATTTTCAAAAGAAAGACCATTTAAAAGAAAACTGATTATTTTTTAGTAAATATATATTTATTTTAGTACTTGTGGACACCGGGTTTCACACGGTAATACAAAATTCTTATGTCTAACACGATTCATGCGTGTACAGTCAGAGTTTTGAACAGTCGTTTTATGTACTTAATCAGGTAAAGCGTAAATATTTTAAAAAAAGCGAAATGCTGAGTACGTGCAACTACCACAGAAAGAGTACTCTATGAGAGTTGTAGGCGTTTCCTACGAATAACGTTAGCATGATAATTGTAATCATTTTCATCAATGCTCCACATAAGCACCATATATAAGGTAACTATTGTTGCAAGTAGAAATCGATCAACCCTGTAAAGAATTAAGCTTTATATACTGCAAATTACATATATACATATAATTAAAGTGAGGTTGTAAGTGTAGAATTATAAAAGGAATGACATACGTCATAAATGGGTGAAGCCATAGTATTATGAGAAAACCACTAAAACTAGGATGTCTCATATGGGCATAATAGCGCTGCAACTCTAATGATTTCATAGCCATTGGGCTTGGTCTAGCAGATATCTTGTAATAGACTTGCTTCAAACCAGCAAGTTCAGAAATATCCATCATCAAGCACCCACTGTACACTATAAACCAGCCCAGAACATGAAAGCCAGAGAACACTAGCCAAAGTGTATTATTATGAGCGGTATCAATGTCCCATATAGATACCCAAGGTACAGATTGCCAGTAACGCATCAACAAGTGTAATACAGCTGCACTGCTTGCATTATATATGCTTCGCTCTAAATCTTGTATATCCAGTTTGGAATAAATCTCTTTGGCATAATTGCTAGCCATAACAGAGTGCTGTAGCATAAATGAACTAAGCAAACAGGCATTCATCAGTAATGCCCACGTTGTAGACAAATTTAAATTTTCAGCTGTTAAAATAATCAGTTAAGATTAAATTTTTAAAATATATTAAAATTAAGAACAAAACTAAAACAATTCAAATAAAACCTTACCTTTTGTCGTCTGAAGTAAAGTTTTTTGATTTTCATTGTGAGTTGATAAAAAATACATGAGATTACACAGAATGTAAAAAGTATATAAGAAGCTGCTTGTACAAACAGCAATGCTGAACGATTTGGAGATCATTTTTGTGATATATAACACAAAACTGTGTTGATACTCAAAATACTATAATAGCTTCACTGAGAATTATTTCCATTAATAGAACACTCATCCAAGGAATGTATGTGTTGTCAATTCAATAATCTGAAAAAATGTTCATTATGGTAAGCTATTAAAATGTGTCAAATGATTGTTGAATAATAAAAATATTCTTTACAGGCAAATGTTTACGAATTTTAATTATGATGTTTCTTACCCAAAGACGCTCCTACATGTAGACGACAAATGAACGATAAAGGGCATTGATCTGTCTAGTTGTAGTTGCATGTAGAGTATCCATAATGTAGACTTACTACTTGCCGGGATAACCTGCCCCTATCGACCTTGCTTTAACGCATTATTGCTTTGGAATGCGACTTTCCGTGCTTTCCGTCAAAAGGGCGAGTCAGGTTAAGTTCCAGTTTTGCGGTATTGAAATTTGCTCTTCCTTGAAGTGGCTTCTGAAGAAACTTGGCTGGTACCTGCCAGTATCCAATTTGTAAGTACTGTGCATATAATGAACATGTTTATTATAATAGATATTTTCTAATGCGGTAAAATGATATGGATTTATGGGTAAAAATTTCAGTTTCTAAACTTCTGACATTGTATAACGTTGAGGCTTTGTTTATCTGTCACTCTGTGTTGTAGGCATAAATATTCCTTTAAGAAATTCGTTAAAAATTTCAATGTCCTTTGTTCACAATTAGTATTGATATTCTTTAGATTCATAGATTACAACTATCAATCAACTTGTGTGACAATTTTGTGTTTTAAAAGAAAGAAAACTTCTGTCTCGATTGTTTTTGGTTTTATATGATTTGGATGGTTTACGACGAGAATAATATCTATTTATAGACCGCGATGGCATTGACAAATGCACATCAGGCACTCACTGTGCAATTGTTTTAGTATTAATACTGAGCTTGGGGAAGGCAGAGAGGATCCATAAGAGTTGGCAAAGAAAATATTCAAGAATATAATTATTATAATTTAATCCTAATGGCGTTAGGTATATAAATATGGGTTGTATATTAATCTATATGTTTTAACGTATATTTTCCCTTGTTCTGTTCAGTTGGCCTGACATGTCAAATCCTGCAGATCGTCTAAGTTATGTCCAAGATAGCAGTAGCGATACAGAAACAGATTGTAAAGAGACTGATGGATGTGGAAGACATCGCATTTATAAGAATAGATTAAGGTACGGATTCTGAATATTTTTACAGTCAAAGATTATGTACATTTTCAAATATGAAAAAAATGTCAGTGATATGTATTACTGTGTGACTCATTGTCACACACTGTACATATGACAAATATCCAGTATAACATCTTTTTTCACAAAATCCTAATAAGAATATTTATAACCATAGACTTATGGCATGTGTCTATAATTGCTAATATAAATTTTAATATGCATGGTACATATTTTGAAACTTAAAATGGTTAATTCAATTTTTGTAAATTTTCACTAGTATGTAGAGTATAATCACAAACTATGTTAGAGTGTTATTAACCACTTTAAGCTTTGCTAAATATGTCTTTTTTTCTCTAGATTTAAATCATGATTAATTATTAGAAAATGTTCAATCTAGAGCACTGTGAAAACATTACTACTATTATTCTTCTCATTAGCATTCATACAAATTAGGTTATTGGGATTTGAATGTTTGTTCAAACGTACTACATAAGGCATATGATACTCAAAGAGACAATTAATAACAGCAGTTACAGTGAATAGCAGACATCAGTAGGGGACTTTTCATTATCTATATTAAGAGGATGTTCACTTACATTTAATGAAGATTTTATAAAAATTCTTATTCCACTGATTATGGTACTTATATATCTACTTTTAATGAACACCCAATCCAGACTGTATTGTAGATATACATACAGTCTAGAATTTATTTAAAATGTACATACCCCTAGCTTATTAGCTTTAATTAGCTTAGATATTGTAGACATCTCATAATGCTTGAAAACTTAGTAGCAAATTAGTAAGGAAATGTGGTTGTTTTGCATGTAGTTGTGGTGGCTCGTCCAAACCAAAATCTTGTCTGGTACAGAGGGATGGGAGCAACGAGCGACATTGCCATTCCTACAATTCAGGCAGACAAGGCGCAAATTTAACGCAGCAAAACAGGTAATACCTAAATGTATAACGAGGAAAAGCCAGAGATTTACTAGATCCCTTTTTTATTCCAATAGTAATAGTTCCTGATCAATGAAATCGCTTTTTTTTTCTCTTTAATCGGTTTTTCCTCAAATGTGCTGATGCACTTCTAAATGCAAGATAAGAAAAAACTTGTCCGAAGTAGTTTCATTTTTTGTCACAATCTTTAGTTTTTGGATGTGATAGAGGCTCCCTTGGAATTAAATCAGGCTGCTACATAACGTTTCAGGTAGGTTATTTCGATAAATTCTAATTGCATAATACAATGCTTTCTATGTTTGTTACGGATCGTTAGGTTTTAGAAACTAAGCAAATCGTCATTGTCCAGCTAGCTCGCTAAACACTCTTATGCTTAGGCTCAGCAATAAAGAACGAAGAGAAGAATAACGTCTTTTCTATTTTTGTTCAGACTCCGTTCAGGGGTTTCGATCAGTAAGAATCAGCAAGGACAAAATCGTGACAATTTACCGTCATCCGGACCTATTGCAGGCATGAGCAATCAGCAGGCCAGCGATGAGCGTATCACACTCATTGTCGATAATACCAGGTAGATACAAGATAATTATATATGTATATTATATAGAATAAGTCTTACAAAAATGAAAACACATAATTATTTTGTTCCTCAGGTTCATCTTAGACCCAGCACTCTTTACGGCCCATCCGAATACTATGCTGGGACGGATGTTCAGTTCTGGCATTGAATTTGCTCAACCAAATGAGCGAGGCGAATATGAAGTTGCGGATGGCATATCTGCCATGGTGTTCAGGGCAATTTTAGAGTATTATAAGGGTGGAGTAATCCGCTGTCCTCCCACTGTCACTGTCCAAGAGTTACGTGAGGCTTGTGATTATCTCCTTGTACCTTTTGATGCCAGCACAGTGAAGTGTCAAAATCTCAGTAAGTAACAGATACTGCTACTTCTATATGAACGTTAAAGAAAGCGAATGAGATTTGATCAACGTTCAAATATGAGAAGACTGTCAACAATAGGAACGTTCGTGGCTTTGGAAACTGTAAAAGTTCATTACAGGAGGATTACTACATGAGTTATCTAATGAAGGAGCTCGCTGCCAATTCGAAGTGTTCCTGGAAGACCTGATTCTCCCGTTGATGGTGAACAGTGCACGTAGGGGAGACCGCGAATGTCACATTGTAGTATTACTTGAAGATGACGTCGTGGATTGGGACGAGGAATATCCACCACAGATGGGAGAAGAGTATTCTCAAAGTATGTATATCTTAAACAAAAGTTTATAAAGCGATCATATTATCGTTGAATTTCGTACGATTATATAAACTTCAAACAATAACGCTTCCGAGCGATAGCGCTCTTTGTCGCAAAACAAAAACCGATAATTGCTATTCTCTTCCTGGCCTTTAAAGCTCTGTCGAGCAAATTACTTCCAGTTATTTCATAAAGGATCATAGAGGCAAACTGGTGTATGTAATATATATATAAAATAGTTTAGAAAAATTTTGTTTAACTTTTAAACGTTTTCACGCAGCTGTCAACAGTACGGCGATGTACCGATTCTTCAAGTACATAGAGAACCGGGATGTGGCAAAACAAGTAATGAAGGAGCGCGGACTCAAGAAAATTCGTCTGGGTATCGAAGGCTACCCGACGTACAAGGAAAAGGTGAAAAAGAGGGCTGGAGGTCGTGCGGAAGTGATCTACAATTATGTTCAGCGACCATTCATCCACATGTCCTGGGAGAAAGAAGAGGCTAAAAGTAGACACGTTGATTTTCAATGCGTCAAATCGAAATCCGTAACAAATCTTGCCGAAGCCACTGCCGACCCGGCGCTAGATGCTGGAGGAAATCCCATTAACGCGATAGCACTCCTACAGGCATCTGAACCGGTGCCCCAGCCTGAGGTTTCTCTGGGTTCTGATCCTGATATGGAAGGGGCTGTAGGGATACCTCCAGATCCTTACCCTGGCTCTTTACCAGACGAGCTGCCATGAGCTTCAAGTTATTGAGCCATTACCTTTTAAAATATATATCGTTTATTACATAAACAATGATATTTAGCGATATGAAGGGTCGCATAAGAGTTGACAGCTTTTCCTTGTCACCACGTCAATTCTTAACCGGTATAGTTGTGTAACCTGTAGTTCGTGTACCGTGGACAACATATTTCGTATTAATCCATTAAGATTGGAATACAGTGACTATTCGTATCGTTGCTCATCGTGATCGACCTAGGCTAGAACTTACATATTGTTAAATTTATAAATAATCTGTATATAAGCTAGGCGTTCCTTATGATTACGCTTCGGTGCGCTTCACACGTTTGCCCACCTTATGTCATTTTGAAGAACCTTTTTCCTATTTTGTACTGTTAATAAACTTGAATACCGTTTCGCAAGTAAATCGTGCTCGATCTCTCAACACCTTAAGATCAATGTCCAAAATTATTATTCACATCTTCAACACGCAAAGTACCTTTATTAATATAATAATTATTGATTATACACAGGTCGATAACGGATCTTCACAGATGGTAATGGAAAAAGACCATGGATAAAGCTCTCTCTCGGCAAGATTCAGAGGGTTGCGTACTCTGTCAGCGGCGCAGAGGCGCGACACAGATATCACCGTTTTGAACTGGAATCACGAAAACGCAGGCGCGAGAATGATCAATAAATACTTGAAGTCGAGGGCAAGAGAGCAGTAGCATACGGGTACGGAAGCAGAGAGCGTATTTTCGAAAAGGACTAAGGGCTCCAAGTGGTGAGGCTGCAGAGCAGCTCGTCCAGCATGCAACCGCCCCCGAGAAAAGTAATATTAACAGCGTAAAGGAAGGTTTCGGAAGTGCGCGAGACCGAGTGTGTTTAATGATATATAATTATTGAACAAAAATGATATAATTTGCATCATGAACAATCGGTACATCTAAAATCCCTATTTGTCAGGCAGTTTGTTTATGAACTATTGGTATCGATTCGTACCGTTGAAGAAGAGCGAATCACGTCAAAGGACGCAGCTCGTCGTGAACACGCGGAAAATCAATGAACTCTTGGTAGTAGCCTCCCTACGATCGAATATATATATAAAAACTTGACCTGGAAATGTATCCGGACAAAGACCCTGAGAGTAATTCATGAATGCGTGGACAGTCAATCCGGTACCGGATGTGAGACGTAAAAATGAAAAGGCGTAGAAGATGAAATCTCTCGGTCTCGTGTGCAGCGCGGCAAAACGTTACATGGCTCGTTGTTGAGCTTTATTGTCATCTGGAACAATAGTTCTTTGACCCACTTCCGTTTCCTCTTTTTTTTTTTTGTAATTGCTCTTAAACTTCGTGAGAACTTTATCAGATGGGTTTCTTTCATTTGATCTGGTTCCACTTACATGAGGAAATCTTTAATGGAAATTCCCTTGGCTGTTCTTTTAATAGGGAAACTACGCGAAATTTCTTAAGAACGTGCACACCGAACAAGCGGCGAAGTTACAGGCGAAAAATCAACATGAGTGCGACCTTCTGGAAGATATACGGTGAGCCAGTAATTCATGTAAATTTAATTAACTCAAAGCTATTCAGAATCTTTTAGACGTTACGCAAATATTATTTTTTATCCAATTATTTTTCTGTCACTTGAAGCGATTTCGATGTAAAACCATTTGTACGGTTACTATGAATTTTTCGTTACGCTAAATATTAAATATTGCACTATTATTAATACGTTTATATTTTTAATTGATATCTCTTCCAAATTCAAAATTTTTTAAGATCGAACCAGATATTTCCATCGGCCTTAAATATAAATTTGTGGAATTATTAATTAAGCGAAATGATTAAATAGTTTACTTATTAAGATCGATAGTACCTTGATCTCATTAACTGTCCAAGATATTTTTCTCACGATAGAAAGATCATTAACTTAAATGAAAATGGGTGATGCAGTGCGCAATACAGATCTCGCGAATCGATGCCATCGGCGCCATTTGCAGAGCGGGCAACTGTATGGTGTCAAAGAGGAGAAACATGTATAGACGTTTTATAAGAGAAAGTAAATCTATCTTGATTTCTTTCTCTCGTCGTAATATCCCTCTGCTCATTTTTATCATATAAAAATACCGTGGCGGCTTCTAAACCTTTTTTAAGATGCCCACGACGTGCTGCGCTTATGGATGCACCAATCGTTTCGCAAAGGGCGGAAACATTCAATACTTTTCGTAAGTATAATATATTATGTTCTGGAGATATACCTTTGACGAGAATATTTTATATGCACAAAAAGCCATTGTTTGCTTTCTTAAATGATCCTCTTCGGTTAATTATTCGTTTTTCAATAATTAATGTCAGGTTATGCTTGTAATTACTTATATTTCACAAGAATGCGCAGACTCGACATCCGAATTTATGTTCTTTACTGCTATCCACTGCTATCTAATAGGTCAGATCTGATCTGGATAGATGAAAGTTAATGTACATTCTAATTTTTCATGATAATATTTTAGATTCCCTACTAAAGACGAGGAACACATGAAGTGATGGGTAAAGGCTGTTAGCAGAAAAGATTGGCAACTGTCATCCCGTTCAAAAATCTGCATTGCACATTTTTTACCTGAAGAGTATCTGAACAGACCTGGTATTTATATCAAGCGTTTGAAACCTAATGCTGTTCCTTCTATCTTTCCTTCATATCCAGCACGTTTTCAGCAACGAACGAAGGAACTTTGAAAACAATTTATAGAGCCTCCTAATCAAAGAAGATTGAAAATGCAGTATTATACCTCATGGAGTCGTGAAAAAATTGCAAATTCTGTATGGAATCTTCAGAATAACAAAATTCATTAAGCAAACGTCACATTGTCACTAAAAAATAATGAAAAATCAGGCAAAAGAAAAATAAGCCATAATATTTTGGAGGATGACAGTCTCACATTGACATATTGCACTGAAAAAAAATTCAAAGAAAATCATGCCATAGATGAACAAAATAAAGATGAGTTTCATCTCCTTCAACCTGCATATATTTCTGTTGAACAGATATTGACAAAGAAGCTCAGATTACTGTATAGGAGAAAGCAGCTTTGGAGAAGACAAATAAAAACAGGTCATCAAAAAATTCGGAGGCAAATAAGTAGAGTAAATAAACTGCGACAACTTGCTACCCAATTCAATGAGATTATTAGTCAGAATAACGTGAAATTATGAAGTATTTAAAATATATTTTATATCCGTCTGTATATATCTATATAGTACATACCTTATAAAATAGTATTACGGCCTTTAGTGTAAATATTTTTAATAATGTAAAGACGTTAATAAAGGCACCTACAGTTAAGAATGCACATTTTATATTAATACAGATTGCAAAGTGATTTATCTTTTCATGTACATGCTTTTTTATAACCTTATGCAAACTTTATTTATCACTATCACGTTTCTCATGTTTGTATTCTGTTTCAGTAATTATACGATTAAAAAGTCGGCAATCGAAAAATCATATTCCGAGGTGCGTTGAATAATTCAAATAATCTTTATCTAATTGCGTTCCGTGAATTATAAAAATCTTTCATTTTCCAGGCTTTGCTCAAAATATCTTCTGCGTACTTGAACAAAAAGATTCCCAATATACCTGATATAAAAGTCGAAGGCGGAGAGGAAAAATGGTAAATATCATGTTGCATTTGCCAAATGGAGATTATTGAATTGAATACAAGTATCCAGACGAGTTTACTCATGAAATTTCATTTAGGAATATGTGGAACGTTTGGAGAACCGTATTGGAGGAGAACGAGAAACTTGCCCGAGCGCGTTTGGCGGCTGTGGAAGTTTTTCAACAACAAATTGCGGACGACGCAAAGAGTCTGAAGTTACATAAAGTTCAGATTTCGAAAAAGGTTGATATCTCTGCGTGTATGGCGTATACGTAAATTGTACTTAGCTAACCAAATTTAACTCTTAGGCAATCGACCAACTGATGATAGTACAGAAGGAACTGCAAACTTGCGTACAAGATGTTGATAAAACTAAGAAATTGTACTTCGATGAGGAGCACAGTGCTCATGATGTACGAGATAAGGCAAAGGATATCGAAGAAAAGTAAGTCAAATGTTTGAACAATTAAAGGAGAACTGCAAATAGATAGAAAAATTATTAATAATAACAATCTTTAGGTTAAAGAAGAAAAAAGGCTCGTTTTTTCAATCAATAACGTCACTGCAAAAGAATAGTGCTAAAGTAAGGAATCAAACGAAATAGATTTGTCTTCTTTCCGGGAAATAATCTAGTTTACTTTGAAATATATTAAATACTTTAAATCACAATACAGGTCAGTTCAAAACGTGACGCTTTAGAGGAAAAATCAACAGGCGCTCGGAATGATTATCTACTCAGTCTTGCTGCTGCCAATGCCCATCAAAATAGATATTTCGTAGTTGACCTGCAATCAACATTACAAGTAAGGAAAATAAGATTTTATTTATTACAATGATAATGAATCAAATTTTAAAAAATGTAATTTATATTTTTCAGTACTTGGAACAGGGAGTCTATGATAAAGTAGCAGAATATTTAACGCTTATGGGACGCACAGAGCTTCTAACCTGTTTGGCAATGCAGAACAGCTTTAGTAAAATACGCGATCAAGCTCAGCAAGTAAGAGAACAATTATTCAATTAAATATAGAACTCATTTTGATTTTCATCAATAATACAACATTGTTTTATGCATTACAGCTGACTAGGGAGCACAACTTACAATGCTGCTATTTATATTATCCAGTATTAAAACAACATATACAATATGATTTTGAACCTTGCGATAACGACCCTGTCGATAGGTGAGTGATATATTTATGCCAATAGAGTTCGATTGAGTGCAGAAATAAGGTAATTAACTTTTTAATGTCCCAGGATAACGGCCGATCATTCAGCTGCTGGAAATTTAGGAAAGGAGGCTCGTCGCTGGTCGTCGAGAATTGCTCGTGAGGTTACTACTATTAGGGAAGGTGTTCGAAAATTACAAGCTCTTCTGCAACTCAAAGAATCCGGACAGAAGGTACCATTGACTAATTAACCCTTGAAAAACGTTGCAAACGATTTCATGGGAGCACTGTAATTCTCGAGACACCCTTTAATTTCAGACTGATCCAAATGATCCAAATGGCCCAGATTTGGATACTAAGATTGATGAACTGAGACACGTAATACGACGGGCTGAGGTGAGAAAATTTGGTTTACTTAGATAAATAAAATAAAATTAGATATTGAACTTCGGATCCTCTTTTATTCTTAGACCGCCAAGATGAAAGCAGAGGCACGAATAGAATGTCTTCGAAATGGAGGAGGTACGTCAGTCCTTCAACTGCTTAAAAATACATGATAACAAAATTAAACCCCATCGTTTACATCTTTTAGTTAACGTTGATGAATGGTTACAAGAGGCTGAGACACTGAGTGTACAGGATATGCCAAGATCTGCAAGCTCACTCTCTGTACGAACTGATGCATCTGGCACAGCGGTAATTATCACGCTATTATTCACAACAAAATAACTATCAAAGTAATATTCAGATAATATAAGTAAAATATTATTTTCAGGAACACCCGTCCTCTGATTCGTTCTATGATAGCGATGGTGATGGAGGTAGCGACCTAACTACTGTCGAGCGACCTGGAAATGTTCGCGGTGCTACGCAAGAAGAAGAAGCTGCCGAGGAACGTCAGAGGCATGACAGTGCTGAAGTAGATGGTATGTAAAAAAATAATTTTATCCAAGCTTTCTTCTGACATATATTTCCATATAGCTGTACTCGAACAAGAGAAACAACGAATAGAATTGCTCACATTTGGTTGGGACGATCCTACATCAATTGACTGGGATAACGAAAATAAGGACGAGACAGCAGAAGTTGAAGAGTCATCCGAGGTGCCTTCTAACCAGCAGATATTTAAATGCACTGCACTTTATTCGTACACAGTCAGTATCATTAAAGTACTAACAGTATTTCTTTCTTTGTCAATATTCATGAACTATATTTCACTTATTACTTTAAAAACTAGGCCCAAAATCCCGATGAATTGTCAATTGTTGAGAGTGAGCAGCTCGAAGTCGTCGGCGAGGGCGATGGTGACGGTTGGCTGCGTGCACGAAATTATCGTGGAGAGGAAGGCTTTGTACCTCAGAATTATCTTGACGTCGAAAGAGAGCCTGATACTACAAGTGGTCTCACTTCTCAAGGACCAAGTCTTTTCCAACAAATATCCTTTTCTTCGGTTGATTATACAATCGACGACCATGAGGCTGTCGATCCTGACGCCAATTTACAGACAGCTGCCGAAGATACTATAGTACAAAATCACGTAAATGGTAAATTGTCTTGAATCAATCATTGAGATATTTTAGAAATAATAGTCGTGAATTTTTTTGTATTATATATACGTCTTACAGGCACTGCACAATACTGCATTGCTTTATACGACTACGATGCTACCTGCGACGAGGAACTAAGCTTTATGGAAGGGGATGTGCTACGAATTCTCAGGAAAGAACCCCATGACGTTGATGATGGGTGGTGGGAAGGTGAATTATCTCAACGGCGTGGTATATTCCCATCGCTAATTGTGGAACCCTGCGCACCGGATGGTTCACCTCTGACGCCTCAGGTTAAAATAATACATGCACGAGTTACCCTACTCTTTTAGTAGTTTTACGGATTAATGTTTTTTGCAACTGAATTTTTAATATTGTTACCACAGGAGGATACTACACCACCAAGTTCTGCACCGCCCGTTTTTACTCCACCAGAAATTCCAGAATTCTTACTGGCTGAAGATCTGGCTCAATCTATGGCTAATGGTATTTTGAGATTTTTAATTACCAATATTTAAGAATTATAATAATTTGACCTTGTATTTCCTTTTTCTTGAATAGAAGCAGGGGAAGACAAACCTCCAGTCGTGAATGGCGAACAGCCTCAAGGTTTTGCAATAAAGCTTAACAAGAATCAAAAAGAGCAATATGGCATGCAATTTGAACAGGATGATGATTCTCAAACGCCCGGTATAGTAGGTAAGTTAAACAAAATACAATATAAAAACCTACATCCATTATCCAATATCCCAAAACCTATCACTGATAATCATCCTGAATCTTTTGCATTGCTGCATAGTTGTGGAAGTATCGGATGAAACAGATGGTCAAGTAAGTTCTGAATGAATGACGATAAAGCCGCTGCACCTCATACAATAGATATAAGCAAGATAAGATCAAAATTTCTTAAGGGGTATACCTTAACGTATTTTTGTAATTATAGGGGGACGTAGTCGATGATGTCACACTTCCATTAAACGAAGAACAGGAAGCTCCAGCCAAAGATGACTTCGGCTTGGGAGTGGCACAAATCGTCATTACTGCAGCAACACCTATGGAAGAGATTGATCATCCCTTTCCAGGTGCAGAAGAAGAATCGGATGAGACAACTAAAGCTGCAGAGGAATCATCAGAAGTGGAAGCTGAGGTGGAAGTCATCGAGTCCGTGGAAACTATTGAAACCGATACCAAGGAAACTCCTGCTATTGTCGGGGAACGTGAAGAAATTGAAATAACAGAAATAACGGAGGACACTGAAGAGAAATCAGTTGTAGATGACTTACCAGCCGATTCCGCTCCATTTCCGGTAAGCAGCAGCTCTGGCAGTGAAGCTGATTCAACATCCGGTCCAAGTACTGCTGACAATTCCCAATCAATTCCATCTCGCGGTACCGTGATCGAAGTGCAATCGAACGAGGAACCTGAAATAATTCAGGAAAAAGTGGTTGTTGGTGGTAGAGCTAGTATTCCGGATGAGTTACAGCCTGATCAGTTGGAGAAGCTCCAAAATCTGAAAGAGTCAAATGCCTAGGATTGACTAAACCTCGGAGAAAGTGAATATCCTGCCTTAACGAGAAAATTGGCTCTTCCGAAAAATCATCAGAACAAGTTTCAACATCTGTTGGAATTTTGGAATTCTCCTGAGGTTATTGGGAAAAAAGACTAACAATACTGTAACTGAATATTTTTATGTTAATATTATGTACACAATTTTTGCTAGGCAATACTCTAGTGACTACTAAAAATAAGTTGCGATTTTTGCAACGTATTTACAAAAACCTTAATGTACAGTCGTAAGTAAAGTAATAAAGAGAATTGTCGATACCTGTAATAGCAATATTGAGTTGTTTATGTATGTTTCAGAGAATAACAATGTTGATGTTGCATGTAAAACGAAATACTTTTATTCAAAAATCTTCATGTATTCTGTAGGATGTACAGCCTAAGATGAATCGTTCTATTGAAGTATTAATAGTCTTCATTTTTTTTATCCTCATGACCACCTTATTTTGTTCATCCGTGCAGATCATGCATACATATTTTACAGTACTAAAAAAATGTATAACAATCTTGTAGACTGATATATTCTAAGCTTGCATTCGAAGAGCACCGTCAATTCTTATAGTTTCTCCATTAAGCAAAGGATTCTCCACGATTGCTTGCACTAGATGTGCGTACTCATCGGGCTTGCCCAATCGTTGGGGGAACGGAATAGATTTTGCCAGGAACGTGCGAACCTTGTCTGGCAGTGACTGTAAAAGTGGAGTATCAAATAGACCTGGTGCAATAGTAACAACACGGATACCATCCCTGGACAAATCACGAGCAATAGGCAAGGTCATTCCAACAATTGCGCCTTTGCTAGCTGAATAAGCAGCTTGGCCCATTTGTCCCTCAAAGGCTGCCACACTGGCAGTATTTATGATAACACCCCGTTGTCCATCTTCATTTGGTGTATTTTCAATCATTAGGCCAACAGATAATCGGATGACATTGAAGGTTCCAATGGTATTAATCTTGATGACCCTTTCAAAATCTGCTAAACTGTGAGCTTGTTTTTTATTGCTATTATATGTTTTGTGTGCAATACCAATGCCAGCTGCATTAACAGCAACATCCAATTTACCAAACTTCTCCTTTGTCACTGCCAAAGTTTGTTCAACATCAGTCTCAGATGTTACCTGTAAATTAGATCTTGTTTAGCATAATAAATAGACTGTAAGAATAATCTAATCTGGGGCTAAATAATGCATACATCAGTGGGAGAAAAGATAGCAGATTCTCCTAATTCTTGTGCTATGCTATTTCCCTTGGATGCTGGAAGATCCGCAATGACCACTTTAGCTCCTTGTTTTATAAATCTCTCAACAGTTCCACGACCAAGACCAGATGCTCCTCCAGTTACTAAAGCTACAACTCCCTAAAAGGTTGAAAAATTATACTTCTGCCATTGCACTATATTACATTGCACTTTATATGATGAACTTTAGACTCTCTCAAGAATATCACAACAGATTATATACTTATTAGTATCATTAACGAAACTTTATTAAAAAAAAAAAAAAGAAATAATTGCAGATAGCTCATTTAATAAGACTAAAGTACTTGGAGCAAGATGAAAATACTAATGGGAAAAGATTTTTGGTACTTGCGGTATTTAATTATATACTTCATCATATAAGAAGCACGTACATTTTGTAATTCGTACCACGATGACGAAGATGATTTTACAAGTTAGATGGAAACCTTCTAATATTATTTATTCTTTAATGATTTGATGGCAATTTAAGACCAACGATCTTGGTTAAATTCATGATATCAAGTATAAACTGTACTCACCTTCAACATTTTGAGCGGTATATTAATTAGACGGTAAGTGTTACAATCTCTCAACTCGGTACCAGTGGCTCACTATTACCAGAAGAAAACGTTACGGGTTTATAAATTCTATAATATCTTAGTAGTGGTTATCACTACAAATGTAGTAGTTCATACATACGAATACGTAATATGGACTTTGACCTATGAATTCTTATGTGAAACTTGTCACGTGGGACATGTGTACAGATTGTAAAAATATTATTGTGTTAAAGCACTCAACAATACCGGTCTTCATCTAGATTTTTTATAAAAAATGTTTTAGGATATCGAAAAATTTAGATGCATGCGAATGAATATACCTAAAAACTAGGGAATGATTAAGTTTGCACATACCGATTAAACAGATTCAAACTCTGTAAATAGAGGCAATATGCATTATCATTTCTGATAAAAGTTGATTATACCAAAGAAAAAAATGAATGTTAATAAATTTAACGATTTAATGCGTAACAATTATTTGTATAAATACTGTAGCACTTATTGTACTCAACGTTTAGCCGGTAGGTTATGTGCCCAACTATTTTTGTTTGACTCTCTAAATATCAATAGCTTGTAATACTGATGTATAACAATTTTCAGATATTCCGCTAGGATTTAAGCCAAAAGAATTTGAAGAAGGGTGGTACGAGACATGGGAGAAAAATAAATATTTCTTGCCAAAGGATAATGAACGGGAACCTTTTAAAATAATTTTACCACCACCGAATATTACTGGTATTCTGCATTTAGGTCATGCATTAACTGCAACTGTAGAAGATGTTTTGGCTCGATGGTAAAATAACAGTGGTATATTCTATGCATGTACTTATTACTGTAGTAAATAGCTTGTCAATGGCATAATGTTTTCATTAGGCACAGGATGAAAAATGATCCTGTTATATGGATACCAGGTTTAGATCATGCTGGTATTGCTACCCAAGCTGTTGTAGAAAAATATCTTCAAAGATCCAGAGGTATGACAAGACACGATCTTGGAAGAGAAAAATTTGTATCATTGGTTTCGGAGTGGAAAACTGAAAAAGGGAATATTATCAATAGTCAATTAAAAGTCTTAGGAGCAAGTGTGGATTGGTCCAGAGAATTTTTTACAATGAGTGAGGTCAATTGACAAACTTTATTCTTATATAACTTTAGTGACAATTATTGTAATTAATGTTTAAATTTCAGAATCATGCAAATGCAGTGACACAAGCATTTGTTACATTAAATGATCGCAATTTGTTGTATAGAGACAAAGACATGATAAATTGGTCACCTAATTTACATAGTGCAGTGTCTGATATAGAAGTAGAAGTTATGTCTATTGCTGGGAAAATAGATATCGAGGTTCCTGGTTATAAAAAAAAAGTTACCTTTGGTCAGATAGTCGAATTTGCATATAAACTCCGAGATTCAGGTAATTGCTTTTCTACATTTTACATTGAATTTAAATATTATAATAATAATGGATTTTTGCATCGCAGATGAAGAGATTATTGTAGCTACTACAAGACCTGAAACTATACCAGGAGATGTAGCAGTAGCAGTTCATCCGGATGATGCTAGATATTCTCGTTATATCGGTTCTCATCTTTGGCACCCATTTAGAAAAACATTTATACCAGTGATCGGTCATACTTCCGTAAGCATAGAGTTTGGTACTGGTACGTTACTCATTTTCCAGCACCTAATGATATTTTAATTACAGCAGCATCCTCTTTTCAGGTGCAGTAAAAATTACACCAGCACATGATCGGAAGGATTACGCTATTGCCAGAGAACACAATTTAGAAATTATTGATGTTATTGACGAGGACGGAAAGATAACTGCGAATACCAAGTCATTTGAAGTAATACATAGTATAATTTTTATAGTAGTACATAGTAATGATTTTTATTATAACAGGGTTTGCCGAAGTACATTGCTCGCGAAAAGATTCTAGTAGCATTATCAGAAATGGGAGCTTTAAAGAGTATAAAGGATCATGAAATGTCGATACCTCTCTGCTCTCGATCTGGCGATGTTATTGAATATCTGCTCCGAGAACAGTGGTTTGTTAATTGTAAAAGCATGGCCGAACGTGCTCTGCAAGTTGTCAAAGACGGATCATTAAAAATTGACCCATCATTTCATGAACAAACGTGGTACGACTGGCTGGGAAATATCAGGTAATTAAATAACATGTGATTTCATTATACTGAGACATTTAAATAATTTTTTGCCTCATAGAAACTGGTGTGTTTCACGACAGTTATGGTGGGGTCATCGCATCCCTGCTTATCATTGTACAAGTGGAAGTGACTCTGGTTGGATAGTGGCCAAGTCCATAGCAGATGCTAATATTTTGGCCCAGAAGAAGTATGGAAATAATTTTAATCTTAAACAAGATAATGACGTGTTGGATACGTGGTTCTCTTCTGCTTTACTTCCATTCTCATCGATGGGATGGCCAAATCAAGTAATGTTATTTTCTTTAAATAGTCTTAGATTGGAATAAAAAATAATTGTATACTATACATGTATAATATTCATAGACCCAGGACTTGAAGAAGTATTATCCTCTGACCCTAATGGAAACTGGACATGATATATTATTTTTCTGGGTAGCAAGGATGGTCATGTTAGGACTGGAACTCACCGATCAGTTGCCATTTAAAGTACAGACACGTTTTTTTTTTTAAATCTAGTATATTATTTGACCAGATATATTCTATGCGTAATCATCTACTTATATAGGAAGTATTACTCCATGGTGTCCTATGTGATGGTCAAGGGAAAAAAATGTCCAAAAGTCGCGGTAATGTTATTTCCCCAGAAAGCGTGATTAATGGTGTTACTTTGGAAGTGAGTATATTCTGCAGCGTATTATTAAAATTCAGAATTTGATACATACAAATTTATAATAGGAGCTGAATGAGCAAGCTCGTCAAAGTTTTGAGGCTGGCTTACTCAGTAAAACAGAATTAAAGAGAACATTGACTGTAAACCGTAAAATGTTTCCGGACGGAATTCCCGAGTGTGGAACAGATGCTTTGCGATTGACACTTTGTTCTCACAATTTGAAAAGTAAGAGTATTTATTATAAAATTAATGGATCATATTATTAGAGTATAAATATAATACAAAATATTTCAGGCCGACAAATTAACTTCAATGTCATCGAATGTTACTCCAATAAACTTTTCTGCAATAAAATTTTACAAGCATCCAGATATGTTTTACGTATGACCAATGATGATCCAATTGGGATGCCAAAAACCTTTAGTACTATCGATCGTTGGATTTTGAGCCGATTATCTTTGATGGTGTCAGCTGTAAATGATGCCTTTACTGAAAGACATTTCTACAAAGCAGTGGCAATGCTTAGAGAGTTTTTTTATTATGAATTTTGTGATTTTTATTTGGTAAGACGTTGCCGGTGCTAATGGGGTGATACATTTATATAATAATATCATATATTTGATCTAGGAAGCTACAAAATTAGGATTTAAAAGCGAAGAAGATGATCTTGTAATAAGCCACAGATATACTTTGATTAAATGTCTTGAGGTTTCCTTACGAGCGATTGCGCCCATTGTGCCCTATCTGAGTGACAATTTATATACGAAATTGTCAAAAAAATTTCCATCTTTTTTGACTGTGCCATCATTATTAGAAGCACCATACCCAAAGCAAGAGGAAGTAAGTTGACTAAAAAGTGATTTTTAAAACTGTAATTGATCTACGAAAAATTTCAGTTCCTACATCTGAGAGATATTCCTCTAGAGAAACAGATGGACAAAGTATGGAAGGTTGTAATAGAACTTAGAAGTCTACTAGCTGGTGTAAATAAAGAATTTAAACCTGAAGGTAAATGTATGCTATGTTAAATTGTTAAAATGAATATTTCTTAATATTAATGGCTCTGTTGCGTAGTACACTTGGTGAGCAGTGTTCATGACGATTGCAATCTGTACGATGATAATCTAAACGCGATTATGAGGTTGGGTAAAATTCAAAATATCAAAGTAATACCAGAGAGTGGTTATACAAAGAAGGATGGCAGTATATGTGCTACTGTTGGAACTAACTGTTATCTGTTTCTTCTATTCGATGATGACAAAATTACTGCGCAAATAAGAAATCGAATTGATAAAAAAATACAGCAGACAGAAAAAAAATTGAATGATTTGATAACATTGACTGCTAAAAAAGGGTATATAGCTAATACTTCTGATTTTGAGAAGGAGAAAAACGTAGAAAAGGTAAAAATTGATACTGTTACATAAGAAACGTTTTAGTATATCTATAATATAATTTTATTCAATCTTTAATTTTTAGATCAGTTCTTTACAGCTTGAATTTGACAAATGGAAAAGGATGTTATAACGCCAGTATGAAGCTTAAAAGTTGTAGAATTTCATGAAGTCGAATAAAATTGTAATTACTTATCGTCTACCTCCATACCGTCCTCTTCGTCACTAGATTTATCATCGTCATCATCGTCGTCATCACTTCCTGAGTCGGAACTGTCTGATTCCAGCCAGACTTGAGACGATAGATCATCCTTGATTATAGTTTTCCACTCATCCAGTTTTCGAGTGTCTAATAATAAAGCAGTAAACCGTTACTCTTTAATTCATATAAATTACCTTTGGTATCATTCAACTTACCCAAACTGTAAAAATCATTTAGCGTATATTGTCGATCACCATCTTCAAACATACCACCATATAAATATAAAATTTCATGTTTTAAAACGAGTCCTGCATTAATTCTAGGAGAAGGATAGAATACTGCACTGGCTGTTTCTGCTTGTCCTGTACTTGTACTTGTTTTTAATGAAGGACCAACAGTTACCTAATATTTTAATATTAGGTTAAAAAACAGGTAATATATTAAAAATAAATTTTTTAGTTACAGGAGTGTAAAGTATAAAAATATGAAATAAGTAACCGTAAAAATTCCATCGTCGTCCGTAATGACAGTTGGTACAGGTGTAACATCCATTGGAGCTGATGTTTCATCATTTTCATCATCTTCACTTTCACCATTACTATCACCATCTTCCTTTATTTTCCTTCTTCTTCTTCGTACACTTGATTCCTTTTTCCCACTTAACGTAACTAGATAAAAGTATGACTGAGACTGAAGAAAACAAGAATTATACTCAGTGTTTAATGATGTTAGTACCTGTGTGCCATTGGAATTTCTCTAGGTCCAGAGAGATCAGATCATTGAAAAATGTTCCATGAAGTTCCTCTTCATTTTCCTCTTCATCGAAAACTCCTCCAAACATGTATGCCTGATTTGGTTGCACGAGTATACCAGAAGCACTACAGCGCGGTGAAACTCCGATTCCACCTTGTTTAACCATAACCGATTTCCACTTCAGACCTGTCTGGTCATTTTCTACCAAGCAATACATGTTGCTGATTAATATGGATAGTAGATTAATTATGTGCATAAGAAAAAAAAGAGTAATAACTTACTTTCTGGACTGATAGTAAACATATCCTTATGAACTTGACCCTTATCTACATCTTTCTTAATTCTTTCTTTGCTGTAACCACCATAAATTAATATTTTGTTATCTGTTGTTGGAAAAACAATACAACCCGAACGGGGTGCAGGTAAGTTTCCTAAAAGATAATAAAATACTTGTAAAGTATTAAAATCATAAAGTTAAAATTCATGGAGTCTTTAGGTTTACCTGAAATATCAAGTTTGTTCCACTTGTATGTAGTTAAATTAAATATATGAACATCATTATAATATTTATAGTCTCTGAGATTATCATGAAAGCCACCAAAAACAATCAATTGCTTTTTTACATGAACCATTCTGTGACCACTTCTAGCAGATGGTCCACCAGGGGATCTGATAAAAAAAAATAGATTTTAAAAAGGTTTATTGAAAATACTAATATATGAGATGTTTACTCACGTAATTTTTTCCCATTTTTTTTCTCCAATACGATAAACCCAAAGATCCCGATAATGATAAAATTGCGATTCAGAGGGACTAGAAAACTCTCCACCAAAAACCCAGAGTTCACCGTTGTTTGTTGGCACAGCTACAGCTTGATGTCCACACCTAGGTGGTGGTGCACCAGGTGCTTTTATTAAACTCCACTCTTTTTTCTTCAAATTATAGAAAAACATGTCTCCGTAAACGACAGTCTGCAATAAATTATAAAATAAGAGTAGCATTATTATTCATTCAAATACAAATTATTTCCGTTTTATGATACCTTCTGACCGTCGTAAAATTCACCACCAAGCATAATAAGTTCATCTTTAAAAGGATGAGCGGTTAAAGTAAAATTAACACGACGTGTCGGCTGTTCTACAATGGTTTCAACAACACGCTGTCTCCTAGCTTCCTCTTTTTCGATTTGTGCGACAACTTTTTCGATGTCATCCTAAAATAATAACAATTTTGTTATAATCATGCTCCGATATCATTGTATTCAAAGTAATTATGTAGTCATAAAATTATATCGGCACAAACGATACTAACCTCACCCAGTGCGGCTAACTCTTTTTTCTGTTTGGCATTAAGCTTTTTTTCAGTTTTCATAGCAGTTTTAACAGTACCACTAACTTTTTTCTTATTCTTATCTTTCTTTCCCATGATTTATTTTCAGAATTTAACAATACTGTACACAACTTTAGTCTTGTGGGCACCTTCAGTTTTGTTATTAATCAAGAAAACATTGAAACTGATTGAAACACGTGTTCTGAAATATAAAGTACACAACCATATCAAACATATGCATAGATGCGTTACATAGTGCTCCTCTTGTAAGTTCTATCTATGTATTGTCACTAGATGGACCATTTGGTATTTTTGTGTTTGACGATTACCGGATGTCACATCACAAACTTCAGTTTTAACAAAGACTCCGAGTTTCCGGCATCCCGACCGATAGCAGTGCTTGTACAGAACGGAGTTCCACTTTGATTACTGAAGTGAATTTCTTCTGAGAATTCAAATAATAATAGCAACATGTCCGCGTGGAGACAGGCTGGTCTTAAGTGAGTAATCATATAATTGTAATATATTCTAGTTCTTAATCCCAGTTTTAAGCTCCTGACATGGAATAAGAAATATGTATTGATCCTTCTTTCTTCAGTTATGTAACCTAACTTAATGTTTAACTGAGAAATAAATCACATTTTAATATTTTATTTATTGTCAGGTATTTTACAGTGCATAAATATTAGTGACATATCTGTAGCTTGAAACCGTATGTACTTTTAGTAGTAGGAATCATTGATTGCATTGGTGCAATTGTGAAACTAATAAATATATATTTTTTTCTAGTTACATCAACTATTCTCAAATTGCTGCAAAGCTTCTTCGTCAAGCTTTGAAAGCTGATTTGAGGGTAGAAGCCCTAAAGCGTGATGAATCTGCAATTAAGTTCACTCAGTGGAAAGATGGAAAACCAATCAGTAAGTAAAATTCAAAATTATAGATAATTTAACCATTGATAGATATTTATTAAAATACATTGTTTTAATATATATTTCAATGTATGTATAATACATTACGTGGTCTTCTTACAGCTGAGAAATACTAGATAAAAAAATGAGTAAGTTTATAGTTTTGAGTGAGGCGTGTGTTTTAAATTGATATTTTTCTTCCATATCAGTTGTAACATTGTATAACGATCATTGAGAGAAACGATTTACCTTTTTTCTAATTAACAATATATTATTTATATAATATGTATTTTTATCTAAATAACTAACCAAATCCTTGCATCCTAATGTGATTTACTTAACTAAAAAAGAAAAGATAGTACATTCTCCATCTACAACACGTGAATGCTCGTTGCAGTAAAATTATATATAAAAGCAAGTTTTAAAAAAAAAAGAATGTATTTTACAAAACGTTTTTATCCATGCCAGATTTGCAGTTAACACTTTTTATGCATTTACAACATAATTCATTCTTTTTCTCTCGTTTAAAACAAGATTGCACACAATACATATTCGAAAAGAATAAGAACTAATCCTAATCTGCGTGCTAATAAAGATCTTACTAGAACTGTATATCAACAAGATAAATCTTTTTGTTCCAGAGAGCACCTAGATCCTTGTATCACAGATGGATAGAAGAATTCGTCCGCTATATACACATTAACAACAGTTAACTTATGTATTACGATGATCCCTGTCGTTAAGTAAAATAAAAACTTCATTCGCACCCATCACTATTGTCCTTTGTTCAACCTTTGCGTAAGTCAAACTTTAAATCGTCATCTTACAACAGGACAGTGTGCCTTACAATGAACTGTGCGAAATAAAGAAAATATTAGTGACTGCAGACTACCAACAAAAGTAGTAAATATAAAAAATAAGCAGGTGCTTCCAAAGCTTACCAATAAATTCAGAAACAAGATCATTGTCACTGTCACCGCGCATGGTTCCTGTAATTTCCTCATTCTCTACCATAGGCAAAAATAACTGAACAAATTCAGCCGAGTACGGTGGTGCTATCGCTTCAAGAACCTAAAACATAGCAATAGAATTTGGATTAAAATAACGCACATGAATTACAATATTAATTATTAAGATTGAGGCACATTTAAAGGTTCTAGTTTACCTCTGTGACGAAATATCGAATGAGTGAGACGTCAGTGTCACCACGTTGCCAGCATTGCTTAATATAACAAACTACAGGTACAACGCAACCACGACTTAAAAGATTTACCATCCGATCTATCAACATCTTTTTTAATTCCAACTGCGAGAGGAGTCAAATATTTTATTAAATGCAACAAGATTAAAGTTTACTATGTCAATTACCTGAACAAGAATCTCAAGTTCATCCTGTTTACTCTCAAAGAGCTGTACAAGCAATTGTAAGACTTTCAGATGTAACAAAGGATGCGAACCCACGACTTCATCTAGTAGCGCCAAGTGAATAGGACAATGCTCTGTACTCAATTTAAAATATGATGATTCTGTTACTGTGCATTCAACCCATCGTATGACACCCACGCTAACTACAGGAAACCTATAAATTAGAATCAATGTATTTATAAACCTGAAATAGTACAGTAACTAGAATTTCTAACTTTATAATTTACCTAATGCATTGATACAGCGTATTCAATTCTGCCACGAGTTCCGTAGACCCTTTATCTATATTACAAATATTGTGGACCTTCTCGATAGCTTGTACTGTTATTTTCAATTCGTCCTTATTTACTTTACGCTGAGTACCTTTCTTCGCAGAAGTCTCGCATACACTTGAAGCGTAAGCTAACAAGTATATATACTTGGACTTATGTTCAGGATTCACCTTAACACCAGGTTTAAATAATGCATCAACCAGAAGTTCTGTAAGAAGACAGCAGATGAAGATTCTATTTTCTTGATAGATATATAAATTAATTGTTTGTTTTTTTACCTAAGAATTGAGGATTTCGGAGTAACTCGATAGGGGGTGGCTCTGCTGCAGAATAATTTCTAAATAAAACTGTGATATCTGCTGGATTTAATGTGTTTCTGGATAACATGGATGCTAGAGCCTGACACGCTCCAGGGCTACCAGCTGCTCCGTTTAGTGCCATTGTAATTGGAGTAACATCGTGCCGACTAAAAAATTTCATCATGTCGAAAATATTGATTCAATTCAAACAATTGAAAAGAGTGGGAGTAGGTGTTTCCTCTTACTTTTGCTGGGCACATTTTGTTATTTCTTGGGACAATCTCTTCATCATGAAACCACCACGAGGTTCCTGGGCCAGGATTTGTAATAAGACTTGACTATAGACGTATGTATGTTGGCCATGACATACCATTTTCTGCAGGTAAATTGAATATTTGAGTTTAGGCATAGAATGGTGCATAATTAAACTGTGAATTGATTATGCCTGCGTTTACTTACTGCACATTCTTGAATACTTGATTGCCAGTTTTCAGTATTTTGCAAAAATCCGGCTATGGCTGTTTTCAGTACTCTTGAGAATACTTCAATCTGTTGTGCAGCTGTTGAAATACTTGTGATTTCACCTTGAAAGCCTGCATCCGATATGAGCTGCAAAATTAAAGAACCATTGGCGTGTAAGGAAAATATTGTATTTTGAAATTATTTACAAACCTTTATCGTGAAGTTTAGCATTAAGCAGTCTGGATACTCCTCGGCTAGTCTGTATATAAGAGATCTCCAAGTAGGATGTTGTATCATTTCAGTTAACCACGCAGGAGTCTAGTTAAATAGGATTTCGAATTATAGTCTTTCTAATTGTTGAAATTAACTAAATAAATCAAATCAAGTACTTCTCCCTCCTCTGTGAAAATCTTATCAGCCTTTTTGGGGTCAAACGTTTTCAGAATCATATCCTTTAAATTGTTTTCTACCATAGCCTGAACATCAGTTACTTTTACACCAGCGAGAATAAGCCATTCAGCAAGGAGATTAGCCATCTGAGCACATGCTGTATAATTTTTTGATAATAATTCTATGACTTGTTCAGGATTTCCCCCTGCTTGAAAATATCTGCAATATGTATAAGTTATAATTCTTTCCCGGCAAAACATTACTTAGCGAATGTACCTCTTCAATTGAGTAAAAATGCCTGGCTCCATAATATAATCCGGAGTTTTAAATTTATCTAAGCATTCATTAAGCACTTCTTGTGGATTATCCAGCGCATCTTCTCCACCTCCATCGTCAGTACCCCTGGCCATATCATCCCCCCAACCACTACGTTCTTCATCATAATCAGATTCCATCTAGAGTAAAAATGTTCAAAAATTAATTAAATGAAATGTAGCAAAATAACACCAAGAACTAATTTCCATCACAACAATATAAATATAACAATAAACATACACTAGAAGTGAGGTTATAAATTCTCAATCATTTTGTCTATAAGATTTACAGTATCCATGAGCAATATAAATTTAAAAAATTAAGAAAACAATAATAATCCTGTACACAATTTCTGTTATACAAACTACAGAAATAATATCTTACAATTGTACCGTAGAAACTTCTTCAAAATCGTTGTAAACAAAATACAGCAACCGAAAACAGCACCAAACTGAATGCCGACGCGCGAAACACTAAACTCCGTATAGGTATTAAGACACGATGACTTCGTTTACACAACGAACTTAAACCGGTTTATTTAATAATGTTCTAAAGGAATTGACCAATCCCAAATCCTTACAATTAGAATTGTCAATGATTTGTCTATTCCCTTAGATCGGTATTAACTAAACCGGTTAAAAACCGTTGTGAAAACGTAGTCGATGAATGCCAGCTAGCCCAAACTGTTTGACCGGCTGCAGATAACCACAGCATGACCAATAACGGTGAATATGAAAGTCCAAACAATAGCTCACTCTAGCGTGAAAAGTTTGAAGAATCACTTAACATTCCAAAAAGATACATGAACTCAAGATTAGCGTTCATACATTCCCAGGAGCGTGTGTGACTGGTGTGACTGCACAAGAAACTTCGTAACGGCACGAAGTGGCAAGAAGTCTTCGTCGCGCGCGCAGGCAGGCACCAGTCTAAATCTATCCAAAGAATCGTACTACGGTTCTTCAGTGTTCAACAAGCTGGCGATCGACGTGCAGTAGAAGAAGAGGTGTGCCGTAGTAAACCATCTTACATAGTTCTGTGTTCAACATTGGAATTGGCCAACGTGTATAGACACTGTGGATTCTCCGAGCCTCGTTAAAATACCTTGAAATTGAATATTTAACTTTCCACTCGTTCATCCACTCTCGAACGTGAGTATAGAAAATATTATTTGTATCGTTTGTAAGAAATTAGAAAAAGGAGGTAAACTATTATTAGTGATTAAGCAAGCTTTTTTCGAAGCAGCTGTGTGGGAGATATTCGTTGTAGGAGGCGCGGCCACACACCCTCTTCGATAGCCAATCCAAAAACGTGTTCTGTGCATTTGGTGTACTAGGGCTCACAAGAAAGGGAAAGACTAAAGAGAAGGAAAAAAAATTGAGTACGTGTAAAGTAGACGAAAAACATGGCTTCTAGTCTCTCCTGAATATTTCTAACGACTAATTTATTGCCGCTTGTGTTTTAATTGCATTGTATCTATGTGGGTCAAGCAATGTTCTTGATATTTATTTCTATTATTACACTAATGATTAACCCGCTCAGCGGCCAAGCAGGTGTTGATACCATTTTGAATGCGACACGTGCACTGACAGGACATTGAAATCGCTCTTATTAAACAGCCTTGTTGTAGTTCTTGCGCATTCACCTTAACGGGTGAGAAATACTTGTCTCTACAAAGTCGTAGAGAATAACTTTAAAGAAGACACTGATTATCTTGTTGTGAAAACTAAAATACTGAAAGATTACACTGTTTACAATGCATGAAGAAAACCTGCCACGCAGTCAGACGTCGTTTTACACGTCGATTCAAAGTTTCCAGTCATTTCTGACTTATCATTGACTTTAGAGGGAATCTTTAATACTCAATGTGAATTACACCATTTAAAATATTAATTTGATAAACTTCTACTGCGACACAATTAAAACTGCTTATCAAGGTTACCATCGGAGGTTGTCCAAAGTTCAAATCGTTTATATTTTAAATAAGGATTGACGTCATCAATAGAATTTCTCAAATTATACAATCTCTACTAGTGCTTCCTTATCCTAACTTGAAAGTGTTTTATCCCAATTAAATCGATCTTTGCAATTGAAAACTATTCTCAGCAAGCAGTATGAGTAATGCTGGTCACGACAATACAAAGCCATTGTTTTCTTATTGATTCCTTTACGTGTTACTTTTCTTTCCAATAAATACAATCAAACAATTTTCCTCGTTCTAACCTCTTTGACATTATTATTTTCCTCGTACATACATTTTTCTATGGCATTTCAATTTCCAACCCAGAAGGAAGGGAAAAAATATATCACGTGCAATACGTCGACCTTGTTTAGACAATTTTACTATAGTATACTGACCTGACCTAAGACAATCTATCTACTTGGTCTCTATTGTCAATCTAATCGGCTGTATAGTATCTGGAACAATATTGGCAATAATAGCAATGAAAATTTACATGGACACGAGTTACGTGGAAATCGACTTGAAGAAAGAACGGAAATAAGTTATAAATATGATAACGAAGGAATTTTTATGCTTGAAAAATGACAAAAATATTGAAGTAAAATTATACGTATATAATTGGAAGCCATGTATGTATATCAAAAACGAAGTTTCTCAATTAATATATAACAGTTTTATATACTATATTGCACGCAGAATGAGTGTGCGTGCACAATTTAATTTTTGCAGACTCAACGAGTTGCTCTTTTGCACAGTGCAAAAAAATGTGCTTGTGTGATGCTAAATTTTTGGCTATCGTCGATGAGGTCAACATACGCAAATAATAAAGCGAATTCTGATTATGAATACGTTTCGTCTTAGCGTATAAATATTAGTAGTATTAAGGTACCCAATAAAATATTTCACTATATTTATAATGTCGATCCGTAATTAATATTACGTTTGGTTTAGATTAATTAAAAATTTCCTTATCAGATTCTATTGTTTTCTATATTTTTTTATTACGTCGTGACCAAGTATAACACTTGAAATTTTATCGGTATCTTCATTTTTTTATTATTTATACTTTACATAATCAGTCAGATCACTATGAATAATATCGGCCGTGCCTTCTGCAATATTGTAATATCTTTTCTGATAACATCTTAATAATTTTATCTTCATTATCAATTTAATTGGATACATGAAATTATTTACATATCGTCCGACAGCTATTAATGTTCTAAGTGTTCCTCACTGTGAAAATAAAAAATAATATGATTCAATCCAAAAAATAGCGTGCACAAAAATGAGGTTGAGTATCCCTGCCTATGACAACAGTACAAAGTTTACTTGTTGGGGAATTCCATGTAGTTTACAGAAACAATATTCATGGGTATATATGACTAATGATAATGTAAAAGGAAAAATTCTACGATCGAGAAAAAACTGTTGAGTGCCAATTATCGCCTTTGTACTTAATCAATTCTAATAATCACGCGTTGTCAGATTGCGAGGATGAAATCTATACAAATAATTTGACACGTCCTTGTAGAATGTTTTCAAAAATAATTTATGGATCGAGCGTATCGTCTAATGACGCTTACGTTTACTAGATAATTATAATGTTTATGCTCTTAGTCAGTACTGCTTCGCCGTGCGATTTTTTTCTGTTATCAGTGATAACGATTAATACACTTGATAATTGTCAAGTTTGTTATTGTATTGGCTAGCTCGATATAACGTCCATGCGGTAAACTGTTACGCGTACAGTTGATATGTAATAATGAAAAGAGAGTAAATAGCTCGGAAATGACCTCGGATCAAGATGGGCCTATTGTTTAAATTATCAGAAAAAATTTATAGCTGCACTGTTGGAAACATTCTTGCGCAACAGGATTATAAATGCATGGCATTTTTTTTTGTGAAATCAAAAGGTCAATCTTATTGATACACATTTATACGATTGATTATTTATTCGTCGTTATTCATTAGGTACGCCTGATTGAACAGGGAAAATAAGTATCACTTTGTGGTAATCGTTTGATCGTTCACAAGTCTCAAATCAATATCGACCATATGGACAATTTTGAAGACACATTTTTATTCAGACAAATTTCGTGTATTAGAACAAATGAGTATATTTGCCACGAAGTAAGTGAACTTTGAACCTACAGCTACACTCAAACAATTCTGAACGCTATGAAGCGTGGATATGTTGGATTATTTAGTCTCGTTCATAATAAGAACTTTTCAATAGTAACTTATTATTTACAAAAACAAATCGACGTTGAGTGATAACATAAACAACAGATTTCTTAGAAATAGCATAGGGCTAGTTATCTTTAAACGACAAGGATCTCTCGGTCTTTGTGACTAGGGTTCAGTCTCTTGTAGAGAGTGAAACAGTTCAGTCGGTTCTTCCATTGTTGCATTAATAAAGTATAAGTTAAAATATAATCCACTGCATATTTTATATTCATTTAGTAACCCATTTCCAGTAGGATACGTTTAAAAAAATAAATTTACACGTAGACATGCAACGTGTAGAATTATTAATTTTCTTTTCCTTCCCTTAATCTCAATACTATCTTTCACAAGCAAAATATTGTTTACGAGTCTAATTTGAGGAAACTTCGGGTACCAAATTGAACTTTGGTACGGCACGTTGTTTTATTCATTTTATATTTTCAAATCCTCGCGTAACGGGCCAACGTTCGTTGGCCGTAATAGAAACCTTACTCAAATGCACGTGACGGTTCGCGACAAAACATAATTACTCGTTTAGCTATCAGTTTCAAGCTGAATTTATAACAAGTGGTCTTATATATTATTGTTTAAGTAATACGTCGTCATCTCGTTAGATTAATAATCGTACTAATTAAGCGTCCGAAGTTTTCCTTCAGAAGTACAAAGTTCAATATACAAATTCAGGATAATTTAATTAAATGGAATTTAATCTCACGATAAAATAATAATCCCTTACTTGATAATCGGTCTATCTACAAACGTGTATAAGGTCACCTTCGAGGTAGATTCATATAAGATTCGAGTAATATTTTTATTCGCGATTTTCACGAGGAACGATCGCACAGTCCAAAGTCCGCGGTATTAATGGACCCAGAGATCCTTGGCTCGACGGTTCAGACCGGTTGGAATTTGAACTTTTTTTTTTACGTCTCGATGACGTCTCGACCATTTTACCCAATTTTTATTTGAGTCTACTCTATTTGGTTACATTTTTTTTCCTTCCTGTTTTCATTGTCATTCCTTCACGGAATAATACAAATCCCCGTGTCGGTTAAATTTAAAAAAAAAATGTTGACACGTGACTTCTTCAATACGTCAACGGTTACACAATAATGTTTCTGTCGATCTTACCGCGCGTTTTAGTGATTTAATTTCCGCCTTGACGATCCTCGCGACCGCGCAACAATGGCGAACTTTCCGCCGGAAGTTACGTCACGAAGCACATAGAAACTATATATATAGCATTATATGCATATAAAGTATGGCACAAGTGTATCTTCAGCCTTTACTCGACAATACGCTAAGTGCATAGGTAACGTACGTGGCTCAAAATTATCACACGTACACGCACTGGTTATACGATGTATTCTATTTCATGTAGAAATACCTTGAAATTTATTGAAGGTTGTATAGGTTATGAAAATTGCAATAGAGTGACGTTACTACGATAGTAATGTCTAGACTGTAATATTCATGGCAGACTGGTAGTCGTTTATTCTGCAAATTTTTGAATAATAAAATTCCTTTGTCTACCGCATAAATAAACTTAAGAAACGATGCCATTTTTCTATGCAGGAATTAATAAACGATATCATCGGATTGACGTCGTCGACGTATGGCACGTATTTCGTATTAATTCTTAAGTGGCTCCTTACGTTGTTTTTATATTTTTGTATCTATACTCGCAGTGGCTTTTCGTCTTTGAATTAATCAGAATGATTCGTAGTACAATATCTTTTAATAGTCACGGCGGCTAATTTATTCCCTGGAGTAAATGGCGTATTTGAGTCAAATGTGTTTACGTTTCTGCATACAGTCGTTGATAAGTGCCTTTTATCTGACCAGTATAAGAGTCGAGCCTCCAGAAGAGGATTTATTTAATTAATCGGATGATTTATAGCTGTCATTTGTGTCGATTCATAGTACCTGTTATGATTCTTGAATTCGAGAATAAACTTTTCACTCCTTACTTTCCTTGATAATTATAACATAGAGCTAGACTTTATAATATTTATCTTCATGTTTAATTAAAAATACAATTTGTAATATTGCACACTGCACTAATTAGACATTTATAATCCAATATTTCCTATATTTCTTCAGACGAAGAACCTGTCGGTGCCTGCATATCCTACTTAGTTCCTGTATGCATGTAGAACTATGCTTTGTAGCGAGAAGTCTGATAGTGTTTTTTAAGTTAGAAATTGGTGTCATTGATCACGTGTAGATTTGTATGCACCTAATACAAGTGAATGTCCTTTATGTACCGTTCACACCAAACTGGTTGAACTGCGCTCGCCGCTAGTTAATGTGCTGGATATGCTGCAAAAGCGTATGCTTGGAGCTCAAATAATAGATTGAGTATATTGAAAGTACGGGAGCATTAGTCATGAACGGTTTTACTCTCACAGACCTGACATTACAAAGTATATACTGAAAATATGAACTTTGGACATTCGTAACAACTTCGTCACACCTCATGATAATAACTACCATGTAAATGAACTAACGTAAATATTATTCACGCTCAATATATTTTCAATTGCCCGATGACAGCTCGAACCTCTTACGGCTAACAATTCGATTATGAAACCGCGTTCTTTAATATCCGTCGGTAAAACAGTTGAACTTTTCTCGCGAAGTAAACAGCAGCGCAAGCGAGACCTTCGCGATGCAGCAATTGTCGCATTGGTAATTGGCGACGCTAATGGAACAATTATTATAGCTAGGAACAAAGAATGTACATTTCCACATGACGTCTACATGACTATCATGACAGTGATTTTTCAAAAGAAACACCGAAGTACACGTACATACACATATGATCGTTTTTAACACGTAGTTATAATCAATGAAAGAGAATCAACAATCAGAAATCGGATCAAAAATCTATTATCATAATTTTTATCTCTTATGAATTGACTTGTTTTTTATGGTATACTTTCAAATTTATGACTAACGAAATTCGAGATATCTACGATTCACGCAATTGTTTGTTAAAAGCATATAGATATGTGTGTAGTGGCTGGGTACAAAGTCCAAGGCTCTAGCTAGACTCTCACGGACAGAGTAGAGATTGGAATGTGTGCGGTCGTTCCACGTGGCCGGGTGTTCGTTAAATGAAAATCCTAACGTTCAGTTGAACGTTGTGTCGGGCTCTTCGTATGATGAAGTCGGCCCTGGCCAAACGCTGGACGTTATTTACTCCAAACATTACGCACGGACATACTCTGCTATGTATGAGTTGGGCACGTGAACCGCGTCAGCGAATCAACGAGCGTTAACGAGTATCACGTATACGAGTATACATATATGCGTGCAGTATGGCTCTAAAATGCGAGCCAAGGGACACTTTTTCTATATCTATATATATATCGAAATCTGTTCCTTTCGCCTAGCCCCCGCTAGGTGGCTACTGTTTGTTTTTTGAATTAAACAAAAGTAAAAATGGGTGTCGGGCCTTCGTTGACACCACAAATATTACAATGCAGTCAACGCGACAAAAAGAAGTAAGATCAGCTAGTCGGGTAAAAACTAAAATACAAATAACATGTGGAAAATAAAAAAAACTGAATTAAATTTTAAAAAATATATGAAATAATTTTTCAAAAATTGAAAAAAATTCCACAAAATCCGACAAGTACATAAGTATATGTTTTTTAATAGAATGATGGTCTCTCTAAATCTTATTATGTACTTGTCGGATTTTGTGGAATTTTTTTCAATTTTTGAAAAATTATTTCATATATTTTTTAAAATTTAATTCAGTTTTTTTTATTTTCCACATGTTATTTGTATTTTAGTTTTTACCCGACTAGCTGATCTTACTTCTTTTTGTCGCGTTGACTGCATTGTAATATTTGTGGTGTCAACGAAGGCCCGACACCCATTTTTACTTTTTAAAAGTTTGTTTGGGGGATAATACTTTTGCTAAGAATCAAACGGTATTTTCGCATGCCTGAGATGAAGAAAAACACTTCTGACTTATACTGTATATGTGGGTAGGTCTTCATGGTGTGGGATTGTTATGTTGGGGCCACAAGTGAAAACAGAGTGAAACTATTCACTTTCTAATCAGAGTCTAACTGTGCTGTATTACTGTTATGAATTTTTACTAGACAATAATGATGATGCGAAATTTCTTTGTATTTAAATAAATTAAATATTCATTGAGATTAGTGTGACTGATGCGTTTTGATTGAAAAGTTTTGTATACTGGAGACATCAATGCTATCAATGAACAGCTGATGAATTAATTTGATATTTTATAGATGTATGATTTTTAGATCTGTTTGTAATACTCTGTAAGAGCTGATTTATTATATCGGTATTCAATTTTAATGTAACACTAAGATTGCGTAGGCTAAGATGAATGTAAGTAGCTGCACCAAGCTATTTGTTTCACTTTTTCTTACAATTATGGCCGTAAGTAAGGTCAACTGGCTATCTGCATCTACCCTATGCTATAATGTCAGTCTGAGATGACTGTTCTTAGTTTCTTATACTGTATCTTATTTAAATATAGGTGTGTGTGTGTGTATGCAGATATTACATTTCAAGCAGGTGATGCACATTGATGCCCACATTGTGCTCATCGCGTATGATCTTTGCTTCAGATTGACAGAGAGTTACCAGGATGGCGGAAGCCCATTCAGCTGTCGCTTTTAGCTTCTCTATCACCCACGAAGGTTGGGATGTCAATTTTGACAGAGAAGTCCTTCACCTTGTGTGGCAGTCTGGCGTTCGTTCCTGGAAAAAAAGATTTTTCAGATTTCAGGTAAGAATTATTGCGAATACAATAATTTACACTTATGTATGTTGATATGGTAAAGTATTTAATTCCTTTTTCTACTTTACATTTCCAGAATAATTTGAAAACTGGAGTGTACCCTGCTTCGTTGCACAGTCTGTGGCTGACCGTAGCAGTTGTCACAGCAGTACATTTTGTAGGATACAAAGTACCTTATGATCTTGTTGGCAGAGTGGCTCCTTATCTTCCTGGGTAAGTTTTTACCTTTGCTTTGGAATGTTTGAAGCAAGTTTCTTTTTTGTTTTCTTTAGTTGAAATATTCTTTTTTTTTCTGTCTCTACATAAAATAGGTCTTCCATAACGGCGCATCTCGTAGGATCATTTTTAGTCGCAGTCATACTATGGCTATTAGTGATATATGCAATTCGGTATACTTTAAAGCTACTGCTCATGTACAAAGGATGGATGTATGAAGCCAGAGGTAAAGGTAGCAGAGTTAGCATCACCACAAAAATATGGGCAACCATGGTGAAGCTACTTTCTGGTTGGAACAAACCAATGCTTTACAGCTTCCAGGGTTCCTTGCCAAGGCTACCACTGCCATCTGTACAAGATACTATGGATCGGGTTTGTTATTATTCAAATAAATTATTCTGACACCAGCCATTAGATGAAAACTACTAAATTCACTTTTTTATGTCAACAGTACTTACGCAGCGTACGACCATTGTTGGATGATGAAAATTACACTCGTATGGAACGTCTAGCTAAAGAATTTGAAGCAGGTATTGGCGTGAAGCTTCAACGTTACTTGATCCTGAAGTCCTGGTGGGCTACAAATTACGTGTCTGATTGGTGGGAAGAATATGTTTACCTTCGCGGAAGATCGCCGTTAATGGTGAACTCAAATTTCTATGGAATTGATGCCATCCTCTTATATCCCACAAAAATCCAAGCATCACGAGCAGCTAATACTATTCATGCAATTCTGCAGTACAGACGTCTTATTGAACGACAAGAATTGGAACCAGTAGGTTAATTAATCCAAAATTGTTTTAATTTTCCAGGACATTTGAAATCCAATATTATATCCTTTCAGATTTTACTCCAAGGACTCGTTCCGCTGTGTTCCTGGCAATATGAGAGATTATTCAATACGACCAGGATACCTGGAATCGAAACTGATAAAATTGTTCACTATCAAGATTCAAAGCATATTGTAGTATATCACAAGGGAAGATACTTCAAAGTTTTGATCTATTATAAAAACAGAATTCTACTACCCTGTGAAATTGAAATGTAAGTATCGGATGATGATTCTTGAATTTATAATAGGATCCTTTTATCATTTTCATTATTATTTACAGTCAAATTCAACAAATCTTGGAGGACAAGTCTAGTCCAGTCGAAGGAGAAGAAAAACTTGCTGCACTGACTGCTGGGGAAAGAACGACCTGGGCACGAACAAGGGGAACACATTTTGCAAAAGGAGTAAATAAAGCATCCTTGGATCTTATTGAAAAAGCAGCTTTTGTTGTCGCCTTGGATGATGTACCATACGAATTCGATCAGGTAATTTCAATTGATCATGTGCACAATATCACAACACACTGTTGATCGTATAAAACCATTATACAAATGAAACCTGCACATTGCGCCTCTCAAATATAAATATAGATTTATATATTATTATAGGCTCATCCAGAAAAACTGGACAGGTACGGTCGTATTTTACTCCATGGAAAAGGATACGACAGGTGGTTCGACAAATCTTTTACTTTGTGCATCGGAACAAATGGCAGAGTGAGTATAATTACAATTAAGAAATATAAGTATAAGCAAACCGTCGAGAAAAATCAAATTTTATTCATTTTCACTCTTATTTTTACCATGAACTTTTTTCTTTCTGCAGATTGGTTTTAACGCGGAACACTCGTGGTGAGTAAATTATTGTTTATTTAGTAATTTAGCGTACATCAAATATCCTCGTGCTACTATCTGTGATAAGCCATATCGGTAATCTAATATAAGTTAACAAAAAATCAATAGATTTTAATCGCAATATCCACATTTACGTTATCACCGGCTTCTCACAAATAGTCTGTGTACATCACGAGCATGTCTCTTGATATTAAAGTATTTATTTGTATACGTTGAAAAAGTATTTAGATATGAAATTCAACAAACAAAAAGAGTTACCACGAGACACGTATTGCGAAGATTGTCATTGTTCATATCTAAGAATTAACTTGATTGATTAACGTTAATTGCCTTTCGCAACTGCGTGGTGACTCTCGTGAAATAATATTTCATGACTGTGACGTTAAGACCCCACATGTAATGATAAGTAATGAGCAGGGCAGATGCTGCAGTGATGTCGCACATGTGGGAGTACGTGCTTTCCGAGGAAACCATCAGCGTAGAGTAAGAACCATATAAATGCACCAGCTCTATAATATTATAGTTTTATCTCTACCTATCTGTAACTGGCTAACTCTCAGTATGCTTAAGTGTACGCCTGAATTCGCTTGATCTCGTTGTACGAACCTTCAAAGATTTACGTAGTCTTGTGAATCTTTTTTTTAAACACTGTATTCTATTATTTATATGTAGACGTTTGCAATTAGAGAGATTTCAGTTCACCCACGAGGCCTCTGTAAAATTGGTGACTGGCGCTGAAAAGGATTCTTTGTTTATTATACATCTGCATATTGCTTTAATTATTAAGACTTACCTTGTGCTACTTCATCAAAACGCAACTACTTGTAATTCACACTTTATATACTATCTTTATCTTATGGTTATCAGGGCCGATGCACCCGTGATGGGGCACCTATGGGAATACGTTCTTGGCACTGAGGTGGAGACTGGGTAATTTCATACTCGCAATAGCTCACTTTGCCATAACTCATTCTACCGTTACTAACAAAACTCAATTAGCTCGTGTGCGTAATGGCCAGAGCTCAGGAGATATTGACGCTTTTGTAATTAACGAGAAGAATTACTTTACCGTAGCATTGTTGGAGTCCAGCTAGTTTTGAGAGCTCGAACGTAGAGCTTGATTGTGTGATTGACCCTTCAAATTGTACTCTACGTCATTGCGTAGTTTTTTTTTTTCTACTTTTACTTTCACTCTCTGAATGCAATTTCTTTTCTTCAAATATCTCCTGCGCATGCGCCGCTTACTTTGCACAATTCTTATTATTGATGGAATTATCTCTCACTTCGGTACTTCGTGGTTATGGTATTTTTTTGTACAAAGTATTTCTTTGGCTTTCTCTCACTTCCTCTTTGTTATATATTCTCATGGTAAACTTTACTATTAAATGTATAGTGTTTATTAAAATTGTAACAATATCTTTTTTGCTATCGGATGTGTGCAATGTAAGAATATTTCTTTGCAATTAGATTAGCTATTTTATACAGTCTCGGAACTGGTAAGGAAACCAGAAAGCAATTACTATTATACAGTTTTTTTTTGGGAATTTCATGTATTATTCATATCCTATTTACATCTAATTTCAATACCAGTTCCAAGAAGTCATTGGAATCATTTAGAAACCTGGCAGTATCCTTATAGTATCTTCTCAATAATCCAGATACAAGGAAGATGGTCATACCCTGGGTACACCTGAATTTTCACCACCTTCTCCTACACGTCTTCAATGGGATCTCAGTTCCAAGTGCATCGAGGTTATCGAGCAATCCTATGCGGTACGATTCATTGTTATGCATTATTATTGTGTATATTAATCATGGGTAAATATTGAGTATACAAACTTCCATCCAGGTTGCTGAAAAACTGTTAAACGACGTCGACCTGCGCATCTATGTGCACAACGCTTACGGGAAAGGTTTCATGAAGGAGAGTTGCATGTCACCGGATGCTTATATTCAACTGGCCTTGCAACTCGCTTACTTCCGGGACGCCGGCCACTTCAGTCTGACTTATGAAGCTTCAATGACAAGACTCTTCCGTGAGGGTAGAACGGAAACGGTACGACCTTGTACCATTGAATCTGCAGCATGGGTCAAGGCAATGGAGGATAAATCATCGACGGTATGATTTTAATCGATGTACTGCCATGCGTTTCTAACGATTATGAATAATGATTTTAATTTTTGTTTACATATTTCCAGGTAAATGAGAGGCATAGATTAATAATGGCAGCTGCCAAGCAGCATCAAAGAGGTTATCAAGACGCCATGTGCGGCATGGGCATTGACAGGCATCTTTTCTGTCTGTATGTTGTCTCAAAATATTTGGAGGTCGATTCTCCATTTTTGAAAGTAAGTCAGTTATCGTGATGATGATTAAAAATTTTTAAGTACATGGATGTGACAGTTTGATATTTTGACATCAGGAAGTTCTGAGCGAGCCGTGGAAACTTTCGACGTCGCAAACCCCGCATGGACAAACTTCACGGCTTGATCTGAAGAAATATCCCAACTGTATTTCGGCGGGGGGTGGTTTTGGTCCGGTAGCCGACGATGGTTATGGTGTCTCATATATCATAGCTGGAGAAGATCTGATCTTCTTTCATATTTCCAGCAAGCAGAGCTCCCCACAGACGGTAAGTCTTCAGGTTCCCGTAAGTAAATTCTTATGATAGATGATACTGAGAAGATTGTCTCTGTTACACAGAACTCTGCGAGATTTGCGAAGCACATAGAGAAAGCGCTGGCCGACATGAGGGAACTTTTCATCGAGAAGAAGTTGCAGCAGCAAAGAAATGGATCTACTTAAAAATTTTGACTGCAAACACACACGCCTCTTGGCTATGACTTAGGTAATGTCGAAGAAGCAGAATTTATGTTTAACAACGAAAAAAGCCTCTTCGTGAGTCACGAGTATATAAGGGGTGATATATTTGATTCTGTAAATATACATAGTTTATTGCCGCCGCGATCATTTTGTAGACATCTGTTAAGTAGGAAATATAAAACATAAAGAAATGTGAAACGCAAATTGGAAGCGTGTCAGGCGCGAACTTACACTCGACTGTACGAGGGAATTAAATTCGATGATTGTGTATTCCTTATGTGGCAATTTCTTTGTCGCGGCGATTCACATGCAGTCTTATTGTTTTTAACCGTAGATGACTTACTGGTATCAATTAATAATAGTAGAAATGAAATTTTCGAAACACATGTAATAAGTACGTGCTGTTTTATACAGCTTCCGTATGACGTCAGGCTACGTTTCAATGCCTGGATGTGTATTTTTCATAGTATTTTTAATACCAGCGAGCGTTAGTAGGATCTTTTTTTAGTTTAAATCACTTTATATTATATTGAAACAAATACAATCAATATTTTTTCTAAACGTATTGCAAAAATTACGAAGTCCGTCGTACATCTACGTGAATGTTTCATTGTTATGTTCGATTGTTCGCTACAAATCTTCTAGGACACAACCGACCCCATGTGGTGGTTAGCACGACTGTGTCTTATTACCCTAATGATTAATCAATTTGTTAAAGCAGATTTCAGTGATACAATCTGATATTGTGTTATTTGACAAATTGAATTCGATTGTTACCTTTGCACTAATTTCATTGTTTATCTGCGCTTCTGAAAGACGATGATGAAAAACTGCGATTAAATTTAGCGTGGTGGGGATGAAAATATTGTAGATTGAGTGGAGATAGATATAAACAATGTTTTCCAAGAGGTAGGTAAGCGTGACTAAAGTTTTACATACTAAGGTTGAAGTCTTACTGATAACTTTAGTAAGTGAAATAGTAAATACTCATTTACACTACATATTGATAAACATCACGTCAAATAAGAACGCAGATACCCAGGACTGTTATAAGTTTAAAAACAATTTATTAGACATTTGATATATTTGAACGCCAATGATAAATTATTTGTATTAATGGATGTTCTACCGTGATGTGGACGGTAATATATTAGACACCGTAATTCCTGAAGATCATTAAGATACAAAACTTTTAATGAAATGTGATCGCGTTAATATTGTTTATACAGAATTATTGAATAATGCCATAAACCTAATATGTGCAACCTATCAATGCAAACTGTTTTAATACTATAAATAGTTTTATACAATGGGAGTTTATGCGACTACAGTCTCTATAATATATTTGTTAAAAGTACATTTAATGGTATTGGTGCTTTTAAAACCAACTAATGTTTATGGTGGTGTTATTGTTATTTTTATTTATTTCTATAGGTAACGTAGTGGAGTTGTAGCAACCAACCATTACGTGTAAGAAATAATCGCGTCTATTTGATTTTATCCTCTTAATTGTAAATACCATACATCTATATTGTGTTTTCAATAAGAATTTTCATTATTTTAAAAAAGAGACAGGAGGAAAACAAGAATACACCACTTGAACAACCAAATCTCTTTCTCTGTTAAAAATTCCTTCCCATCAACATTATCATACATAATATTGAAATAAATAGATAATAATGTATAACTATACTTTGATACTGTTTCATCAAGTATAAACATTTTATATAAAACGCATTGTTTTTCTAACTTTCTGCAACTATTCTGTCCACATGGATATTCATTAATTAGACTGATCAAAGAATACAATGAGAATATATTTTTGTACTGAGCATAGTACATTCAATGCCATACTTTGCAAGACACTTGAGAATTTCTTGTACTTTAAAATTAATATACATATTTACACTCACGTTATTCACTTCTTGTCATTTGTGTCTCTCTGCGTTTTACACTCATGTGTTTTGTCTTTCTTTGATGTCCGATGCTTATTTGACAGCACTACATTGCGCAAAGTTGAATGAAGAAATCTTTTGTTGATAGTTTCCTTCGGTTTGATCCAACCACTGGGTCCCATTATTTCAGCTCTTCTGGCACCAACCTTAGCCTCCTCGAGTAAAGCTTCTGCCGCGAGTCTTTGTATAAAAGAAAATAATTATTTGACATAAAAACAATTATCCCTCAAGTATCAATTATATGATGAAATAACTACCTGTTCAATGTTTCCTCATCCATCGTGCCTGTTTTGCATAAACATTTATATGAACTTCAGTCCAATTGTCATTTATATGATAAATTTACAATGTTTTAGATTACATCATCAGAAAAGTCAAATACTTAATATCAATTGACAGCTACACAACAATCACCAAGAGCTATGATGCATATGAGAATCGACGCTATCACGAAAAATCAACAGTACATAATACATAAAACATAAAACAATGTTCATAGGTTATATTCGTTTTTATCGATAGACCATTACATGTCGTAAGAGAACGTAATACAATAGCACCCGCGTTATTTAAATATTTTAATGCTATAACAAGAAGAAAACTATAATATGTTACGGAAGTACTCCACAATCTCTTAAGGGTCCTAGGGTTAGCCTAATTTCATATAAGTTAGAATCGCAGTACTTTCACTGAAATAAAACGAATCTTCAAAATTGATGTTTGACACAGACGGACCGTGAGAAATATATGTTTTAAAAATTGTAAACCAAGCATCAATATTGAAGATATCGAAAAAATAGCCTATTGGCCGGATAAAAGTAAATGAATCATTTTATTTGTAGTAAGTAGGCGACCAATGTCATTAAATGTCGGACCGTCAGATTCCCCACCATCGACTGAAGTCGATTTTATTATTGTATCTCGTCTTTCATCTCCAGCTGTCTCCATGAGTACACCCGTAGTCTTGTAATAAACTCACTCGAGGTTTGGTCTCAATGACACATGGACTTTGAAAACGAATTTTTTGTCTTGATGTAAAGACTCTCAGGATCCTCGTTTAGACGTTTGCGTCATTCTAGTCAAATAATCCCAAGTACCGCGGAACGAAATTCATCGACATTCATGTCGTGCCGGGCTTCGCGTACCGATCTCGAATTTAGATAAATCGTTATCAATAACGTTATCACCAAAGAGCTTGCATCGGCTGGTCAAAGTGTCATCGACGAAATTCTAACTTCGCCGAATATGGAAGTGAACGCCCAACAAATTGCTGATCTTCGTGAAAGGTTCTTTACGAAATTAGAAAATGAAGGAGCACCTGATCCTGGTATAATATACTTCTTTATACAAATCATTTGACTTTTATTATTTAATATTGAAATCAACAAAGTTGTTGGTTGTAACTGATTCATTATCTGATTGATCGATAAAATTTTAACGAAACAGGAGAAAGTAGCGTTTAAATAATGAACAATTGAGACAATTTCTATGTTTGGAAAATTCAAATTATGCCCATTATTTGTTCAATTTTGTGGTTAAAATAATATTATATCGGGATGATAATAAGTAATTGATGATGTTTGTTGAGGGAATGTAGCATCAGTAAAGTGTTAATATCTAGTCACAGTATTAATTAAACATAATTATGTAAGTTTTATCCTTGACTGCCTTTTTTGTTTGACTAATAGTATGAATAATATTGTGTATTAATATTTATAAGACAATTATTCTTCTGTTTCAAAGTGCTTATTAATCAGAATTAGCCAATACTAATCATATAATATTTAAATATTTGCAGGTGGTTTTCATCCGGCTGATATTGCTAGGGTGAAAACCATGGATGATTGGTTAAAAAGGTTTTTAGAGCACAATGACCTGAATGTTCAGGAATCTCTCAGTATGCTTTGGGAGAGTTGTGACTGGAGAAAGAAATTTGGCTGCAATGGTGAGAGTCATTAAAATCCATGTACATACTTTTAAAACTGGATTTTTCAAATAAGCTAATTTCATTACAGATATTACTGAACATACTGTCAGAAGGGATTACCTTGAGGAAGGTATTTTCTTTTCTCACAATAAAGATAAAGATGGAAAATTTCTTTTCATTGTGAAATCTAAGCTGCACGTAAAGGGAGCTAAAGACTTTAAAGAACTCCAAAGATGCATTGTTTATTGGTTCGAGAGATTAGAGAGGTGAAGTTTATTATCTTTTGATATTTCTTTTATGCACATGATCTCATGAAACAGTAATCCCTATAGCAATGTTGGTTGATATCAATGTATGGCATATCGATACTGCTATGAATATACTTGTACTTGAATATGTGTTGTGTTTGCTGTTACTGAGAAACATATCACATATCCTTATTCATATGACTGATATCCCAAGGGGATATTTTACTGTTTAATGTTTGTGGTACATAACCGATCTATTATTATTTAGCTGTCGAGCACATGTGCATGAAAACATTGAAATATAAAAAATTATAAAACTGATTCACAATATATAAAGTAAATACATTTTTATGCTTTCTATCTTGTCTCACAGAGAAGGAAATGGGAACCAAATATCTCTAGTGTTTGATATGGCAGATACAGGCCTCAATAACATGGACATGGAGTTCACCAAGTACCTGATAGGTCTATTTAAAACATATTATCCCAATTTCTTAAATTACATCATAATCTACGAAATGCCTTGGATCCTCAATGCAGCATTTAAAGTAATCAAGTCATGGCTCCCCGCGAAGGCCATACCAAAAATAAAATTCGTCAACAAATCAAACATGAAGGAATTTATCGAACCGAATGACGCGCTTAAATGCTGGGGAGGAAATGACGATTATACGTTCACCTTTCTGCCAGAAGTGCGGACCGCAGCAGCCGTCATGAATGGACGATTGGAGAATAAAAAGGTTTGAAAATAGAGACTTATAACTTGTTCCAGAAATATCATCTTTCGCGATGTCATATTCACTAATATAACAAGTCACGTGGTAAACAAATGCAACAGAAATTATATCTCCAACTGCACGAGCAAAAATATGTGGCCTGATTTGGAGCACCGCGCAATCAAGGGTAGCGAATCGATACAGTCAATCGGCTATTTTTTCCAACTGAAATCTTTATTACGTCAACGAGGTCACTGACCTAGATTGGATATCGTAAACGGAGACCCCCTCTCGTTCCTGTACGAGTCCCTCATATCATCTCACTCAAGTTAATTACAGCATTTTGCTAAAAAACCAGGAACGTTTAAACTAATATAACTTGGTTCACTCTAGTGAGTCAGCAAGAACGTTTAGCTTCTTTTGCATTTTTCCCCTTCTGCTCTACCCGATTACTATCAGCTTGTGTTTTGCATTCTCAGCCTTCTTACTCCCAGTCGCAAGTCATTCCTCCATATCACTTTGAAGGAGTCACAACATTGCACTTGACCCTTTTAACATGGAGTAAAGTGCTGAGGTATTATTTTTCTTCTTCAATAGAGAAATCACTTTAAGATGACTGAAGGAACAAGTGATACAGTGAATTATAAAGCTCATTGACTCTTGATGAATAGACCATAATTAACATGAATATAGCTATACTTTTGGTGTCACCATTCCATGCTGTGTACTTTCGTTCAATCGAGACTTATATTAATAAACATTTATCACAGAATTTCTGCGAATAATGTCTATTCAATGCAAATTGGTATAGCGCTATATTTTTAAACAGGCAGTTACGTAGTTACACCGTATCCGGTGTTTATATTTGGATTCAGAAATAAAAAGCAGATGCTACCAGACTATATGCTATAGATCTTCGTTTCTCGTTCTTCTCTTTCCATTTTGGATCTATTAATGGAATCTTATTGAGGTTCACATTGGATTTTTATACTCAGGTACATTTTGCTGAAGGGTCACCAATGTCGGAGCAAGCAACAAGTGGTTTTGGTGATCAGTCCAATGAAGAACGCAGTGAGTGTTTAATACTGTATCTTATGAATAGTGGAATTTTACTCAGAGTGCATGTGACCGATAAGAAAAATTCCATGATATCATTTATATTTCATTAATAATTTAAGCAATTAATGTTTCAGTGTTATCCGTGGATCCGGAATCCATAACGTTTAATAAAGAAGGTAATGAAGTCTCTGGAACAATTACTCTCAAGAATCTTACTACGGACAAGTGTCTTTCATACAAGGTGCCTACTATTATTATGTTCCTATTACTACATTGAGGTGAGAAATTAGGAAATACCCAGCAGATCTTAAAAAATTTTTTTCATTCTTCAGATAAAAACAACTTCTCCAGAAAAATTTCGAGTACGACCCAGTACAGGCATTGTGATGCCTACTCAAGAGTGTAATGTTATGGTGACATTGCAACCAGGTTACAACGTACATGGCTTATTGAGAAATGACAGATTTCTAGTAATGTGCCTGCCAATGAAGGATACAAAAATGACGTCCCAGGAGTTAACTGAATTTTGGAAGGTCTGTATTAAAATTCTGTCATGATGTTGAAAAAGAAAATATTTGTTTTGATACTATACAAAGTGCTTTTACTTAAACTGAACAGACTGGTGGCAAGGGTGCCGAACAACACAGATTAGGATGTACTGATGGTGGAACTGAAAATGGCGAAGTCAGGTCATCTATCTTATCAAACAGTGCAGCAGCGAGCGACCGTGGTGTTGACAAATATTTTTCAAAGGTACATTCAATTAATTTTAATGAGAACATTCGTGATGACATTCACAGCTTTATAAGATTTATTATTTAAAGTACTTCTTTCAGGTAAATTGTTTGAAAGAAATCCTTGCAAAGATCCAAAAAGCCAATTAACTTATCTTAAGCATTTTTCTTGCAAAGAGAGTTAGGAGGTCGCCCTGTGTTTCTACTTTGCCATAGGATTCTAAGAGAACAATTTTTCACCTAATGTTTCAGATAACGCAGCTAGAAGACAATCATAGACAACTGCACGTGGAATTGACTAATATGAAACGACTGCAAATAATATCTATAATGCTAACAGTTTTACTTGCTATGGCGATCGTATATATACTAAGGTCGGATATTAGAAACGCTGCCGAAGAACAGTACTGTCATATGCATCATGGTGTAGATTAGATTTTCATGAAAGAATTGTAATTTATAAAACAAAAAAGAAACGAAGGGATTCACCTGCGGTGAGGGATATATTGAACAAATTTTAGACAATTCATTAATTGTTTTTTTGTCATTAAGAAAAAAACGCATTTCTCTCCCGACATTATGTGGGAATTTTTGTTGTCACAACGTGTTACGTACGTCATGCTAATATTGTTATTTTGTTCTGGCAGATTATTGTTTTCTGTATTTCGTATATATTTATAGACACTTTTTTCTACCCGTTACTAAATAAATTGTAGGTGGTATGCAAGGAAATATAGAATTAGAGTGATGGAAACAGGTCACTTAGTTAATAGGTTTTTTTCGATGGGCAAGTATCTATATTTACAGGAAATGAACAGCTAAATAAATTACAATGGTGTTTCACAGAACACCTATATGGCATGCGCAAATGTGACATGTCTTATAAAGCACATTGTTACTGAGCCATAAGAAGCTGCGTTAGAAATATTTTTGTAAGCTTTTATATGTATTATATTACTGGTGATTATGCTGCATCTCGATAAGCCACAAATGTACACAAGTATTTCATTCGCCTCACAGTTAAGCAACTGTCCATCTACTATCTCCAGAGAAACGCTTAATATAAATACATATTCGTAGTTCATCAATAGTTTGATATTAAATAGATAAAATTACAATATATATCAACGTACAATTTTTCATTTTGAATTCTAAATTTATTTTGAAAAATATATTAAGTTTTCCACATTAATTCGGACTATGTTTTTCACATAAAGAATATGAGTAATGAAACCCACTTACAGAGAGAAAGATAATTTCTATTTTCATAAGAGATCAAACAAAATCCAAAATATAGCTCTTGTCTAATTTGCCTTGTAGTCAGTCTTTTTTAAAAAGAAAAAGAAAATCGTAACAATCTCTTTGTATAGGTATCTAAGTATTCTCTCTTTGAATACGTAAATAAATATATAAATTTGTATATATATACCCATAGTATAATAGAATTTTACATGACAGCCATATACAGGAGAATATAAGAACTAAGAGAATTATATTATTCTCGATATAAATATATAAGTAATTTTTCCAATATCCGATAAAATAAATTATATTCAAGGTCTGGATGCTTATAGTTCGAATAATTCTTTCATAGGGCGATTGAAGATCGTGCAAATCATTTCAATTTGTAGCATGTGACATAGACATATTGATATTCAACTTGATTTATAGTTTCCTACGTTTTATATGATATAAGATAGATATGATATATCGGAGGTAAATTAAAGTACGTTAATGCCTGCGTAATTTCTAACAAGACTTACATATTGTCCTAAGAAATCTTTCTAACGCTTTATTTATATCACGAATAGAAATTTGTACGGAAAGAATAAACGAATATATGAAAATCAAAATAAAATAAAATAATTCCACTCATATACATATATCAGCTGATCCTCTCCGATCTCGAAAATAGTAATGCGGTTCGACCGAGTAAACTTGCTAAGAATACAGTTGTATTATAGTAGGGATATATAATGAATGGGTGTGTCCCCTCTCCAAAAGCTTGTAACTTTTTTTCTCCCTCCAGCTGGATTTCCCGCCCTTTTCACGAGGCGTCTTTTTTCAAGCCGCATCACAGCAGTACTGCACACGCGTCCTGCCCGTCCGACGCGCACGCATTCCGCGGCGACGCCTTTAATATCGCAAAAGCTTCATGCTCGACGGATAAGTAGAATTTTTAGTAACGAAAGCATGAATCTCGACGTGAGTGTTAAAAGGAGAAAAAAAGAAGTCTGATAGTAGAGCGAAACCGAAAGCTTCCTGGAAAGGTTTGTCGTTAAAGCGCCCGGAAATGAAGGAATGATAATACGAGTCGTGTGGTGTAAACACGGCGAATGACGCGCGCCACTGCGCAGCACCTAACGCGCAGCATTTGAACTTTCAGAGTTCGATCGGCCATATTGGACTGCGACTCTTACACAACGCCCTCACACGAATAATTCCGAGTTACAAGGTAAGTGAATATTTGGAGGTTGAACGTTTGGTAGGTGATATAAGATACTGAAAACGTGTGCTTGTGTGAAAATTCGTGTGTGACGATGGTTTCGGTGTGATTTCGAGCCGCGATAATGCGCTGAAACGCGGTACGACGGTAAGTCGCTCGTGGCACGAAACGGAACGGACGGCATCTTCTTCGCTGCGTCCTCCATATTGATGACAGCGCCGACGGTGATAATTTTCTGAAATTTTTGTCGTTAATGCCCCCTGTGTCCTGAAATCGAAAGCACCCGCGTTGTCTTAAAAGCTCCCCGACAGAATGCGCGGCTTCTGGGCCCCCGGCGGCCTGCAAAAATTCACCGTTTCCGATCCTCGAACTCCTAAGGGCATTTCCACGCGTTCACCGCTAACGGCCTCATATAATTTCTTCATGGCGTCCTTCCTCGCTTGGCCTCCTCCACATGTCCCATGGCGTTCCACGTCGTGACTTCGGAGCTCACTGTATTTCTACATGTATCCCCCTTTAGACTCTTTGCCTTTATCATTATCATAAGTGATCGTCAACATCACCGTCACTGTCTGCTACTTATTGCGTGTTACCTACATTTTCATCAGCTTCTGCCTCTCCTTCCTCTCTCTCTCTCTCTCTCTCTCTCTCTCTCTCTCTCTCTCTCTCTCTCCCCC